ATTCAAAGTAAGCAATGCGCCGTTTATACTCTGGGCTCAAAATTCTATGTGCTATGGTGAGCCGCTTACTATCCGACGGACCGTTTGCTTGTTAACCATAATTTTTATATAAAAATGAGAACTTGGAAAATTGGCAGAGATGTTCGCATTCATGTTTTTTCGATATGAAGTTGCTTCATATACATCCATATAAAAAGCTACATCGTTATATTTATATCAACTAAAATAAAATGCTGCGTGCACTCATAGTTTTATTTATAAATAAAGCATTTCTATAAAATGCCTAAAAGCTTCTTTAATATAGCATATCACATAGAGAAAGTGACAAACAGCTTGGCAGAGAAAGTTTCATGACACCCGCAGGTGATTGATATTTCATGTTTATTCATATGTGCAAACAATTGTGCCATATGTGTTCAGGACCTGTTATGTATGAGTCAATAAACTACTTATCGACTAAATGTGTGCCGTTGCCTAGCGAGTAGCGACACACTAACCCAGGCCTACCTTTATTTTTTGATAAGGTGTAGGTATCGCACGTACTCAATGTTTAAGTAAATTCACGAATTCCTTTAATATTTAACAGCAACTACTAACGACCATTTGTACTCAATACTCAGTGCATTATTGTGTTCCATAAGCTTTACAAGATGTTACAACATTTCTGATGTACAATTATGGACCCCGTCGAGCACAACAATCAAACAATTAATCAAAATGGACTTCAGGTGCTTTTAACTAAGATAATGAATAACCGTTGTCGTTCTAAATTTTAATTTCAAGTAAATTGTATTGGATAAAAAGTTTATCCAATACAATTTACTTGAAATTAAAATTTAGCATTCAGCATTTTCAGCATATGGTACAGTTTATCATAAACTGTACCATATGCAGTAAAAGGAAAAATATCAGAAGAAAACAGTAATAGACAAAAAAATCACAAATACGATGGTTAATATCTATGCTATGGTTTTACATCAACTTTTATGAATGCACATAGAAAGAATAAGAAAACATGAAAATAATACTGAAACCAGAACTAGCATTTCTTTATTACAGAAATGTGATTATATAGGTAAATTCTATCGCCCATATTTATTTAAACTGCCAGCTGTTTATTGATATTGAAACATTTCTAAGCGAATTTTACAAAACAAAGGTCAGTACCTCTTTACCTCTTACCCTAGTTCCCATTTCGGCACCTATCTTACATTGTTCCACCGTGTTATATAACAATAACAGTCGAATTAACATCAACTCATTGTTATTCGCGCGGTCGCGGCGCGTGGCGAGCGTTCTCGCAAAACTCGGTCGAACAAAAACAAAAGTAGCAATACTAGTTTTTCGAGATAGGCAGGCCGAACGAAGGCCGGGAGATACTTGCACCCATTTGCCATATATTCGACCTCGAATTACGAAAAAAAATCAAAGCTCAACGGCTTTCAGATATGAAGTAACGAATATTGAAACTTAACCTTTTAAAATTTTAATTCTGAAACACTTTGTGGTCGAATCTTTATGGTTTTCATGATAATTACTGAAGTTAGTTTTTTAATTCCAATTAAATCTACAATGCAATAGGCAAAACATAAAACTTAGGCAATAAATATAATAAAAAAAACTTACTTAATATTGTTTTAAACTTTCATGGTCACTAACATCTCTATAGTTATATACGGAACAATCCCGTACCAATACCATAACGTAACATACGGTAACAATACCATTGTACCTTGTTTTTAATGAGTTTAAAATATTTCGGCACTCAACTGTTGCAAGAGCAACTGCAACAGTGCCTATTACCTAGTACCTACCTACAATAACATAAATTACTATAAACTTACTTAAGTACTTACGTTCTGGTTATATATTATTGTATTTATATTTTTTAGGTATTGAGCTGATAGGTGTATAATGCCATATGCTCTAAGTGGAAAGACCATACTATTACTCTATTCTAGCTAAACTTTAGCTAACTCCTACTCTAAAATCTTAAATTAAAACTATGTAAGTTAGATGAGATATCATACAGATGACATTATCATCATCATTAGCCTATTAATGTCCCCACTGCTGGGACACAGGTATTTCCTTTGAATAGAATAGGGAGATTGGGCTGGGCCCCACCAAGCGGTCCCAGTGCTCATTGATAGGTGCTAACGACTGCACATGCAGCCGGGACGTGCCTTCCGGAGCACGAAGGAGCTCGAGATAGTAGGTTTTTGTCACCCATCAAATGACCGACCACTGCGAAAGTTGCTTGACTTCCACGACCGCAGGCCGAATGCGCTAACCACCTGCGCCATATAATAAGTAAGAAATATGTACTCTTCAAATTAACATTCAATGTACCAGGAATCGTGATCACGATGAAGGAAAGTCAACTTTAAGGGCAGACAGTCGCTGATTGATCAAATAGTATAAAAATAAATCTGAAACATGATTAGCCTTAGATTTTTATTTAAGAACTTTGGTGCAAGTGGGCCTTAGTGTATCCATCAACTGTGACAGTCTTTGCCACAGAAATTATTTCTACTGTATGATACACAGGCTAAGTAAGTACTTGTCTCTTACGAGACGACTCATGAAATTCGCGGACGCTCTCAATCGCCTCAAGGTCAACGCCCCCCTTTCTGAAGATCGAAATTATCCAAGCAAGGTGTACGGTGTGCGACTCGCTTGCACACGTCTAGGGTTGTCAATATTAAAAATCACATTATTCCAGCGCTCATGGGACGATGTTAATTGTAAAGCAACACTAGAACTGCTTACTGGTGTTGCCACGGGAGTCGATCTGGCGAGGATTTTGGCGGTGTCACAGCCTGAATCCGGGGCGTGGCTGCACGCGTTACCTTCGCCTCATATGGGCACTTTACTTGACGGTGACTCCTTGCGGGTGGCGGTCGCCCTCCGCTTGGGCTGCGGTGTATGTCAACCACATGTATGCATCTGCGGTACCATGGTGGGGGCTGACGGCCAGCACGCATTGAGCTGCCGTCGGTGTACAGACAGACACCCACGTCACCACGCTCTAAATGACATAGTGTTGAGAGGTCTTAGATCGGCCGGCGTTCCTTCCGTCCTCGAACCACCTGGTCTCAGCCGCACAAACGGAAAACGGCCTGACGGTCTTACATTGGTACCGTGGGAGAAGGGACGATGTTTGGTGTGGGACGCGACGTGTGTCAGCACGCTGGGGCGGCGGCTGAGTATCAGGCAACGGCGAAGCGCTTAAAGTATTCCTCGTTGGGGCAAGGATATATTTTTGTGCCTTTGGCGGTGGAAACGGCGGGTTGTTGGAGCGCAGAGGCCAAGCAATTTGTGTGGGACCTGGGCCGCCGACTCAGGCAAAAAACTATTTTTTTTAATCCATAAGTTTGTATGATTTAAGTTATTATTACTAGTTTTTATCTTGATTGTTATATAAGACGTAGTATATTATTCCTTTTCTTTTTTCTAATAAGATAATTATTATAATTATATTCTTTCTTCTTATATGTCCTAATTAAATAATGTGACTCCGCGACTGCTGCAACATAAAGTCGGAGTTGACTTTTGTGTATTTGATATATTATGACAGTTTCATAATGGTGAAAATTTAAAAATTTGGTCAATAGTTTTTGCGATACCTAGTTTATTCGTTTTTAGGGACATTATTATTCATATAGAAATAGTGTATGAATTAAGACTTGTACCGTAAACAACAATTGACTGTGGTACACACATACCGTTTTATGTTGTTATAGTATTAACGTAGTTCTAAGGACTTACTTATTCGACGCCGTACAATGAACATGTCTCCATGAAAGAAACATCTCTCTCATTCCTCGCCACCGAACCCACGACCAAGAGGAGCGTCCTCTATCATACCTCCAACCACCGAGCTTCCAAAGGTATCCTAATATACCTAGTCCAGCCATAAGTTCTGTTACAAATAAAAATGCATTTTTAATGAAGTAGTGTATATGTCGTGGCCATATCGTAGATTTGATCACTTCATGAAATGCTCGAGATTTTCATGAAATGGTCGCATTTCATGAAATGTTTCACTATCTATTGACCACATCGTGATGTTTGGGCAGATCAATAATGAGAAATCGTTTTACAATATGGCCAACTAAACGCGTGGCTATTTCATGAAATGGCAAAAAATATTTGATCATATTGTAAAGTAGTTACATTAATTACCGGTGGAGGCGCTGCAAGCGCTTTGTTTATATATTTATATGGCGGCCGCTGCCGACAATGATGTTTCTCGCAGTGAAAAAGTGCATAATTCGTTATTTAATGAGGAAGAAATTTAACAAAAGGGTTTTCGACGAAACAAATTAAGGAGAGTAGGGCGCAAAAGAAATCTATGGATCTAATATTACTGGCTGTCAAAATATGACATTTTGGAAACTGCGGTTGAGGTACAAAGTGCGGATGAGAATCAATGCCGTACAAAGATATACTGTAAAACTGTACTTCCAGGGCCTAAGAGGTGATACTTGAATTTCTTGTGTAAAAAAGGTCTCTTTTAATAGTTTTTTTTTCTGGCGCTTCGCTGGCCGCTGCCGCGGCACGCTCGCTTTGCTCGCTCGGCTCGCGCGTCATGATCGCAACACTAACCTAACATAACCTAGTGTGATGTATTACCGTTTGGGCCCTGGAAGAACAGTTAAGTCTACTATTGTAATATGTACCAAAGCACCTTATTATTTCTACATATTTGATAGTTTTCTAAATATAAATGTTGACATGTTTGATGTTTAATTTAGGAAAAAAACATCTTTAATTTGTTTGTGTCATTCGGACTTAAATAACAATAAACAAGTTCTTACATATTCTGGATTTTTAATAAATATTTTATGGACACCCTAATTATACGATCCGGCCAAATATGGATAACCAAATCGTTAAATGTTGACGATTTAATGATCTGGTCAAATTAAGTTGGCCACATCATGAAATGCGACCATTTCATGAAATTCTCGAGCATTTCATGAAGTGAGCAAATCTACGATATGGCCACGACATATACATATTGTTAAAATTTACACCTACATACCTATATTTATTAAAGTCTCAGCAAAAAATAAAAGAATATTCTATTCCAAATGGCCACATTTGGCTTTTATACAGGCCTTTAATCTGTTTAGCCACGAATCTATGGATTTACGCACTGTTTCCAAGAGTAATTTCGCCACTGCTTGCTACAAAGATTTTTTAAGAGACTCAATGTCGCCGTGTCGTTTAGAGCAGGCCATGTCCTCTAAAACTGACCATAATTTGAAGTCTAAAGGGTCGAGGTCTGGGCTAGATGAGGGCCAGTCTGCAGCTCTTATAAAGTCGTCGTCGTTGTTGGTTTCAAGCCAGGCTTGGGTAGTTCGTGCCTTGTGACCAGGTGCAGAATCCTGCTGGAATGACAACGGTATATTTTTAAAAAGTGTATTTTTGAGAGGTTTTAAAACATGATCCAAAACTGTATCTTGATACACTTTTGCTGAAGTTTTCACTCCTTTTTCACAAAACTACTTAGTTTTGTGACTCCTTGATAAGATACGCCCCACCAAACCATCACTGACGCAGGATGATGACCACGTTGTACCTTTCCGACCACTTGAGCAGCTTCTTTAGAACTGTGAGCGTACACTTTGATTATTGTAGTTTTCTTCAATCGTGAAAATTTTTTCATCGCTAAAGAGGATATTTCTGGGTACTTAATTCCATTATATGTAATTGAATTTCGCGGTAATTTGTAGGGGAGGGGGAGGGGGGGGCTCCCCCCGACCCTCCCGCCATAAAAGATTTTTGGCGGAAATGCAGTTTTTTTTTTTACCTAACCTAAAAATTCATTAAATCTGTTTTAAGTAGTGAAATTTCATGGGGATAGGTATTAGGGAAGACCCCTCAGAGGGAAGGGTCGTTTTTTTTTTACAGAAATGATAATTATAAAAAATTAGAGGGGTTTTAAAGGTAAAACTGTACTTCCAGGGCCTAGAGGTGATATTTGATTTTTTTGTAGAAAAAGTCTCTATTAACGAATTTTTCTTTCTGGCGCTTCGCCGGCCGCTGCCGCGGCACGCTCGCTTCGCTCGCTCGGCTCGCGCGTTAAGGTCACAACACTAACTTAACCTAACCTAGTGTGAAGTATCACCACACAAGTGGCTCATTAGAGTCCAAAACTCGCACTACACTCGACTCTTCAGGCGATGGGACAGCAGAACTCGAGGCCGAAGGCTTTGAGGATGCCATGGTAGTCAGACGATGTTAATATCAACAGGAGTACGAAAAAGCTCTCAACTGCGACGAACACAAACACTGACTGTCAGATCTCATTAATGGCGGTAAATTGTCACATTTTGACAATAGTACCAACATAATAAACTTATATTTACCATAGACAACGAGAATCATGTTATTTTTGCATAAAAAAATGGCAGCACTGATCAAAATTGCTGTCAAAATTGACTCATAACCTACAAAAATATTAATTTTCAATAATTTTTTTCTCGAGTTCTATTCGTTTCCGCCTAAAAAGATTTCGTGTACGTGTTTTTAATAGTTAATACTTTGCGTGACAAAAATTTCAGCTTGCAACTCAATTACATATAATGGAAAGCTGAGCCTATTTCTGTGCTTTTCGCCTGCGTATCGCGACAGAAGGCGTTTTGATCGATTCTCCTTCTTTAATTGTAAAGAGTGATTTAGGGCATGTCCTGTATATCGTCGATAAGCACCGAGATTCACGTCTTATTTTATCGACAGAATCCTATCAGGAATCTTCATTTCCTAATGGGGTTTCGACGAATTCTGGCTTAACAGCATTAACAGCCTTTGTAGTTCTAACAGCACGCGGCAGCCCCGATCTTTTCTGGTCTTGGACAGATGAAGTGTTGTTTATCTGTTGATAGTACGATATACGAACACACGGCTGATACCAAGCTTTTGAAGTGTCTGGAATATGACCGACGGCGCCATACCCACTTTGTGCAAGGCGATCACTGCAATCCTATTTTCTTTAACACTCCATTCCATATTATAATTTCATAATGAATACAAAAATATTTGTGAAATGGCGCAAAATCGAAAGAAGTTTTTAAAATAATATACGTGTTCCAAACTCAAAATAATTAAAAAGTTGAAAAAAGAGAAGTTTTTGTGTAACAGTATTTATGGCCAGACTAGTTATAACATGGCGACCCTACAACACCTACGATATTACATAGCTTTTCGTCAAATAATTTATCAACTTACCAAACCGAATACCGATCTAATAAACGGAAGACAATGTCCACAGACTGATGATAATGCCAAATTTTACATCCCTATTCAATTAAGAGTAGTAACGAATTTTAAATTCTTTATTTTAGCAATTAAAAATCATTAATAAGGAGAAAAATCATTAAACCCATTTATTATGGCAACCCTGAATGCTGTGACTGCGTCCGTCAGTCAACCCAGCTTGTGCCTCCGTGCAAAAAGTCGACGGCTGTCTGTCACGAATAATTATTAAAAGGGCACGATCTATGGCGACATCTCGTCTCGTCTCGGCACTTGCCTTTCCCCCTCCCCCCTCCGTATCCAGCTTCGAACATAGCACTACTGCACTGTACAACAAGACCGTTAAGTTTGACGATGTTTGTTATTTATCGCTACAATGAAAGCGAAGCGAAACTAAAAAAAACATGAAGAAAACTCAGAGCATCAAACAAACTTAATGCTAGTCCATATGACGTTCTGTCTTTTTCATTTCTTTAATCACACATAAAAATTGATTGATTTTTATATATTTGGATTCATATACATATCGCAATCTTTAGTTTTGCACTCTGCTAGTTATAAAACGTACAAAACATTACATCAAAGAGTTATGTTTAGGATTGCTACTTAGAATAATAACGCTTCGCTATTTATGTAACATGCACCTTAACCCTAAAACCGTTAGTACTTTTTGTGATTAAACCTAGGCTTTCGCCTTGAACATGTAGATTACCTAGTAGAACTTTACGTGTTAATATATCTTTATCTACCGAAGACTGAAGACTAATTAAATTCAGCTACAAAAAACAAATAAACAAAAAAATCTTAACTTGCTTTAAAATCGCGATAGGCTTCGCACGCGCCTTGGCGTTATTTTATTATCGGATGCTTCTTTGCGATATTTTTGTTTTTAGTACATTATGTATGAGAATGGCTACGATTACAGCTGTAGCGAAAATAACGACACAATATAAGTATGACGCTATATCGCAATAACGCATCCGATATTATCGATCGATAATAACACATCTAGGGGCTAAGCTTTAATAGGTTCTTTCTGTGATTTAAAAAATATTCGAAAAAATCATTTATATCGGGATAACGTATTTAACATCAATTTATTTCCTTCATGATAAACAAAACAGTGTGGTTTCCGAACGAAGTCATACACACTTTCGGCCACTATCCATAATAGATCTTGTAACAAAAAGAGAATTAAATACAGAAAAAAATTAAATAATAGCGGCTTAACCAGTAATGCTTTAGTAATTTTAAAGTCTTATCCAAATTATCGTCAACGAGTAGTGAATTGGGCAAGACACGAAGTTCCCCTAGAATCCATGTGACGACCATATCTGTCTATTTCGGTGACAATATAGAAGATATTGTAGGACAAGCACAAACAGATTTGGATTTACTGAATATCTGCTTCGAGAGCAAACTTTTAACAATTTTAATAAAAGTACCAGACGCAGTGTGAGAGTTGAGTTGAGAGAGAGTAAGAGTTGTTTGCGGTTATGCGTTTTCAGCTATTCCTCAACCACTCACGGTTAATCGCAATACGTGCTCAGCCTTACTTGGCGAGCGCAGTCGACCGGTTGCGGACTAACACGAAGGCGAGCCTACATTCGAACAATGTGTTTGACAACTACCTACCTACTTATACTTCAATACTTTTGTCCGACAATAAGCCCAAACCTATGAATATTATTGAAGTTAAATTCTAATTATAATTGAATGTAATTATTCTTATGAGAAATAAAGTTTTTAAACCTCATCAATTTATATTTATTCTTTTAACCTTAGTTGTAAAGTTACGAGGAAACCATGTAAAGAGAGGTTAAGAGTATTCAGCCATGTTTATAGTTTATTTTAACATATATGTAATTGAAAAAACGTGGGGCGCTCCATTATTAACTTTTAACTGAGTTGTTAAGCATTATGAATCACGTAATATATTAATTGATTTGATAAATATTGCAATGAATAGCGCCCCACGCTTTTTCATATATTGCCATATATATAATATAAAGGCTTACTCTAAGGCCCTAATGAAGTAAACAGAGAGTATATTTTGTTTATTTTTGGCTTTTTAGTGCAGTAAATAAAGCGTGTTTTTATTTTTTTCAACTTTTAGTTTATTTTAATCTTTAGCTCTACCCAATTTATTTTTAGAGTCGTCTCTCTCACTATTATGTCTCAGTTACACTTGGTCGTTAGCCCGAATATGAATGCCAATGGAATTCGACTATGTGTAAATAAACGGAATCGAGTACGCCCGTATTCGGGTAGTTTTCATTTTTGTTACCCGACACCGTCTTCCTGCCCATATTCCAGTGTAAATATTCGGAATTCGAGTTATGTCTTTCGTGCACCCGAATACGGGCTAACGACCAAGTGTAATCGAGGCATACGTCGTTTTATATTATGTGTTTTTGTGTCTATTTCACTTTTTACACTCTTGTGCAATATTTTTTGCAATTTATTAATAGTTAATACCTACCTATTACACGAGTAGTGAACGTTATTTATATTCGCCTTAACTGCTCACGACTTTTGGCGCAATGTACTTTTACATGTTCAACCAAATAGAACTAGATGCAACCTGTCGTCTTATCGCACATTATACAAATTTATATTCGCTTATCAAGAGTCATCTTCAATCATATAACATTATGGAATTTTGAAATTTATTATCACTAGATACTTTGCGGTATCTTTACGATATTCGAGTACTGGTGTCGTAATGATAAAATTGTTGTTGTATTAATGATTTTATTTATTTTTTAAGCATTTAACTGCTAGATGTTTAAATCTAAAGAAAAGTTTACTAGAAAAAAATCCACGCGGGCCAGGCAGCGGACGGGACTTGTTGTTGTTGTATTACTACAACAATTGAACTAAAATATATTTTTGTTTAAAATAAAATATTATTTCAATTCTTTTGATTGTAACTTATTTTAGTTTTGGTAATTTATTCATGATCTTCTCTTTGTTTTCTAGGTAAGCACCAATGCTCGTGATGGTGCGGTCCGACGACAGTGTCAGATAGCCGCCCCGCGATCACGAAGCATGGGTGCGAACATGGGCAAGAACTCGAGCCTGCTCGACGCGCTGCCCACTGCGCAGGGCACGCTGCACGTCGTCATGCTGGGCCTCGACTCCGCCGGCAAGACTACCGCGCTCTATCGGCTCAAATTCGACCAGTACCTCAACACTGTTCCCACTATAGGGTTCAACTGCGAAAAAGTCAAAGGCACCATCGGCAAGTCCAAGGGTGTCAACTTCCTCGTGTGGGATGTCGGTGGTCAAGAGAAACTGCGACCTCTATGGAAATCTTACACTAGATGTACAGACGGCATTATATTTGTGCTTGACTCTGTCGATATAGAAAGAATGGAAGAAGCTAAAATGGAACTAATAAGAACTGCGAAGTCGCCTGACAATACAGGTGTGCCGATACTAGTATTGGCTAATAAACAAGACTTACCCGGGGCCAAAGAGCCTCGGGAGTTAGAAAAACTATTAGGATTGCATGAGTTGGTATCCTCCCCGCATGGTTCCAGAGACGCGCACGCTTGGCATGTCCAGCCAGCTTGTGCAATAACAGGTGACGGCCTACACGAAGGCCTAGAAGCACTCTACGAGATGATACTCAAGAGGAGAAAATTGGCTAAATTACAGAAGAAACGAGTAAGATAAATTAAGAATGTACCATACATCGTAAAGACAAACATGAACATTTTTAATATGTTTCGAAATGCTCACATTGTGGATGTTTTCGGCTATGTCCAAGTATGAAACGCCAAATATTGTTTTACTTTAGATGTGTAACGTCTTATGAAAATATTCCATCAAATGTTGCTCAAGTTCTACAGAACATTTTGACGGAGACGAATATTTTGGTAAAACAAATTTAACTACTAGTCATTTTCTTTTGAAAATAGCTAGGGGAAGGATGAAGATAATAAGATTTAATGATATGTATATTTAAAATTTAAATGCCTACATACTTTTGATTTATATCTTGTAAACGAAAATGTTTGAGGTGTAATTAAAGTTTGCCTTGGGTTAACTTCATTTTATACACTGTTAATCAAGACTACGTAAATCGCATGAATTGTTTGTTTGTGTAAAGGATAGAATTGAATAATGTGTGTCATTATTTCGTCAACAGAGGAAGCACTCGTAAAGTACATACGGCTCACAATGTCCTCTGGGACCATTAGCATAATGGGAATGTTAATATAAGGAATATTAGTGCATATTTGAATATGCTGCAGTAGTTAGATGTAGTGATTGTTAAACATTGTCTTATAATGGTAAATATCTACCTTCTTTGAGAATTCCCAACTTCTTGAAACATTTTTCTTAATCTTCATCCTGCGTAACATTTTACCTTCCCTACATTTTTACACGTCAATACCAAAAGATCCTTGAGTAGCCAGTTACGATTTTAGTATGTAGAGATTATTTATATTAATATTTGTGATGTTCTATTGTATAACTTCAAAAAGAGGCTTTTTTAATGTTTGTGTTTTGAACAGCTTCTTCTTATTGTAAATATTTGTAAATACTGTGTAAGCTCTATAAATAACATGTACAACAAAATATGGAAAACTGTGGAACACTCTTACATTTACATTGTAAAACCATTTAAAGTAACATAATCCTATTTCTCCTTCAATAGCCATGTTAATTTTTATACATTGTAGAAAAAAACTTATATCTTTGTTTCGTTTTTCTTTGTGGAACAATAACTTACCTAATTACTACACTGTCGCATTTTACAAAATGAATGATAGATATTTACACCTTGAATGTATTTAATACTGTTCCTATACGATGATGTCATTTACTGTGTTTTAGCCTTTTTTTTTGTCGTCAGTTCTCTCTTACCTATTTATTTCTGAGATCTCTCAGACCACAAATTCTACACTACACTAATTTTGGTAATCCGAACCGAATGTGTTTTTATTTAACAATAGTTTTAAACACATATTTATTTATATACTCATAGAATAAATAAATTATAGCTGTAATGTGTTTTGTTGCTACAATATAATGAAAAAAATTACCAGAGTTTGCATTACTCGCATTGTAAATATGTAAATTCCAACTTGTCAGTACCATGAAACCAAACACTTTTAAAAGTATAATTGTACATTTTGTTTTAAAATACCTATTACTATGTTGGGTTTACTATTATGTCAGCATTAATGCATATTATTATATTATTGTATTTTATGGGATAAATACTTTTTCATATGATTACCCATAATAAATCTGTTTTCAATATATATATTGTTTTATTAATACAAAGAATAAATTTTATAATAATTATTCATCGTCAGTCCTGTGAAGGTACTGATCTGGATTTTCACCTTCCATCCAATCAGTAAATAACGTTAAATATTCGAACTCTGAATCCGATAAAGGATTTTCTATTTTCTTTTTTAAGATTTCATGGTTAGAAATATGTTTATTTCTCTTGCCGGCCAACGTGCGCTTGATATTAGGTCGTACCAAATGCTTAAATTTATCTGAAACTGGCTCGTGAGATCGCTGTAATTTTCTTTCTAGTCTATTAAATAACCGTAATTCACGTAATGCTTGATATGCTGTTTTAAATTTTTGGCGCTCTTCATTTAAAGCTTTCGTAACAGCGCATTTTACGGCGTCACTGTGTATATAATCCAATTTATCACAATAATCCGTATAAAGAGTCTCTAAAGATTTTGCCATAGAAACTATATCCATATTTATTTGTCTCTCTGAATGCACTCTTTCGTAACAAAATTCTAAATGAGCAAATAGTTTTAATATGTCTGGTGCACCAACGCTATTGTAAAATAATCCATTAATTATGGAAAAGAACTTTTTTTGCAGTTGTTCACACCTTTCATTCTCAAACTCCAGATACTTTTTAAACCTTTTTATAGTATTAGAAACAAAAGCAGTCTCCTGAATTATTGAGCTTTTCAAATACTGTATGACATCCTTTTGCAATTTCTTTTGCGGATTTAAATGCGTTACATAATCAAAATGGTGTAATAGATGCTTTTCGATTCCGTCAAAAATATCCATTAAATCATGCGGCTGTTTAAAATATAGAACTGGATGAACAGGATTTGTGCTCTGCTTTTTCATTTGTTCAAAAACAACTTTAAACGTTTCTTCTTCATTTGAATGGCCCAAATCGAAACCTTTGGCCTCAATTTCCACAGATTGTGCAAATTCTCTGTTTTTTGAACGCCACGTTGGAGGTGATAAATAGTATAAAAATCTTCCATACTTTTGTTGAAGGTGATAAAGATAATCTAAACCCATCAGTCTAGATTTAATTGTGAATTGTTCAGTTGCAAAGTATTGTAACTCAGCTTCTTTCAGTTGGAGCTTCACTTTTAATTGATCCCATTTGCCAAGAAAAGCCATTGATTTACTATAGTCTTCTGAAATGAAAGCATCAAAATACTTAGCTTGTTTCATACAACTTTTGACACTTTTATTATAGGTCTCCAATTCTTTTCTACAATTAATTTCTATGTTTAAGATGGTGTCATTCCTATAACCTATTTCTGCTTTTATCCTCAATACATCAGTTATTGATATTTGAAGAGATTTATATACCGGCATTCGTCTTTTTAATGAACGTCCATTAACATAATTATAAAAATCTTCATCTGCATCAATTGCTGTACGTACTTCATTAGGAGGGTCTTCCACTAACAAGCGTTGTTGCAAATCCATCTCAATGATTTTATATCCTTCAATTATATGTGTTCTAAGCTTCTGTCGCTTATTATCATGTTTTTGCTTTTTTGTGAAAATTATGTATGGTAACAGTATTTCTTCTCTTTGTAGATTACTTACGGGCGACGGTTTCTCAAACAGCTTGCAATATTTTTGGAAACAATGTTTAACTGGCTTCCTACGATGTTTTTCTTTCATTCGTTTTAGAATATTTGGAGCAGACAAATTTTTCAAAAGTTTCGTTGATATTTTGCTAATCACCTTTGCCTTTGGTATTTCTATAATAACAGAAGGGCTATCTTCGGACATCATTCAAGACAAAATGAAAAACGATTAGGTTTAAAACATTTAAAAATATAGAATAAACACTTCATCAATGTAAAATATAAAATCTACTTGGCCATGGCAGGTAAAACAAAACTTACTTTTATTGCATTGACCTTGAAATCTTAATATTGTGTTAAGTTAAATAAATATTAATAATATATTTTATTTTTATACACACAACCGGCCAAGTGCGAGTCGGATGCATAAAGGGTTTCGTATAGGGTTGCCACCTTTTTTTGTCGAAATAAAGTACATTGGATATTAAAGGTAGAAAAAAAAGTACATTGTGTCCAAAATACTTTTTATTCCACTTTATAAGTAAGCTTAAAAATATATTTTACGTTGCTACTAGCAACTTCTAATAAATAATTTGCGGCTACTGTAGTTTTTTTCCGCAATGGGGAATGGTCATGATACAAAGGCATACAGCCATGAAAATGTTGCAGGAATTAGCTAAGGGCAACATATTTATACTTTCTGTCCGCTTAACGCAAAAATTCTTCCTATCAACCTCATTTTGTATATTTTATGTAAAATTAATCCGCGAGTAATCAAAACACATTAAATAAAGCATTTTCGCGTACTATATTGTTGGCATAAAGTATAGACTACAGTTATCCGAAATAACGTACAATACTTTATAATAAAGTACGGGTGGCAACCCCGGTTTCGTACCATTATCTATACAACATTAGACATTATTATAACATCGATCAAAAACGACGTCTGTTTTATAGATCCCCTCTTAAATATCTCTTTTATTTTAATTATGATGTGTACATGTAAAGACCATAACTTTAAACCAATAATTTAGACAATGATATAAATAGTTTATTGAAAAAATTTAAACAATTTATGAAGGATACGACATTGGATTCAATAAGAAAAAATTAAAGGAGCATTGATTTACGAGGTACCCATTCAAAAGCTGGTTTTACGAATGTGTAATATTCTTCTAAATAAGGAGCAGGATCCATTCCTTCACACCATTTCGTAAAGAACATTAATCCTTCTCGTTCCTCTGGCGTTAGTCTGTATTTTATAGATTTAGGTCGCGCTCCACTAGTTATTTGTAATTTCAGTCTTTCTGTGCGAGCTAATTTCATGCGACTTTTTTTATCCAAAAATTTATCTAACACAGGCCGTTTGTATTTAGCTGGTGGTAAAAATGCTTTATTCATGGCATTCGTCATTTCTCTAAATGCCCGGAGTTCTCGTTGAGCTTTATAAGCGTTTCTCATCATTTTCAAATCTTGAGCAAAGAAGTCACTCCGAGCTTGATTTACAATATTGAAATCTAATGAATCTAGTTTTAAGTTATAATCTTCATACATGACCTCTAATATTTTCATAGGATCCTGTATGGTATGATGACCTTCTTCACACTTTCCAAATATTTGTTCGTACACATATTCTATACAAATCTTAAGTTTCAATGTACTTGGATTTGCAACACTATCGTAAAATGTTTCATATAATATTCGATAAAACTTTTCTTGTAAATGATGTTCATTATGAGTTTCCCGAGCTATATCGTTTTTTACGCTGTCTATATAAAATTGAAAATAATCCAACTCTTGCTTTGTAACTTGTTTCAACTGTTTTATACGCTCTTGTAGAATACGAAACGGGATATCAGTTTTAGCAAGCTGTCTTAAGTATTCACGGCTTTGCAGCTCCATAGTGCGAAAAAGGTACATCATTTTTTCTGGTGTCTTGAAGTACATACTTGCTGGTAATGGATTTTGGAATTCTAACACTGCAGCTTCAATAATTTTATCTATACCTAAAGTTTCGACCAAGTCATTATCAGTTGCAAATGATCCTGTTTCGAATTGAATAGATTTGATTCTACCCCTCAATGTTTCATCAAACTGTTGTCGCCAAGAAATAGGTGCAACGTAAATCAAATATCTTCTATATATTTTTAAAATACTCCTGATAGCATCAAGTTTAAATATAATATTATTCATAATTGACATAGAAGATGCATAGCCAAGAAATTCAGAATTTTTTGCAACCAATTCAGCATAAACTTTTTCAGATTTTGCTACCCTAAGACATGCCTTTTTATAATCCTCTGTTAAGAATTTTTGAAAGTTTTTTATATGTTGTTTTAAATTTTCTGATATAACGTCATAGTGTCGCTTTTCATCAGCTATACTCTGTTCTATTTTCAATATGAGATCACGTCTATAACCCGTTTGCTGACGATTCATTGCATAACTTCTGATATTATTCACATAAACCTTTATATCATCGAAACTCCTCAGTGGGCGCCCCTCGATGACTGTGTAGAATTCGGGATGTATTTCAACTACTGCACGTACATCATCAGGAGGTTCTTCAAGAAACAACCGCTGAGATAAATCTCTAGTTGCCGCAACCCTAAAATTATCTTTCAAATGTAGCGATTGAGCTAACCTATCTCTGGCATACAGTTTTTCTTTACGGTCACTATATTTTATGTATGATAAAAGTTTATCTGATCTCGGTACTTTAAATGGTCTTACACGCTTCGGCTTTGTTATATCTTTTGCAACAGCATGTTTACGATTAGCAAAATAAAATTGAGTGTTGGGTACATACCGACGTCTAAATATTACATCCAGTGTTTTTATAGGAACCATGGGTTTGCGTTCCTTATCTAAACACGACATTCTACTCTATAAAAGCTTACAAAATGATATGATTCTAAAATACAGGTAAATTAATGTACAACTCACAAGATAGCATATTTTTGACAGGCAAGTTTTATTCTTAATTCTGCATGCCGGCTCCACACTAGAGCTGTGTAATTATTACGTGAATTCGTATCGAGTAACATATGGTAACTAAAGAGTCGAATGTAGAGACATTCACGGGTCATACATTACTGCGAGATGGACGAGAAAATTGCAGTAATTTCCACGTAATCTCTATTGTGCACTCTTTGTCGCGGAAAATAAAACCAACACCCATCGGAGAATAGGCGCGAACGCGCGTGAACGCCGCGACAACCATCCACATCCACGTTCAAGTTTGTTCGCGGAGCTTCACGGCACAAGTGTGGAGCCAGCATTATAGTTTCTTCGTGTTTCTTCATGGTTTCTTCCAAAGATTGATGACAGATTGGTGAAGAATATGACTTATATTCTCTTTAGGTATACTATTTATTTCAATCTCGAAATATTTTTTAGCTTTGTATATTTTTTATATTTCATCATATATCTATGATTTCATTTCATCAAAGAAAGACAAAGAAAATAAAATTATATTTTCATTAAGTTACCTAAGTAAATAACTAATTATTTTTTCTTCTTGAAGGTTCATAAGCAGAATTCATTCTTTTAGTTAACTTATCTACATTCTTTAGCATTCTTGCAGCTTCTTCGGCTTGTTTTATTTCTTTTTCACTAATCTCATAAGTTTCTTTTTCAATTGCTTTGATAAGATTAAGATCATAAGCAGATATATCTAGTTGTAAATTTTCGTACTCGTTTTCTAAAGCTAATGCCATCTTCAGCGAACTTAATTTCGTGCCGTTTGGTGCAATCAATTTTTCGTAAGCAAATTCAATATAATTAAAAAGTTGTAAGGCTAACTCTGATGATACTAAGTATTGTAACTTTTCTTCTAATATTCTATAGAAAATTTCTTTTACATCATTTTCTCGTATTTCGTAAAGTTTGATTGTAACTTCAGTTTCTTTTATCTGTAATCACAAAAACAATCCCATTCTAACTAAAATAAATAAGTGACAAAAAAATCACTTGTATTAAAAAAAGCAGAAATAACGGAAGTACCGAACTAAAAGAATTATTATTATTAGGCTGGAATATTACAGTTAGCTACATCACAATCGAAGTGTCAAGACTGATAAAAATCATCTAAGATACATAAATTCAATTTTATATGCTCTATGAGATAATGTTATTGTTGTAACCGGTCAGAGTGGTCAATATTATAAAAAGGAAAAAGGAAGGAAATAATAAATAATTATTGTGAAGATTATTAGACTAGAAGATTTAAACATCAAGCAGTTACATGCTTAAAAAATAAAAATTATAAATACATAATAATGTTATATGTTACGATAATCAATTATATATTCGCGAATAACTGTTCAAAGGTATATATTAAAGCACTCAAAGTTATCAAAAATATTCACGATATGTATTCACGATATGGTAGATAGTTTATAATTATTAATTGTAACCAACAAAACTTGTTATTTTTTTGTTTTATTGGTAAAAACATTAACGTCTTTTTTCTTTCTCAATTTTAATTACCTGAACTCCTTTATATGTTTTATATAATAGTGGAAACTTTATTGATGTATGTTTGTTAATTAGATCTAGGTATAAGTATTAATTCATTGTTTGTTTCCCAAATAAAGATAAAATAAAAAAAAATATCTTGGTAGTGCATACATGTTAGAAGTTGTGTCTCAGTTGTACATTTTTATTCAAGTGACGCGCAAATTGAAATCGCAAACGTTTTTTGTTTAGTTAGTTAATTGCACATTCAACGTTAACCTACTTAATTGGAAACATAACATTGTATGCAAAGTAAAACTTGCATGAAATTTACACATTCTCAAAAACATATTTTTAATGCTAGCGACTTGTACCCAAATGCGATCATTCTTGTATGCAACACTTGCGTAATGGAATCGCGCCCTAAGTATTTTAAAACAAATAGACTAAGGATTCATCAACAGCCTATCTTAGTCCACTGCTGGACATAGGCCTCTCCAAATGCACGCCACTTAGATCGATCTTGGGCTACTCGCATCCAGCTCCTGCCAGCCACCTTGCGCAGATCGTCACTCCATCGCGCCTGAGGACGTCCTACACTACGTTTGCCTAGACGCGGTCTCCACTCCAGAACTTGTCTACCCCAAAGGTTATCGGTCTTCGACAAATATGGCCAGCCCACTGCCACTTCAACTTGCTAATCCGGTGGGCTATGTCGATAACTCTGGTTCTCTGCCGGATTACCTCATTTCTGATGCGATCCTTCAGAGAAACGCCGAGCATAGCCCTTTCCATAGCGCGTTGAGCGACTTTGAACCTGTGGACCAGCCGTACCGTCAGTGTCCACGTCTCGGCTCCGTATGTCATCATAGGTAGGACGCACTGATTGAAGACTTTCGTTTTTAGACACTAAGGATTATTGCATACATATCTCCTTTAATTTTATTTCAATTGAATAATCTATGTAAGCGAAGATATTTATGAATACTCTGGATGCTTAGATACCAATGAACAGTTACGACACGTACACATTTAAGATCATTTTAATGGTGTAATGTATTTGGAGACTTTTGATCTGAAGAAATATAAGACTGGTTGGTTGTGTGTACAATATTTAGAGAATTTTAAATGCAAAGATATAATTGAACATTTGTCCTTCACATCTATTTGACCACCTTGTCACCTAATATTTTTAAAAGGCTGACTGTACATTATTCACCGATAGGAGAAAGTGACCGATTACCAACGAGTGTTGTTTGGGGCCCGAGACGTTGCCAAGGGCCTTAATACACCAGAGTTAGAAAAAGAATTATTCATTCGTGGGATACATATTGCTCTATACTATACCTGCGAGGAAATAAAAGACAAATTCTTTAAATGAAATTTATATTAAAGTTGTTAGTTACTAAACTTTTGCCTGGGAGCTTTATATTGGTTTCTTGATTTCACGAGTAATAAATAGGTTCTCAATGACTGCTTAGGTAGTTGCTTTTAATTGTGGCGGTGTCAGTGAATCTTCATCATCAGTAGTATACGCCGTCTCGAATAGATTGGAAAGCAAATTAAAAACTCAGTAAAATAAAATACAGAGCGCTTTTTAGTTTTTGTTACTTTTTCAAAATTGATGTTCAGAACGTTAATAGCATATTGTTAAAAAAAAATATTGCAGTCTGCAAAATCATACTGATTACTTTCTTTTTCGAAAAAAAAAACAAAGAAAAAATAACACGTTGTCCATGAATATCCATAGGCTTTTTTAGCCCGCTCAGCGCGTTAGAAATGGATTAACATACACTTTTCCAGCCCGCTTAGTAGTATAACAGTAAAGAGGTACTTTCTGCTTAATTTTTAAAACAAGAATGAACACATATTGCAATTAAAGGCCTTTTTATATAAAAAACACTACTAATTACCTACAAATAAATCGATTCAGGGCCTGATATTCTAAAGTTTACCTTTGAAGATAAACTTTATTTACTTTATATCGATATATCGTGACTGTCATGGCCATCCATCCGACTCTAACTTTCATATTATATAATATCGTAGAGAAGAACACGACACAACGCGGTTCACGATACAACGATTATCGATATTAAGAATACAACCCTGGATTGACTTACTTTATTTCCTCTTAACTTTATGAGAGGCTGTGTAAACTGTACGTACCTTTTGTTCAATAAAATCCAAATCTTGTTTTACTGTATCTTTTAAGCAATCAAGTGCTTTTAAAAACTGGTTCTTTACAGAATTTAGTTCCTCGGTCACCAATAAGTAATGCAAATTTTGTTTCTCTAACAAATTAAACACGATAGGCAATTGGTCAGGTGTATCAAAAAATAACTTCGGTAGGGGTAAATTGCTTAATTTCTGTTTAACCAAACCAATATCAATTGTACTAAATACATCTGAATTCACTGGAAAGATTTCAGGTCTCTCTTCATCGATTTTGATATTTTGCTTTTTTTGCCACAAAACTGGAGAAGCCTTATAAAGAAACCTTTGAAATGATAATAAAATGGAAAGTGTCTCTTCGGTATATTGTAACTTAGATTTCAAAGTGGCCATTTCATAATTTTCCTTTTTAAAATTTTCAGTTTGCGCAGTTAAATCTTTAGCAAGCATATCAGATTTTTTCATTATGGCAATTGTTTTGTTATTATCATGCGCTAAGAATTTATCAAAACTCTTTTGATAATCATCGAAATGTTTTAAAGCGGTATCAAAAATTTCTGTCTCCATTTTCATTTGTTTATCTATCCTTATGATTTCATCGACCAGGAATCCATGGAGAGTTCGTTTCAGGGCCACTTCTTTAATATTGTGCTTGTACTTTTGAATCGATGTATCATGTCTAATGGGTCGTCCCTCAACAAGAGAATAAAAACTGGGATCCACATCAATTACTGTTTTTATATCACCAGTCTGTATTGATTCAATCGGGGGCAGTTTTATACCCGCTATTGTTTTTCTTGTACTTCTTCTTACAAATTTCTTCTTTTTTTCACTCTCCATAACTGAACACAGCAAAGCCAAACTATTAAATTAAATCAATATCTCTATAGCAACCGCAGAGATAAATAGAATTGGTCAGATTATAAAATTCCTGGAAAAGTCTGTTTTACTAAAGATAAAACAAAGTCATGCACGCTATACTAATAAGAATAAACAAATATAGCTACAAGATACATAAATGTATGACTGTTTCCCAGTAGAAAAGCTGTGAATAACTGTTGACTGCTTAGTGAAGCAGTCTGAGATTGGCACTTGTAAGTGTACAAGTGCCAATGTTAATTTTTGTTATCTAAAGTAGGAAGTCGAATAAAACAACAAAATTACAATTTGAAATTCTTATTTTATATTTACATAAAAAGGCATAGGTGCAAATTACAAAATGACTAGATGTTTCTGATTCTATTATTCATAATATTATGTATGTACTGTGTCTCAATTAGTTTCACAATGAGATCACTTAAAAAAATCTTGAATATATAATATCTGATGTGTATTATACGCTTCATTCGCTACTTGAGCTTGCACTTTGTTGATCTTCTCTGTCCTCATCATCGGCTTCTTTCTCCTTTTTAATCAGTTCCCAAGGCATGACAGGTAATGGTTCCACGAAAGAATCGTCGATCTTTAACTTGTAGAGCAGCCGAGGCGTGAAATGAGTTGGCAGAGGCCACACAGACTCTGTAGAAATTAATGTTTATTTAGTTATCATCATTATCAGCCTATTAATGTCCCATTATGGTAGTAGAATAGGGAGATGCGGGCCATGAAATGACCCAGTGCAGATTGGTGTGTGCTAGCGACTACAGACGCAGCCGAGACCAACCACTGAACATGCCTTTATAAACACGGAGGAGCTCGAGATAATCAATTTTTAGTCACCCCATCCTACACCCGCCCAGATATTACGAATTGGCGATACTTCCACGGTCGCGAACATATATGTAACCACTGCGTTGTCAAGCTCCTTATGGTATGTTATAATCTTGATTTTAAAATCAGTCAACACAGTCATGAATATTTCGGTAAAAGGTCAAGTGCATCAGTGTTTCTAACTGCAGTAAAGTACTCTAGGGGCCTTACGCTTATTCTAAGTTCTTATATAACACCAACCTTACCACAGATTTCGTATTTTAAAGAAGCTAATATCTCGACCGAAGAAAGCAGATTTTCGTTGTTCCAAGAAAAGAGTAAATGGTAAAAACAATGTTGTTAAATTAGTAATCAGTAAAGTGCTTATGGTAAAAGCCTTTCAGCTCCACGAAAGTGAAAGGTGATATGGGATGTATCGTGCTAATCAAACTGATAGACCTTCATATCGCACATATCTATATACTTTGGTGATTTTATACAGGTAATAGTTTTATATTATCATGCGTCAGATCAGTCTTTGGTTAGCGGGAAGAAAATCACACATTGTGATTGTGGCGGGTGTAACAAACGTCAATTATATCCTGTTTGGGTGCAGCCTGCCAGACGACGACCGCCTAACAGAAATGCTGTGTCAAACACGCAACATAACCTTGAAGGTTATCTAGAAATAACGGATGAATATCTAATAACGTCCATAGAGCATAAACTGACCAAAGTAAAATACGTAGTCGTCGACGCGCCTGTGGAAATGAGCCACGTAACGCAAGTCCAAGACGTGCGGCGACTGCAGCAAAAAGTCCAACAATCCCACTTCTGGCAGCGCCGTTATCTTTGGATCCACTGCGCTCAACCCTTCGAAAGAAAGCTAAGAAAAGTATCTTATGATCATATGCATAGATATAGAGAATTATCTGAGCAATGCTGCGAGTAAAATTGAACATGAACATGTTCGAATTCAATTTGCGGCGAGTGAATCTATTCGCAGCGGATAGCCTGTCACATACAGCGAATAATCGCATCGAGTAGTGCCTCAATTCGCGGCGAATGCACTCGCAGCGAGTATTCGCTGTATGTAACTGTGGCTTTAAGGCGGCTGAGGCTCTTAAAGCTTTGTAAATGTAATTTCGAAATAGATGTAACGCAACCTATAGTTCATAATTATAATTTTCATAATTATTACTACTTTGCCGTAAGTTTATGATGACTATATTATATATGGTGCGATTTACAGCTATATTTTAGGGCGTGCGCTGCCTTAAACGGGCACACAAAGCGGACTTTCGCTACTAGTGCAATTTCGTGTTATTTCATAGAACAGTGCTACGATTTTGTCTTCTTTTAACCGTTAGAAACGATACTGATGCTTATCCCAATTATTCTGCTCACACGCAACGCCTTCCCCAGAGATCTCCACGCTGATCGCAAGTCCGCCCTTACGTTTTATCAAATTGTGTACTCACGTTCGCTTCCGTCTTCGACAAGTAACACAGTTTGTTGATCTTCATCATGCATATCCGGAGCTGCTCGATGTGATCCTGTAGCGGAGCGTACGCGTCCAGCTTGCTGATCAACGATGGCGGCCGTGCCGTGACCGCCTTCCAGTCGTGAAACAGTAACTAAAGGAATATAATTTCAGGATTACCAAACCTTTACTTTTTCCTAGGCAAATATTTAAGAGTAAGTCTATTATTGAACAGGATAATAACGGATAATTTGCAAAAGATAAAAATAAACAAATGTATTCATGCGTGTAGTGCTTAAGACTTTATCGTTAAACTGACTGTTGATGTTAAGGTACCCTCCAAAAGCATGTCTGGGGCGGGATGTCAGGTTTGTCATAGGTGACAAATTTGCTACCTATGACAGACTGTACACCCCAAAAAAATTCGGAAGTGTTACTAGTTTTACAAAAGGTTTCCATGGGTGATAAGGTGCTAAAACAAAAGAAGTGGGCCTGCCAATATTCACTGAAGAAAGGCTCACTTACTGTCGTTATGGAATGATAGATCATCAGCATTTTCAAACGTTTGAACATCTTCCTTTCTGGTTTTGGTTCAGCTTCTGGCTCCAAGATTGCGGTCAGACCTTCAGCGGCTGCCTCCTCCGCAACACGGAGAACTTCTTGAGTTGCGTCTTCGTCTATCTTGCGCATATTTTCAATCCATTCCTCTTCTTTCTTAAGCAAAAATCTGAGCTGCCTGTGCACTGTATCCTCAGAGCCCTATATCAATGTTTGGTGCAAACATACATATTTAACGGTGGCCAACTGGCCACTGACCATCATGCCGCTTGATACAGTAACTAGGTCAAACCAAACTAACCAGGTGGTGGGAGAAATTTTGGAGGGATATGCTACTTGACATAAAGATCATTTTCTATCAATATCAACTGACACCGCTTAATTAACCGTGAGGCATTGCTGGACTCACGTATGTGAGCCTCGGCTTCGCCTTGGCCCACATTTACACGTTCGTCCATCAATGCCTCTTTTGCTGGCCGCTGCAGTATTGTACTATAACGAGATTATTCTCGTCGGTACAGAGTGAAGGGGTAGCTAAGTTGGAGCCTGTGCTCCAGAGTTAAACTTCGCAAGTCTAAATTGGTTTCAGGATGTATTTGTATAAACGCAGTTGGTTTTCCAGTGACAACTGTGATTTTTTACAGAGTCCGAGGTTGTTCTTCTTGAGTTTATCTGCAGTTTATTGAGTGACACAGGTATTTCCTACTAAAATAATTAGGTATTCTGGATAGAATACAAACCTCGAGTACATGAATGAAATAACTGTCATAAACGATTAAAAGGCCGTTTACGTTTATCTCACAATAACTGGAATTCACATCTCTTACGGTTTTATGGAAATATGATATAAGCTCTTCTTTGGGTAACGTGTGTTCACCAATATAAAACATACGGATAGCATAAGTTTTCTGAAACCAATGAAATTATATTGTCCTTAGAATATTTAACCACATAAGAAATAACACATACGACGGCAGCACCAAGAAAACTTATAGTACCTACTTACATAATTTGACACTACATTTATTTTAATAAAATTATAAGGATTTTATTAAAAATAAATGGTCTTTCCCCTGGTAATTGAAACTCATAAGTAGTATAACTATTTCCAACACTCACACCAATTAGCCTAGTCCCAAAGTAAGCACTGTAGGCTTGTGCTATGAGATCCTAAGGTAACGGAATAGAAATACATATTAAACATCCACGACTGGAGAACAAATGGTCGTATTCATCACATAAACATCTACCCGCATCGGGATTCGAACCCCCTATGGGATCTCTCGAGCAGGTGACACATTGAAACCCGGCGTACAAACCACTTAAATAAGTACTGGTATCTATTCTGGCACGATTCTCTAAACTTAAATCTAAATTCAACATCAGTCTCCTCTTTTCATTCTATATAGAGAATGACAAGAATACCCTGTTGTCAAATTTAAGTTTAGGTTTACAGAATCCTGTCAGAATCGACACCACTAGCGGCCGCCCATGACTTCGTCCGCTTATCCTTTGTTCCATTCCAGGTCATGAACTATATGCGTACCAAATTTCACCCAAATCCGTTCAGTAGTTTATCCGTGATTGAGTAACAAACATAAACACTCACAAACATAAAAAACTTTCGCATTTATATATTAAGTAGCAGGATAGTATTGTTATGATGTTGTATGGCCACCCTTACATAGTGTGTTGTTACTTGTTACTAATGTTTGTCTGTAGCGATGCTATCACTTCGCCCCTTCTTTTTACTATAGTCGCTCTCTCTGTCTGCGAATCTGCCATGCGTAAGTGGAGCTTCATTGTCCAATTAATATATCACTGTTATAATTAATAAAGTGCTCCTATAAACTTTTGCCCTATTATTTTCTAACCCCGCTCGACCATATTATTATGTATACTATGACTTGGCACAACACAAAAGAATAGATATAGTTATCTATTCGACCATATTTCCGTTAGGTAATGGATTTCTCCAACTTTATAAAATGACAATAATTATAAATATGTACGAACCAAACCGATTCTCTTGAAATTCTCTTCTACTACATCGAGCACAGACCGAACATCAAGCTCGGGCAAAGCCATTGTTTCTTTGAACGCTTCTTCTTTTAAATAATGAATGTTCTGTCATCATTACAAATGGTGATGATTTATCTCTGATTTTATTTACAAAGCATCTGATGACAGACACCTACACAAGATAGTGTCATCAAGGTAACCAAGGAAACGAACACAGATATCAGAATGGAAAGTTTTGAAAACAAGGGTGCTTTCAACATTTCATTTTGTTTATTATTAATCATTCTTATTGTATAATTCTTATCTCATAATCAGTTTTACTTTTTCACCTCCTAGACTAAACCGCTTTCAATAAATATTGGTACAGAGATAAAGGGCACCTTGGGGAAGGGCTAAGGCTATTTTTCGAGTCACAAAAACTGGAACAGGGTAGGTAATATTAGCTGGTAAGCAGCATCATCAATGGGGAGGTATTCTCCATCTACAGTTTAACAAGAGGCGACTGGGATAACACCGATACCCCCACCCATCCAAAGTTAGTATTAGTACAGACATATGATTATAATCTTTATTACGAATTCGTAATAAAGATTATTATATATATTTCTAAGATATAAACAATGGTGACAGATTTTGGCATGATTCTTTAAACTTAAAACTAAATTTAAAGGATACAACTGTTGTCAAATTTAAGTATAGGTTTAGAGGACCCTGCCAGCATCGACACCATTGACTTTATAAGAAGGGTAGGTAGGTAGGGCCATAGACTTGTAGTCCATAGCGGATTTTCCGGTAGCCAGTCTGACAGAAGAGTAGTAAAATCATAACACTACTTTTTAAAAGTGTTGTTTCTTTGGTTTCTTTGGTGAGCTCCACGGGGTAGAAGATTGGGCAAGGTGAGAATGGCTAAAGGGGTAAAATTTTTAAGGGTAGTGGCGTATTTAGGCGTATTTTTATAAAAAAAAGATTATTGAACCAGTTTGCGTGGCTGCCCCATCATGTCACGCATAATCTAGGGGTGGGCCGTAGTGCCAATTGGTGACCGGGGCATGGTGTCCCGGGGGGGTACGGGAGCCCTTCCGCCCGGCGGGTCGGCGCATCTCCTTTGCAGGCAGTCATTCGGGGAAAAAAATCTCGCTAATTTACTTCCGTTTACAGACGACGGCGCCTTTAAGAGGCAAACCGCCGAACGGACCTCACACCTGGCTCCCGCAAGCAACTGTTACGGGCGTTTTTGGGCATAATATCCGCTAAAAAAACCCTGCGAATACCCTCTAAGCTGCTTACTGCGAAGCCGCGGGGTCACCGTTTTGGAATTCTTCCGCGTTTCCGCACCCAGCAGCCTCCCGGCACGGCACAATGCGCCATACCGGCCAGATAGGGATCCCTCGGGCAGGGTCATGGGATGGCCGCAGCCAGGGCGCGCACTCGTTCTCTCCTGCCCGCTCTTCTTCAGCGGGAGGAAGCGGCTAGGGGATCATCCTCCTGCTCCCTCTTGGTCGCCTCCTGCGAAATGACGTTCTCGCAGAAGGAGGCGGCGAAGGAGAGGGTTCCGCCTCCCAGCGCCGCGATCAGGTCACTACGCTGCTGCCGCCAGGTTGAACACTCCAACAAGGTTTGCTCGGCCGTATCGTCCAGGGCGTTTCCTCCCGACGGGCGCAAACACCCTGTACCATGACAGGTAGTGACCGAAGCATCCGTGCTCGGTCAGTGCACCATGCGTAACGAGACGCCGCCACGACCCAACCACTCCTCCAACACCGGATGAATGGCCTCAATCGTCCGGTGGCCGGCGCTTACATGGGCGAGAGCCCCATTCCATCGCCGCAAGGCCTGCGCGATGGAACGGACCTGCCGCAGATTTGCTGGGGTAGGTCTTTCTCCCCGCTCCCTGGCTTCGACCCGACCTCTAGGCACGTCTGCCAGAACATGCGCATCGAGATCCCACGGCTGTTATACCCGCGGGTGCGAGTACGCAGACGGCGCCGTGGCTGACCGTGCGGTACGCTCGCACGGCCAAGGTCGTGATTGTCCTCTGCCGTCGTCGCAGCAGGGCCACCGTGCGGGGTTTGAGGCACTCTGCTCAAACCCCCCACGTTTGGGAGGACCCTGCCGAGTGCGGCTGCGGCGGCGCACAGCCGTGGAGCGAGGAGCTTCAAGTGTTCCTCCAACTTCCATCGGGATTCAACACCAGGCCGAGGTACTTCAGGCTTCCCCTTGTTCGTACGTACTCGATGCTTTGGATAGGTTACAGCGGCGCGCGATCCGCATCATAGGGGATGAGTTGACTAAACACTTCGACCCTCTTCAATTACACCGTGACGGGGCGTCACTAAGCGCGTTCTATCGGCTGTACCACGGCGAGTGTTCTGAGGAGTTATTCTCTCTTATTCCACCTTCCCCTTTCCTTCAGAGGACCACGCGCTCCAGCCTACGTTGTCCGTCTAACTGTGGCCACAATTCCAACGCGTACAAAGAAGTTTCGTGACTCATTTCTTTGTCGCACTATCCGTAAATGGAATGCTCTGCCCGCTCGTGTTCTTTGCTTCTTACAACCTGGGATCCTTTAAAAAAGGGGTGAAGAAGCAATGCAGTCCGGCAAGGTGAGGCAGGCAGAACTGTTGTACCAGCTATCTTAACGTCTGGACTTCACCGTCACTTAACATCAGGTTGGGTGGAGTCATTTGTCGGACCTATCAATAAAAAAAAAGGAAAAGAAGCGTCAAAGAAAATTATTTTCCCACAGCGGGATTATCAGTAACGAGGACAACGACGCAAAGATGGGAATAACGAATAATAAAAACGCGTATAGTTTAACTACAATAATAATTTATTTACTAGAGATTGTTAACCTAGTACCTAAACTTATTACTACGAAACTTGTTAAATCTGCCATTCGGACTCCAACTATTTTGTCGTTTTGAATTATATCCATATTGATGTTTATCTTTATTTTTGGATAAATAAAAGCTCCTTTCCATATCTTCTAACTCCTTAGGTACTTCCTGAAAAGATAAATATATTTTATTCACTTCAAAAGTCTAAACAGCAAACAAATAATATTGTATTGAACTCTCATGGTTACTAACATTATAGTTACTAAAATGTTAATGACCTACTGTATTATAGTATTCCTACTACCTACTTATTATCTATATCTTCTACCTACTATAATAAAGAAGGTAATTTAGGTTATTTCCGGGATTGTACAAAAACCAGAATAATGAAATCGTATGTGCAAAAACCAGATAATTGATTCATTCATGTGAATACTTGTATAAAAGGTTACGCGGATGCCAGCGCGTTGTCGTACCTACTCGTAAATAGTGGTACTGGTATCAAACGCACTAAGACTTCGTCAGAGGGTAGACCAGTAGTTTACCAATAACATCCTACCTGCAATTACTTCAGTTACTCTGTGATCATGCCACTGCAACAGTATCTAAGTATTGAGTAATTGCAAAAAATATGTTCATGATAGCAAACCTTTAAATAACAAAATCAAAAACATATAACAGAAAAAATATTGATTTATTTGGTGGAAGTTCATGTGAATACTTGTATTTGTTGGTATAGTAATAATCGCAATAGGGATAACAACATTTTCTTTTTCTAGATGAAGAAATAAATATTTGTGAGTCTTTTCATCAATAATCAAAATCATTTATTCAGTTTAGGCTGTTACAAGCACATATGAATGTCTAGAAGCTACGCCATCGGTTCGTAAATCTACGGCGGGAGACCTTGTACTGAGAAGAACCGGCAAATTACTCAGCAAGGGCTGTTTTTTTCTCCCTGTTTTATCATTTACAGAGTCGTCAGGTTGAAAAATGACTTCAGAGATGATTCATGAAGTCACCCTTCATTACATAATGTGAAATTATACATTAATTGTACACCTGCATTTTGATTGCTGTGTCACACAGTATAAATACAAACAGAGTTATTTATAATAGGTGTGATTAAACATTTACATCTTAAATATCAAAGTAGTTAGGGCAGACTCATCTCCGCTGGCAGCACCCGTTCACGAGCATGACGCATGAACCAGCCATCGCTTCGCTCAACCATATTTTAGGGAACGTAACGACCCGCCTCACACGACACCACCGAAGAGACTTTTAAGAGAGCATGACTACCCATAACCACCTATATCAACCACAACATATTTACTTAAACTTAAAGTCATTTATCTGTAGGACACTGCAAACAATTACAAAGCAAAAACAATGGAGAAATCATGACCACGCCGTTTTGTCATTCAAATCTTCTTAAATAGTCTGATATTCTTCCTTACGTAATCAGCTTTAAATACAGCTTTTCAATAGAAGTATCATCAACACATGATTCATAATATATATCATATAGAAATACCCGTTGGAATGGTTGGAACAGTTCAAACCCAAGCATTTTTGTCTGTAATATCAGACACTTTATAATAAGCATTCTTAATAAGAGTTTTTTTAATAGTCGATTTAAATTTAGTCAGGCTCAACTCTTGAATATTGCTTGGGACTTTATTGTAAAAGCGAACACAGAGGCCTCTAAACGAATTATTAATTTTGTGGAGCCTAGTAGCAGGTAAAGTTAACTTATTTTTACTTCTAGTATTAAGTGTATGTATTTCACTATTTTTTGTTAATAAACTAATATTTTTTTGACATATACTAAGTTTTCATATATGTATTGTGATGCAACCGTCATTATGCCTATTTCTTTAAACTTATTTCTTAAAGAGTCCTTAACTTTAAGATTATAAATTGATCGAATAGCCCGCTTCTGCAACACAAATATTGTTTGAATGTCGGCGGCATTTCCCCACAGTAAAATACCGTAAGACATTACACTATGAAAATAACTAAAATAGACTAATCTGGCAGTTTCTATATCCGTTAACTGACGTATTTTCATTACAGCATATGCTGCAGAGCTAAGTCTCTTCGATAATTTATCAATATGTGGGCCCCATTGCAACTTTGAATCTAGTGTGATTACTAAGAACACTGTGGTATCTACAAGGCTCACATTTCGATCCTTTATATTTACATTCGTTTTTACCTGTTTAACATTAGGTAAAACAAATTTCAAACACTTAGTTTTCCCTTCATTTAGCAGTAAATTATTAACGTTAAACCAGTGGACTACCTTAGAAATAGACTTGTTCACGTCGTCAATTTGCGACTGCCTACGTTTAATTTTAAACAAAAGTGAAGTGTCATCCGCAAACAATACTATTTCATGGTTATCCTTTACAAAATAAGGCAAATCATTGATATAAATTAAAAATAAGAAAGGACCAAGGATTGAGCCCTGCGGAACTCCCATCTTAACCGACGAACCAGGAGATTTTTCTCCATTGATGTCAACCCTCTGAACCCTATCACTCAAATATGATACAATAAGATCCAGAGTGGTATCTCTAAATCCATAGTGCTGTAGTTTCCTGATCAATGTTTCATGAAAAACGCAATCGAATGCCTTTGATAAGTCGCAAAACACACCAAGTGCATCATGCGAGTTCTCCCAGGCATCAAAAATTTGCTGTACAACCTCAACACCGGCATCGGTTGTTGAGCGACCCCTTGTGAAACCAAATTGTTTACTATGCAGAAAGTTATTACTATAAAAATATGATTGCATTTGATCTAGCATAATCTTTTCAAAAATCTAAATCATCCACTCAACATATTTGGTTAGGTTAGACCATGTGACTATGAACAATAGTCACATGGTCTAACCTAACCAAATATGTTGAGCACTGCTAACAGAAGTCCTTACTAATACTAACCTGATTGGCTTCCCGCAACACAGCTATTAAGCTTTTGGCCTGCCTTTCATTTTCACTCGTAAGAATTGTATGAGCTATACCCTTATTATTCTGACGGCCTGTTCTTCCAATTCTATGTATATAATCTTCAGATGTATTGGGGAAGTCGAAATTTATCACATGTGTTATACCATCAACATCTGAAAATTCAGATAAACACTAATTAGTTATTAACCTTTGTTGAACAAAAATGCAGATCCGCACCGAAAATCAATTGATATCAAATTGTGTTTGGAGATGGTCGCACACATATTAATTTATTTTTGAATATTTCATGTGATTTTTGATATTTGAGACACTTTAATATGGCCAAATTGGATTGATTCAGATTATATTATCCATACTGTGAAATTTGGACATGTTACTCCAAAAAATATATTTGATTTGTGGCTGTTTTATACTTACCTAGTCCTCGGGCAGCAACATCAGTAGCAACAAGAATATTGGTTCTACCAAATTTGAACTTGTTGATAACAGTATCCCTCTGAAGCTGAGTTTTGTCTCCATGGATGCCAACAGCGGGCCAACCGTTTCTTCTAAGCATCAATGCTAATGTGTCCACAAATTTCTTGGTGTTTGTAAACACTAGTATTTTACCAAAACCATCTCCAGAAATGCTGTGCATGATTGATTTAAACCTAAAATAAAAAATTTAGATATTTGAAATGAAATATCAAAAGAACTGTTAAAGTGCAAATCTGAATCGCACTCAACAATATTAAATACCCTTGATACAACAACACGAACAAAATCATATCTGAAACCTGTCCAAAAAGTTCATTGGACGACCCACGGAGCTAAGAGTACTAGAGCTTTGTAAGAGTTTGCGTAGTCAAACACAATATAAGGCATTATTCAAACACTGAAAGTCACCTTTAATGCATACTGTAATAAATAAATAAAAAATAAAAATTATTTACCAAAATTAAAGCCACAATCATTTTTTTTAATCTTATATACTTATAATTATGGTCCTCTGAAAGGGTGAAGGCCTCCTCCATTTCCTTCCACGCGTCCCTGTTGTTGGCTTTTTGGGTCCAGTTCTCCAGCTATGCTTACAATGTCGTCTGCCTACCCTCCTTTTTCCTATGGGTCCTGTCCACTTTGTCACTGTAATAGACCATCGGTCGTCTGTAAGGCGGCAGAAATGTCCAGCCCAGCACCACTTTAGTTTTAGTGCATGTGCGAGAACATCAGTCAGTTTGGTCTTTGCTCTTATAGTGGTACTCTTTACTTTATGGACCTTTCTGATTTTGAGGATACTCCGCTCCATTGCCGTCTGTGTGGTAGTTAGTTAGTTAGTTTTTCAGGGCGGTTTCCGCACTTAGTCCTAATTATTGGACCATTGTGCGTATGTCAAAAACATTCCCGCTTACTCCAGCCAGCCTATATCGGTCCAGAAGGAAAGCAGCCTTGATAGACTGCTGCAAACTTCCGGAAACGATTCTGGTGACTGGAGAAGTCGTGCCCGTTGGTCGGCCACACTCCTGCATTCCATGATGACATGCTGTGGTGTTTCTTCTGCCTCCATGCATCCTCTGCATAGGGGGCTGTCTGTAACTCCTATTGTATATAGGTGTTTGTTTAGGGGACAATAACCAGTCAGGGATCCTATAATCCTGCGAAGTTTGTCCCTATTTAGTTTGGTAAGGTTGCGGGCAAAACTTTTATTTACCGCCGGAACCGCGTTTTTCGTTTGCCGGCATCCTTCACCTATTTTCCACTCCATCAAGTGTGATTTATGAGTTATTTCACGCAGCCACGTTTTAATTTGGGCCTGAGGTATGGGCAGCAAAGGCTCCGGACCATACATCTTTGTGTCTGCTCCCCTCTTAGCCAGTTCGTCTGCTGCGTCGTTTCCAATTTAGCTGCTGTGTCCTTTTATCCATTGCAGAGTTACCGTGTTGCTAACCGCAATGGATTGAAGTGCCTTGTGGCACTCCATTACTAGGACAGAGTTTATTGTGTTGCTACGTAGGGCTTGAAGCACGGATGCACTGTCAGAGATGATCTTGATGGTATACTCTCTGATATCTCTGGCTGCAACCGCCTGTGCCGCTCTGGTAATGCCAATACATTCCGCCTGGAAGATTGTACTTTGTTTGCCTAAGGTTGTAGATATTTTAATATTCAGGTCGTTTGATAAGACACTGGCTCCAGTGCCACTGTTGGTTTTGGAGCCATCCGTGTATTAGGATGTACTTCCCCGGCGCCGAAGTAATCTGCCTTTTCCGCGGTAAGTTGGATATTGTATCTTCGATCAAAGACGTGTTGACTTAATATTCTATCCATAGGTGCCTCCAAGAGTGGGATCTCCTTCGTGCACTTTTGTAGAATATTGGAGTGTGTTGTTACAGTATTTAATCTCCATAATCCTAGAGACTTTAGTCTCAAGGCTGCTGCTTTCGCCTCTTCTTGTATGACCAGGTCCAATGGTCTTAAATTCATGAGGTACTCTAATGCAGCCGATGGAGTTGTTCTCATGCATCCAGTTGCTGCTACGCTCGCCAAGCGTTGTAGACTTTGGAGTTTGGATTTCACTGTGGTCAGTTGGGTCCTGGGCCACCAAACAACTGAACCATAGGTTATAGAGGGCCTGATGACTGCTGTGTATAACCAAAGGGACTTTGGACTTAGACCCCACTTTTTACCAACTAGTCTTCTACACTGATTAAAAGCTATGCAGGCCTTCTTTGTTTTTAAATCAATATGACTCGCCCAATTCAGTTTGTTATCAAGGATTACGCCCAGATATTTTACTTGTGTTGATAGGGAGAGTTTGGTATCAAAACACTTTTGGTAACTGTAGTTCAGGTAGCTTCCTTTTGTTGGTGAAAAGGACTAGCTCTGTCTTGTTCGGGTTTACTGACAAGTGATGTTCGTCACACCATTTCTCCACAATCTGAAGGGCTGAACGCATAACCTTGCAAAGGACATTTTCAGCGTTCCCATTTATCAGAATTGTTAGGTTGTCCACATAACCAATAGTAGTGTATCCTCTGTCATTCAGACTCCGTATGAGACTGTCCACTACTATGTTCCAGAGAAGTGGTGATAGGACTCCCCCTTGTGGGCATCCTCTGACTACCTTCGCACGCGTGGTAGCGTTCCCCACTATCTGAACCGGCCTTTTGCCAACCAGTTCGGTGATCCAACCTCTGGTGACTTGGTCCACCTTGAGTTTTCTTAGGACGTGGTTAATGCTGTTGTGCATCGTTTTGTCAAACGCACCTTCTATGTCTATGAAGGCTGCCAGTGTTGAGATTTTATTTGTGATTGCCGACTCTATTTTGTGGACTACTGAATGCAGTGCCGACTCTGTTGATCTGCCTTTCTTGTAGGCTTGCCTATGTTGTTGAGGGTGCAGCGGAGCCTTACTTAGTGCTCCATCCCTATGGTGTCGGTCTACCAGTCTTTCCAATGTTTTTAAGAGAAAAGAGGTTAGGCTTATTGGTCTGAAGGATTTGGCTTGTGTGTAGTCGTCCTTGCCTGGTTTCGGTAAGAAGACTACTTTTGCCTCCCTCCATGGTTTTGGTATGTACTTGAAGGCCAGGCAGGCCCTAAAGATAGGTTGTAGGTATCTAATTGCCTGACCTAGTTGCCATTGTAGTAGCGCCGGTTATATACCATCTAGTCCCGCTGACTTAAATGGTTGAAAGCTTTTTAGAGCCCATACTATCTTTTCCGCCGTTACTATTGTTTTTGCCAGGTCCCATTCCTGGGTTGTTGGTGCATTGTGGTGCTCAGTCGTCTACTCCAGGCCTGGCGCCAGTTGGCATCCTGGGAAGTGGGTTTCCAGTAGCACCGCATTGGCTTCTTCTTCTGTTTTTGTATAAGTGCCGTCTTCCCTTTTCAGAGATCCAAGGAGGTTGGAGTTATCCTTGGACAGAACTTTCTTGAGTGTGTGTGGTAGTTATTTTACTTTTGACCTTCTTTGTGTATACCCAGGACTGGCATCCATATAGTAGGCATGGTAGCAGGCATGTGTCCATCACTAATTTTTTGTTACTGAGACTGTGGTTTCCTTTCAAGATTTCTTTTAGGGACCAGAACTTTTTCCAAGCTAAGTTTATTCTGCGCTCTACCTCTTCCTCCCTAGCTTTATTGGTGAAAGATACTTGTTTTTCTAGGTAGATGCATACTGTAAAAGGTCTTAATTAAAACGCATCAGTCAAAGAGTTATCACAGTTTGAAATGCAAGCTCATAAAATTTTACAACTTATTTCTATATGCAGAAGAATAAAGACTGTCTGAATTGTTTGACACTATTCGCAATTCTGAATACCCTGTTAGCAATATAGCAGGTACGGACATCAAGAAAAAGTGACAGAGTTGTTTTTTCACAGAGCTCTGGGGCATCTTGACTTTTCAATGGTCTGCACGTGACTGTGGACCAAGAAGTACTTGAGTGATGTTCAAGCACATCTTGATTGGGACACATTTTGAACGCACATGATGTATCTAGGGTATTTAATATTGTTGCTTGCACTGCAAAAGATCCTGTAACCATGTAGATGATTCCTCCCGTTTTATTCTTTGACTTATTTGTTAAAGCCTACATACCCTACAAATTTGATTCCCTTTAATGCTTTAATGCTCTTAAGGGAATCATAAGCTAGAATGATCAATATTTTGCTTGTGTTGACTTAGAAGTCCGATTTTATAACTGCTCCCAGGGATTACAGATATAAGATATTAAATTCAGCTTAATACCTCCATGTGTTTCTAAGAAAAAGGCATAAGACTCTTTTTCTTAGAAACACATGGAGACAGGCACAAATGGACAGACAACAAAATGATCCTTCAAGGATTTTTTCTTTAACATGCATCATGATAATGTTTGTTTATAAAGATAAAAATATTACCCACTTGTTCATCTTTTCTTCTTGATCACAAATATGAATATTTTGTTTTATATTATGATTAGCTGACAATTCTGTAGATCCTACATTCACTTGAACATATTCTCCTAGATAATCTTCGGCCAGCGATTGTACTTCTTTAGGCCATGTTGCTGAAAACATCATAATCTGCCGTTCTAATGGCACACCTTCTAGTGCTTGTCTAATCTGGGGCTCAAATCCCATGTCCAGCATACGATCTGCTTCATCTAACACTACATATGTGCACCTACTCAAATTGGTGACTTTACTGATAAGGAAATCATTCAATCTACCTGGTGTAGCAATGACTATATCAACTCCCGACTGTAGTAAATTAGCTTGTGTGTTTCTATTTGCCCCACCATATATACATGCACATCTTATACCCAATAACCTTTCGAAATCTTTAGCAACCTCTTCAATTTGTCTAGCCAATTCTCTTGTTGGAGCTAAAACTAACACTCTAGGCCCTAAACCCTTTCTACCAACTGTTTCCTTTATATGAATAACTGCTGGTAGAAGATATGATAGTGTTTTACCAGTTCCAGTCTGTGCAATTCCCACAAAATTTTGTCCACTTAATGCAATTGGCCAACCTTGTGCTTGAATAACAGTGGGCTTCTCAAAACCTTGTTCGTTGAGAAAGTTTTTTATATAATCAGGAAATTTACTACTGTTAATATCAGTATAAGGATCTGGAATATTTTTGCCAAATATTGTTATGTTATGTTCATTTCTATAAACATCTATATCTTTTTGTTCCACTGCAGTTGCAGAGTATAATCGCAAATCATAAAATACATTAAATTGCTTTAGTTTACTATTTAAATAATTCACTGATTTTTCAGCTTTTTGATGTTGTTTATTAATCGCTGTCAGACTTCTTGCATCATGGAAAAACCTAAAATAAAAAAAAAAAGCTTTACTATAGATTTTCACGTTCATGTGATAATGGCAATGCTCTTATTTTATTACTTACAATTTAGCCAATCCCTTGGGCTTCAGAAGATTTCTCGTGAAATTATATGCCATTTGAGTTTCTTTTTGGTGTCAGAACGATAATCGATTCAAATCAGAAATTTTAATGTACTTATGCTTTTATATCTATTCCGGAATACATAAAACACGAATCTTTGCACTCCGTACTGGTACTGCACCTTACTTTGCGGTAAATAATATATCTATTATTTTTATTACGTTACTTGACAATATGAAAAAAAAAATCTCTTCAGTGATGGCTAGCTAAAACAAATTGTATGAAATAGGAACGCAAGGAAGAAAAGAGGTTAGGTTAGGTTTTTTCATTTTAATTAAGTTTTACAGCCCTGTATTCTTGCCCTTTTAGTCTCTGCAGATTAAAGGCAGAAACATATTACACATGTCATGTCGCGACGCGCTAGAAGCACATCACTTTCACACAATTGCTAGTCTATTCTTTTTAATGGCAATTGTGTCGATGCCAATGTCGACAATTCTGCCGAAGTGATGGCCAAGCGTGTGCTTGGTCGATTTGTTCAAAAACCTGTAATAGAAATCTATAGCTTATCCAGCGATGACATTGAAACTGGATGTGTTTATCCAACTTGGACCTATTGGTTAGTATGCTGAAACAAAGACACAAAACTATTCTGTAAGTTAAGCTCTTGTAGATATTATCTAAGCGTTAGAACATTAAATTGCATTACACTACAGTATACATGTTTAAGATTGAAAAATTGACAGTTTTATGGAATTACAATGGATAAAAGTCATCAATGTCCTAGCAAGTTTAGGAGTAAAATAGGTGAGAAGGGAAGCCATGTTGATCGGGAGCGGGATTTTAACTCTGCGAGGCGGTGGTATAAATCAAGAGAAGGAATATTTTTGGAACACCTGAAGAAAATGTGTTCCAGGGTGCCTTCGTCTAAGCCACATTCGCAAAGAGAAGAGTCCCGAAAACGAATTTTATGTAGGAAAATGGGCAACCCATAGATGAATGATTAGTCTCGCTTTACTCGACTAGATACCGCCGGCGTACTTGTCTAATGGTAGCCATACACACTACGAGAAATCGTTACGATGAGACTGTACAGTTCGAACGGAACAGTTTATCGTACATGGCATATAAGTCTTAGGGTGCGGCCAGAGTGCACACAGATTCAGATTCAGATTCCGAAAACAAGCGCGTGAAATAAACAGTGTAGTCTAAGCAGGTTGCCTGCTTTTTCTCGCGCTTTGTTTTCTGAGTCTGAATCTGAATTAGGAGTGCACTCCGGCCGTACCCTTCGACTACACTGTTTATTTCTCGCGCTTGTTTTCGGAATCTGAATCTGAAAACAAGCGCGAGAAATAAACAGTGTAGTCTAAGCAGTTTGCCTGCTTTTTCTCGCGCTTTGTTTTCTGAGTCTGAATCTGAATCAGGAGTGCACTCTGGCCGTACCCTTCGACTACACTGTTTATTTCTCGCACTTGTTTTCGGAATCTGAATCTGAATCTTCTGATTCAGATTCAGACTCAGAAAACAAGCGCGAGAAATAAACTGTGTAGTTTAAGCAGGTTGCTTGCTGCCACTATGGCCACCCTGCTTTAACTACACTGTTTATTTCTCGCGCTTGTTTTCTGAGTCTGAATCTGAATCTGAGTGCACTGTGGCCGTACCCATACACGCTACGAGAAATCGTTACGATCAGACGGTACAATAAAGGGCGCCGACGCACACGTGTCAGTGATGGCTTCGACGGACGACGTTTTAGCAGTTGTTGAATTAATATTCGCCCTGAAGGAAAATAAAGTAAAGCAAACAAATCGTAGCATCTGGTGCAAAGAATGGCTAATAAAAAGAAGAGTTCATTCTCATGTCAATTTGTTGTCGGAATTAAAGATGTTTCCAAAAGACTGGCATATTTTTTAAGAATGGATCATGATACATTCTTACATCTACTGAATACGTCTACCCGAACTGCAAATGACGACAAAACTGAACACGAAAACTGAACGAGCGCATACGATTAGTCGGTACAGTTCATCCGATTCCGATAAATCAATTAAAATTTTCGTATTACTCCGTTCGACGATTTCTCGTAGTGTGTATTGGTAGCCATACGATTAGACTGTACCGTACGAACGGTACGATAAATCGTAGCGTGTATGTTATAAAACTGCACAGTTTCCTACGATTTTTGAAGACTGTGCAGTCTTCAAGAATCAGCAGAATCGGATGAACTGTACCGACTAATCGTAACGTGTCTGCGCTCGTTCAGTTTTGTCGTCGTCGTCAGTTGCAGTTCGGGTAGACGTATTCAGTAGACGTAAGTATGTATCATGATCCATTCTTAAAAAAATTGCAAGTCTTTTGGAAACATCTTTAATTCCGACAACAAATTGGCATGAGAATGAACTATTCTTTTCATTAGCCATTCTTTGCACCAGATGCTACGATTTTTTTGCTTCTCTTTATTTTCCTTCAGGGCGAATATTAATCCAACAACTGCTAAAACGTCGTCCGTCGAAGCCATCGCTGACACGTGTGCGTCGGCGCCGTTTATTGTACCGTCTGATCGTAACGATTTCGCGTAGCGTGTATGACTTATATGCCATGTACGATAAACTGTTCCGTTCGAACTGTACAGTCTGATCGTAACGATTTCTCGTAGTGTGTATGGCTACCATAATGCGACAACAAATACTATGCTGAAATCGGCATACCCGAGCTTTCACCGAGCCAGTCAACTTGACAATTGTGTATGGGGTGTAGGTAGTGAGTTTTATTAAAATTTGGTGTTAATCGAAAGTAAAATGCCAGTTTATGCAGTGAAATAATACAACAATACATAACAAGGACGCTGGGATCACATAACATCAATATATAGTATTAGTATAGTAAAATTTCAACATAAAATAACATGAACTTTAAACGTCATTCAGGTGTTGCCGCGTATACAAGAATGAAGTCCCTATGATTTAGATTTTTATAATGTGAATATATTAAAAGTGTATTTAATTATTGAACCTATGTTATTTAAACTTACTATTAAACAATTAAACTTAACCTAGTTTTATATTAATCAACGTTTATCTTTGTAATCTACCTTGTATTCCTATAATAAAGTGTTACTATTTTTAATAACATTTTTTCCAACACATGCTCGTAAACTGACTGATGATAATCTTAAAGCTACGGATCCGAATACGATGGAGTTTTCGGCATATAAATGCGTATTTATCTGAGAAGGTTTTAGTATATAATTTTTACTAGCAATGTCCCACGGTTTCATTCGTGTGGATCTACGCGTGTACAATTTCCAACTAGTAGCGTATTCTGTATGTCACTAAAAAAGGTAAAATGAAATATTTTTTAGTAAAAATAAAACCGACTTAAAAAAAAAGATTTACCGCCTGATATACTTGAAGTCGATACCAAGGCATGTATTTAGCAGAGAGATCATGATAATAATAACTATCGGATTCAAATATATTAGTCGGTAAAACTTATTTTTTCATTTTCAGTTTTTTTGAAATCGGTTCAATTTTTTATTTATGCTATGACGTGAACTGTGGTAAACAAAAACTCGTAAACAAGTAGAAAATTACTTAAAACTGAGTTTATAATAAAAAAAAACATGATTTCTAATAAATACCACGAAAAATAAAGTAATTATCATTACTGTATTGTACGAGAATATAAAAACACATCCTTGAAGACTCCAGGAAAGTTGTGGATTAAAGTGCCGAAAGAAATTAACCTACGCAACTTTATTACACTTATTCATATGTTGTATCAGTTTTATGTTTATTACTACAATTGTAATACTAAATTCACTGTACTTACATAGATGCCTTGTCGTTTCTCTGCTCCGCAGAGCAGAAACCGGGGTTTAGTGCAACGAATTCACCAACCATCAATGCGTCAATTCTTGACAGATTTGTGCTTTCTGCTTTCACAAAGCCGGCAACCATAATTTGTTTTGTCAAAAAAAACTAAGTTTACTGTTTTTTTCTTTCCTAAAGTTAAAAGTGTTTTCAGATAAATTTAGTCAGACGAAAGAATCCACCTACAGTAACACGCGAATGTCATTTAGTTGTTTACCACAAGAAACGTCAAAATCATGGCGGATGTGGCGAACAGCGTTTTTAGTGTTTAAAAAATATAGACTAAAAAATATTTTTTAAAATTAAATTTCTACAGCAATCTTCTGCTTTTATGAAGTGAAATCGATATATTTAGGTTCCTTAGACCAAATACTTTAAGAAATAAACATTGGTGTCGATTCTAGCGTGATTCTCTAAACTTAAAACTAAATTTAACATCAGTCTCTCCTTTTCATTCTGTATAGAGAATGACAGGGATGCACTGTTGTCAAATTTAAGTTTAGCTTTAGAGAATCATGCCAGAATCGACATCATTTATTTAATACAATTCGACATAAGTAAACTAGCCTATTGTAATTCAACCCCGCCGGAAATACTTATCGAGGCACGAAACGCGAGTGATAGGCTGTTGCCGCCAGTTGATTTATAAACATTATAGTAACTGGACTCGACATTTCTAAAGAGACGTTCTGATGGATATATTGGCCGAAAGTCAAAAGTATTGTCACCAACCGATTTTGCAAAGTTTTTGAAGGTAGCTCCGGAATGTCAGAATACTTGGCAACAAAGATCAGTTGAACTTTATAACAGTAACAATACAAGTTTGTTTTTCCTTCGCAATTGTGTTGAAAAACATCATATTCAGCTCGTGTGCATTGATCATTACACACTCAGCTTCCTTACTGAGTTACAATAATGTCTTGTATGTAGTTTTTACGAATTTATCACACTTGAATCACTGTAAATATTACACGTAAATAAAATAAATTGAGGCCTAATCATTTTTCTGAAGAAGAAACCTACGCCTAATCGTATAAGTACACAAAAATATTGATATATTCGCATTTAATTAAGTGCATCTTCTTTAAGTATTTTATGAGTTACATTTATAACCTGGTACATATTAATTACAACCTACATTATTTTCCCTATTACTCGGGTAGCAGTTGAGCAGCTGGCTACACGATTTATGACATTCGATAGCATCCTTGTAAATTGAAATACAAACAACACTAAATAATGAGTTGCCGCATTTACGGAGCTGTTTTTTGACAGCGCGGTATCTAGTCGAGTGAAGCCCGTCACAGACGTAGCTATAATATATATTGATATATCGAAATATATATTATATTATAGCTAACTACCACAGACGGGAGCTATACTATAATATATATTTTGCCCTCACTCGGTCTGCGGTCGTTTTTGCAAGCGCACGGTTTTAAAGCTTATTTTCTAGCACAGGGTGTTTTAATTTTGAAATAACGTTATAATCGATCTTACCGAAATGAATTCAACAAGAACATTACTTTTAGATTTAATTGAAAGTTCCTCAGAGGATGATTCCGATGCTGAATTTGATATGCATGTTGCCTTGTCAGGAACGAAAACTAGAAGTTGAACATTCCGTATTATACTAATATGCCAAAATATATCCCGTCACAGACGTAGCTATATAATCTACCACAGACGGGAGCTGTACTATCTATACTTCTATACTAATATTAAAAAGCTGCAGAGTTTGTTTGTTTGTTTGAACGCGCTAATCTCTGGAACTACTGGTCCGATTTGAATGATTCTTTCAGTGTTGGGTAATCCATTTATCGAGGAAGGCTATAGGCTATATTTTTTTCTTTCAAAATTAGGGATCCGTAATAAAATAGCTATTTTGTAACACAAGGTGTAAAATCAAAAACCTATTTTTGCGTGCGCTGCAAAAACTATTGACAATAGAACAAAATGATGTACTACGTGTTTGTAGATCCCATTAAGACCTACAAAAAAGTCTGAAAGAACATATATCTAGCTATCATGGTTTAATCACAATAACCGATTTTGTGTTCAAAATAATTATAAGAAGAAAAAAAACTACGTTAAATATGTATCGTAATATTAATCTTTATCGAAATGAAGCATTATGTTATCAAGAGTATTTATGTAGAAGTAAAATACTTTTTGTTTCATCTCAATCGGATATTTCGTTTAAAAGTTATCACGTGTGTAAGATGTTAAGAGTTGGTACCTATTAATGAGTTATGGGCCATAGAGTTTTTTATTAACATAAAATCCTGTAATAATCTTTTTCGAAATATATTTGTTGATGATTGTAAGTATAAGATCTTTGAAGAGTATAATAAATACATTACTTGCATATTTTATCTCAGTATTTCCACGGAAACGAGAAAAACGCGGGTGAAACCGCGGGGCACGGCTATAATATATATTTTGGCAGGCGTTCGGTGAAAAATGAAACATACCGTATCATAAAAATATATATCAATATACCAAAATATACACTAATATGCCAAAATATATCTGTCGACATATTTTGGTGACGTCATAGAAATATATATTATAGCTGCGTGTGCGGTCACTCGAAAATTTATATTGAAAATATGTTGTAATGTCTTGCTATGATTCATATTAATATATATTATAGCTACGTCTGTGACGGGCTTGAAGCGAGACCAATCATTCAGGCGCGTTGCAATGCCCATTTGGCTCCTCGGAGGCCAGAAGGGCCTCGAGGTCGCGCGTGAGTTTGTTAGGGGGGTCTGTAAGGACGTTTCTTGGGCTGCGGGGCCTGTACGGGTGGGGGAAGGATCAGAAGTAGAAAAAAAACTTAAATTTTATAATGTACATTTATTGTAAACTCCAGAAGATTGTTTTAATGAACAGTGGAATGGCGGTAATACTAAAAACAATATCGAATGAATGGAGAAGAGTTGTTTAACAGACACCAAATATGTTGAAGCTGGCTTCTTGAGATTTTATATCATATTCATTTGAATTAGCTAATCCTCACTTGAATCACAGTAAAAATTATCACAGTGCAATAAAACTTATAAATAAAAATTGGATGATTAAGGTATTTCAAATAACCTTTTAAATAAATTAAACTAACCACAATTGCAGATTCAGACAATCAAAACACCAATATTATTACACTTTCACACACGTATTCCTATGAGGATTTGCCGCTAAAATTAACTATGCTTATGTGTAACTTAATAGTCGATAAATCGTTTATGAGCATCGCCGCCACCCCCTTGCGCTTTGCCTCTCCCGAAATTGCCGCCGCGCTTAAAAGTACCGCCGCCGCGACCGCCTCCAAAGCGGTTCCTGTTCCAGCCGCCACCGCCGCCACCAGAACGGTCGGCCATTGTTTGTAATTGAGGATTCACCATCTGTAAAATTTGGGACCTATAAAATTTGTCTTGGCGAAAATGTGTACGAGGACAAACGAAAGGGCCACTTGCGAAAATTTCCAATATACAAAGCGTGTTAGATAAAAATCAATCAAGTAGCAGGGAGCACACAATCAGAACGAAGTAAGACGAGTCGAATATTTGCCTCCGTAAACAGTTTTGAAATGTCTCAAGTAAGAGCAAGCGCAGGATGGTCGGCAGGCTTTGTCGTTTATCTGGTTGTATAGTACGATATGGCATATTCTTATGATTACTAATAATATAAAATGAAGGTACTATAAAATGAATTTATTCAGCTACTTAAATATGCCCATTTGTCATATCTATTGACTACCAGGACATTTTATAAGGTGTCATATCTTTTGACTCCCAGGATATTTATTTTCGGTATCATAATAAAAAAGGCTAGTTTTTCATAGATCTATATTTCATTGTTGGCAGAGCTGGGTGCGTTTTGCCCATTGTCCTTTAAGCTTCACTCAATTTAGCATAGAACTACAGTAGACCCGCGGTAATCCGACAAACGTTTTGCAGGGCGATGTCGGATTATCGAATTTGTCGGATAACAGAGTACTGTCTAAGCCTACTCTATAGTCTGATTTTTTTGGAATAACAGTACCTTGTAATCCAACAAATTACAAATCTAAAAATGTATTTCAATTTATTTTATGTGTAAATTAACAGTGATAAGCATGTCGGATTACAGGGGGCACCAGATTAGACCGGGTCCAGATTACAAAGAAACAAGTGAATATGCGTATAGCAGCCATACTTATTCAGAAGTTTACTAAATCCAGTTGCTACTCAGAATATCACTTTGTAACTGAACCATTTGTTACACCCGAACTCAGCGTATCTAAAGTCGTTATAGCCACATGAATTTTGTACTTGATCATACTTTATATGCTTTAAATTCAAGGGACTAGAATTTAACGTCGCTATAGGTTAATGGTCGCTACAAACAAAGTTTTAAGAAGTGAAAACCACTGTACATTCATGTGAATTGTTTGAATTCAGATGGAATGAAAATTTAACAGGATTTTGATTTCATTGAACTTTGTTGAAAGTGCACCAAGAAATTTCAAAGTCTAAAAAATCACATCTCCACAAAAATAATTCTCAAGCATTATTATAACCCTTAACACACGCATTTATTTACCCCCAACAATATTGGTGTCATTTGAGAGACATTTTAGATATAACTTAATTTGTCACAACATCTGAGGATGGGATCCAGACATACATAGTGTGGACACCGAAGGCATATAGCTGTAATCAATCTGCCTCATACTTGCATTCATGTTACGCTATTGAAGAACGTACCCATGCCAAAGGTATGAGGGGATATTGTAAAAAAGAGACACACATTGTTTATAATAAAAAAAAGTCAGGTTACATTACTAACCTGCTTGGCTTCCTGGAGTACAGATACAAGATCTTTCGCTTGCCGCGAATTGGATGGTGTGAAAAAGGCATAAGATGTTCCTTTCGTCTTTGAACGTCCAGTTCTACCAATTCGATGGATATAATCCTCAGAAGAATTTGGATAATCAAAATTGATGACAAATTTGATACCATCCACATCTGTTGAAATAAAAAATTATTAAACAATAATTAAATTTAAGTATAACACATTTCAAAGCTCAGAACAGATTAAATACTTAATTCAGAAAAGAAATCTGTTACAAAACTTGAATAATGTAATTAAACCTGAAATAAAATTGTAACTCATGGCAGTATTACTTACATGAATGAGTTACATAGATATCAAACAACAGTCAATATTGCCTCTCACTGAAGAACCCTGGAGTCAAGGGCGAAGTAACAGTCTTAGTTTATTTTTTACTATCTTAGTATTTTTTGACAGCCCTTTTTGCAACTCCATTGTGGCCGAAACGGAAAACCCTTGACCTCTTGCCGATGATCTCAACCTGTGGTCAAGTTTTTCAACGATGCACTTTCAGTTACTTCGTCTTTACCATGTAATTTCATTGAATATCAAATTAGTAGTGCATCACCAGGTTTTCAACAACTTTCAAGTGTATCCGTATTAACGGACAAACCATCAAGCTTTCCGGCCTTGGGTCCAATCTTAGTGAAAGGCACTTATGAGGCACCTTTATTATGACGAGTTATTGCATTCTCAAAATACAACTGCATCAGACTAGTTCTCTACTTTTCGACAGTATTCAAACAGAACACAATAACTTTCCGCCAGTGCCTCTGAAATTATAAAACATTCAGATTAATAAAATGTATTATTTATATGTAGCTTGTTGTTTCCATTTATTATATTGATTTGTTTAATGTTATTAGAAATAAAATATCTTACCAAGACCTCTAGCAGCAACATCAGTTGCAACAAGAATGCTAGCTCTTCCTTGTTTGAACTGATATAAAGTTTCATCTCTTTCTTGTTGTGTTTTGTCACCATGCATACAAACAGCAGGCCAACCATATCTTCTAATATTTCTTGTAATACTTTCGGCTTTCCTCTTTGTTTCTACAAAAATTATTGTTTTCGCACCTGGTTCTTGACTTTGACCAATTTCTTGAAGTAAGACATTTAATCTAGAAAAGAATAATTTAATTAGTGTCAGACAACTTTTTGTTTACACAAAGTGTAACCTCATAGAATAACTATCAGATCTTCTTAGAGGATGATTAGTTGTTTAATCAAAAATCAATTCATAATAAAACAAATTCATCAGTAAAATAATTTGAAGGAATATCAAATACAGTAACAGCCTAAAGTAGAATATTATAGCAATAAATAGGTTAAACTTACTTGTTCTCCTTTTCATGTTCTTGGCAGACATCCACAATTTGTAAAATATTATGATTAGCAGATAGTTGTAATGATCCAATGTTAATTTGGATGTAATCACCTAAATAATCTTCAGCCAATTTTCTAACTTCCTTTGGCCATGTGGCTGACCACATCAGTGTTTGCCGGTCAGGCCGAATCTGATCAATGATCTTCCTTATTTGAGGTTCAAAACCCATATCCAACATACGATCAGCTTCATCCAAAACTAGGTAAGTGCAACGCTGAAGGTTAGTGGTTCCTCTTTCTAAGAAATCAATCAATCTACCAGGTGTAGCAATCACAATCTCCACACCTCTCTCCAGGTCACGTGCTTGTTCCCTTTTTGGTGCTCCACCAAATACACAAGTATTGCGTACATAAGATGCATTACCAAAGTCTGTAGCAACTTGTTGAATTTGTTGTGCTAACTCTCGTGTTGGTGCCAGGACTAATACAATAGGACCATCACCTCTTCTGATTGGTGGCTGGTTGTTGATGTGAACAATGGCAGGCAAGATATAGGCCAGTGTCTTTCCTGATCCAGTCTGAGCAATTCCTACAAGATTTTTACCAGACATAGCTATTGGCCAACCTTGGGCTTGTATGGGAGTTGGTTCTTTGTATCCCATGCTACTAATACTCTGAACTACATAATCAGGGAAATTGCCCTCTTCAAATTGTTGGATGGGATTGTGCACTTCAACTCCACCAACAGTTATTTCATGTTGGTTTCTGTATTCTTCCACTTCGTATGGCGATCTTTTCAGCACTGAAGGGTGTGGATTGTAAAAATCTTTGTTGAATGGTTGTAATGACATAGAATCCCAGTTAGGGCGACGCATGTTTTGTCCCCCCGTGAACTCTTTCTTGCCGCCAAATCCTCCGCCTTGTCCACCAAAACGGTTTCCAACGCCGCCACCGCCACCAAATCGTGAGCCAGTGTTACCATATTTATTTCCTCCAAACTTGGAACCGCCGTTTCCACGGCTATTATTCCAACTTCCAGACCTAGGAATAGAATGAAACAAGATTTTTAGAGCCTAAAGCTGATCGCACGTTTGTCAGCACCCACAAACGCGTCGCATTTCGACATACAGACAGACGACATACAGCAAGTACGGTGCAGACAAATGTGCGATCACCTTGACACTACAAAAGCACAATGCAGAGCTCACATTGCAACAAAAATCGATCCCACTCTAAAAAGACACGCTGACCTAAAATTGTCATTTCTAAACTAGCTTTTATGCCGCTATAGCGCGTGCTGGGTGCACTAATTACTTAATAACACAGGTACCCTAGTTTCCCTAACCCTCCTTCATCTTCAAAATGAGCGCTTTTTTCGGAATAGAACGCCACAAGGCATTTAATGAAGATGCTTTTTAAGAATGAAAGTAAAAATCATCAATGCTATAATGACTAAGTATTATTTATTCACTATTATTTCAAGTAATATAAGAATATTCCCTAACGGACAATTATTGGGATATTGACAGTAATTTTACCAACTCCAATCTCAAACAGAGACTTGCGCATGGCAGTGAATGACAAAATCAATAAATAAAGCAAGCTACTTACTGAGATACCTGCCTACCTACACCTCTTGGTTCTAGGGAAAAATCAATAGAACTCAAACTTAATAGGAATTAAAAATATATATAACATTTTTTGGGTTCCTAATAAATAAAGGTGAAGCAGGTAGGTAAGTAACTAAAAAGATGCTTATGCCTACGAACGAGTTCTAATTAATACCTACCAACAACTTGTCTACTTGTACGATTGCTGCAGCCAAATTTTAAGTATTAGATAGAAGTAGAATAAAAATAATTTAACCTTTTCTCTTTGAAAAGCTATATCTCAACATAATGAAAGTGACGTGTCAATGCGTCATCTTGCCCACCTCAAACTTGGTTTTCAATATCAATTTGGAAATTATAAATATGGCTAAGAAGGGGTCTTAAAATGAAGATAAAATTTACTCACATTATATTGGTTGTTTGTTAATTGGTGATGTCCGTGATATTCTAAGATATTTATTTCGAGCAGGGTCGATCTGAAATCAAAATGGACGGTTAGGTAGTGAAACAAAACCCACCATGACGATTCGACAGGATCGATCACAAATCGCGTACTTATTAAAATGGAAGTAATTAAAATTAAGCACATTTAAACTATTACACAAATTCAAGAAAAATTGATAAAAGAGATTGGAACCACATCAAAAGTGTCTTGAATCAATTATTTTAACAAAAAGCGCGACTAACCCTCGCCACTGCTCCGGTAGAAAGAAATTGAATCGACGTTGATGAAATAAAACTGTACGATGTGCCCTGTACGAATAGAACCAGAATGAACGAACAATCGAACTGAAACGAGCGAAAGATTAGGGCGTAAAATAATATTGATTTTTATGTTATGCCGGCACTCCACTTGGCAATTCGTATTTGTTATTTGTAAACTTGACCACAGACTGTCGTTATCATGCTTTTTAAGAAATAAAAAAAACAATGTGGTGTCAAATTCACAAAAAGCAAATTGAGAAAAATAAAAAAAAAATATTCTACTCAACCGATCACTTGGCAATGGTGTCGATTCTGACATGATTCTCTAAACCTAAACTTAAATTTGACAACAATGATGTCGATTCTGACATGATTCTCTAAAGCTAAACTTAATTTTGACAACAGTGCATCCTTGTCATTCTCAATACAAAATGAAAAGGAGAGACTGATGTTAAATTTAGTTTTAAGTTTAGAGAATCACGCTAGAATCGACACCATTGTTTTCTTGTCATATTTCTATACAGAATGAAAAGGAAAGGCTGATATTAAATTTAGTTTTAAGGTTAAAAAATCATGCCAGAATCGACACTAATGATGTCATATGCTGGGGTAAAAAAAAATAAAAATGGATGCGTGTAACTTATGTACGCGCGTGAGAAGATAGGCTGTATACAGAAAGAAAGCCGAAAGCCGATACGCGCTGGTCCGAATAATAAATAATTTGTATTTGAATTATTATCCTTAGATTAAATCAATCTAAGTTATAATCTTTTTATAAATCTTATAACTTTATCTTTTATTAACTAAGCGCTAAAATTATTTGTTTCGTACTTACTGAATGGTGACCAGTGCCGTAAATAGTCTTTTCTGCGCCCTATGCGAGCTTCTATAATTGCGCCTTTGTTTTTTTTTTTGATATTATAGGTACCCTTTTTTTTACGCAGGTAAAACCTCTGTTTACAGACGTTGGCGCCCTTAAGGGGCACACCAACGAACGGACCTCACACCTAGCCTCTCGCAAGTCTCACGGGTGCGAAACGGATAAGCCGTTAAGCAGTCCGCGCCATACTATCCGCTAAAAACATCCTGCAAATACCCTCTACGCTGTTTAAGTGCGGAACCCAAAAGTCCGGCCTATCCGGGGCTCCACGGCAGGAATCACCCGGGTATTTTGGGAGATCCCGCAGACGTGCGCAGGACTGCCCGCGCTAGGAGCTAAGTGCGCGGCTTACTGCCCACCTCACCGCTCCCCATCCAAATATTATAGGTACCCTAGCAGAAATGCTGTGTCTCTGCCGCTTAGTATGCGCGATGTTTTTTCTAATTCGACGTAAGACGAAGACGTTAAGACGTTTTGGATGATACTGGTATGTAGGTACGTCTATGTTGGAATCGAGTTGTTGTGTTGGGGTCGCAGTGGGAACTTATCAGGAGCAGACCGAAAAATAATAATCCTGCCTGCGGTCTGGCCATTTAATCCTTGCGCCCCCAGAGTCTACGCCCTGTGCCTGGGCACCGGTGGCACCGCTCTATTTACGGCACTGATGGTGACAACAAGTCTTTCTTCTGGAAGGATTGGTTGTTTATGCCAATTGCACCAATTTTTCATCAAACGGTTTTTCACTAAATCCAAAATGTAATAAAATGTTTCTTGAATCATTTTTGTATATATGTATAAAATCTAATCGTATTCTCCGAAACGTTTCCTTTCTCTAATTATAGGATGTATAGCTTTTTTTCGCATTTTTAAATACACATTTTCACATCGGCTTTCGGCTTTCTTTCTGTATACGGCCTTATACTTCTTTAGCATCATTAAAAATATTTTTAATTGCATGCAAATACTTAATAAAAATCTGATGGTTTGATTTGATGATTGATGATGGTTAGTGACCATGAAAGTTTAAAACAATATACTGATGGTTTTTCTCATTTAATCTAAGTAAATAAGTTTTGTAACACCATAGTTTTAAATATCATCACGCCACCCGTTATTAGATGGCGCTGTAAGCATGTGAATCGCGCTATCCTATACCGACACCGATTGTATGGCACATCATAGGGTACGGCCACAGTACACGCAGATTCAGAATCAGATTCAGACTCAGAAAACAAGTGCGAGAAATAAACAGTCTAGTTTAAGCAGGGTGGCCATAGTGGCAGCAGGCAACCTGCTTATACTACACTGTATATTTCTCGCGCTTGTTTTCTGAGTCTGAATCCGATTCCGAATCTGATTCTGAATCTGCGTGCACTGTGGCCGTACCATAGGATCAAATATCATCACGCCGACCGCTACTAGATGGCGCTGTACCCATGTGAATTGTGCTATACTATACTGACACCACTTGTATAAGGTGTTCTTGGGAAATTGACCAAGTCATCGCTTCGTAGGTAGGGCCTATTGTCTTGCACGCTATACGCTTCCACCACGTGGGATGTCTTAGTGTCTTGATAATAGTATAGTATACATGTACTTCCACCCTTGTGGGATACAGTAATACCATTTCTCGTAATCACAATATAAGTATTTTCTACCTACGCCTATCTTTATTTGACGTCAGTCTTCTCACACTCCCCCTTCGCCCTCCCGCACATTCTTACAGTTTTATTAAATAATAAATATGAAAACAGTGATCAGAGGCGACGAGCTTCCCAACATGTGCGACTAAGAGATCCTATTACTATTTTGTTGGAAGCTTTTTTTCGAGACTTACGAGTAATGTGCGGTTTAGCGGCCGACTTCATGGTGTTACTTTTCTGTTACAGTGTTGCGCGCGCATCTTAAAATTTCACTCTCATCATTTTTTCATAACGCGCCCGCAGCCAACTTCATGCTGTTACTTTTGGGTTACAGTGATGCGCGCGCATCTAAAAATTTCACTCTCATCATTTTTTCATAACGCGCCTAAAGATGTATAACTTCAAAAAAGAAAAAACAGTCTCCGTTCACGTAGGTATGGAGCCTCCATGAAAAATAATTTAATTTAAGTTTTAACTATTCAGCTTTGTAGAATACTATCATTTTAATGAAACGTAAAAAAAATACTATGCACTAGCGTAGCTACGACCGCTAACAATAGTCACCACACACGCTCGCACGCGGATGACTAAAAACCAAGGTACTTTTATTCTAACTGGAATGCTTACGCGACCCTCAAAATCGTTCCAAGAGCATAGCTGAATTGGTGGCATCTGTCTTGTCCTAGTAGTGTGCCCCAAGAGTTGCAAGTGAGATTCAGATTCTTTCGTCGTTGTCGCGCTAGGAGTATTTTCCCCCCTTATGAAGGTAGACACAAAAATGGACTTCATATACAATTAGTTAGAATACTTTTTTGAATTCGTACAGCATTTGTCTAAAAAATTCAGTCATTTTTTTGCTCACTCTACCTATTTTGTTTGAATTGACAGCTATGACGTCACAATATGGTGCCGAGTCGGTCCAGTCTTAATTGAATCGCAATATTATTTGATTTAGGGTGTATTCCGAAACATACATCAGTATACTGGTCAGTGGTAATGGCGTCACGAATCCGACGCCTTATTGTATTGGTATGCTACCATATTTTTACCGGGAAAACGAATATGACGTATGACCGAGCGTGCGTGGGATGGCATCCGAATAGGGGTGTTGAAAGTAGAAAAAAATATTTATCAAAGTACCAAATTGCCGTTACACTACATGACAGTACAGTTTGTCTATAAAGTCGTGACATTAAATGATGGCGCCACTAGTATGCATGTAGCAACCCTATACAGTCGGACCAAAATGATTTTGATACTAGCAGTTCATTCAAGTAAAATAGGTAATTAATAAGACAAACTATACAGTCGTATTTTGTTTCTGTTTTATAAATATATAGTAGGTATCTATGCTTATAAAAAGTTTAGCCAAGCATATTTAATTGAATCAGAATAAAATTATCTACTATATAAAAATAAGTAGGGTTTTCCTTCCTGACGCTATAACTTCAGAACGCACGAACCGATTTCCACGGTTTTGCATTCGTTGGAAAGGTCTCGGGCTCCATGAGGTTTATAGCAAAGAAAATTCAGGAAATTTTTAAAAAAAAATCTTCTTTTCATCACCAAACGAAATGTTAAATAAAACGAAGCCATCTGGTGGCGAAACGGAGTTCGCCGGGTTTGCTAGTCTACTATATAAAAATAAGTCGGGTTTACCTTCCTGACGCTATAACTCCAGAACGCACGAACCGATTTCCACGGTTTTGCATTCGTTGGAAAGGTCTCGGGCTCCGTGAGGTTTATAGCAAAGAAAATTCAGGAAAATTTAAAAAAAAAATCGTTTTCTTTTAATCACAAAACGAAATGTTACATAAAACGCAGCTATCTGGTGGCGAAACGGAGTTCGCTGGGTTTGCTAGTTATAGATAAAATAGTACTTTATAGTGTAAAAGTGTGTAATGTTGGTGATTACCGCTGAGGTGCCATTGAGACCAGAGCCGTTTAGGTAATCATTAATACACACAAGTCATACGACGTTTTTTAACACACTTGTTAGGAAAATAATACTAAAAATAATTTTATAGTATATAAAAGTTTATTTAGAGAGTCAATTTGTAAACGTGCAGTTAGTAAAATTAGTGATAGGTATCTTCACTAAAAGCATCTGGCCATGGTTCTTTATGTGACCATTTCTTTCTTTGGTCGGCCTTGCCAGTTTTCCCAGCAGTTTCAAACTTTCCATCATTCTTAAAACCTTCGTTGACTATCCGACTCTCTGATTTTCCTGAAAAAAAGTAAAAAAATATGTGATTTTCCTGAAAAAAAGTATAAAAAATATGTAACGGAATAGACACAATAACTTATTGACATGAAGCAATTAATTCAAAATTGGTAGAAAACCTGACCGAGTTGAACCTTAATAACGTTTCAAAAGAAATGGTCGTAATACAATATTACCTATTTACAATGTCAATCTAACCTAAAAATGTGCAATGTAAACAATGGTGCCAATTCTGGCGTGATTCTCTAAACTTAAAACTAAATTTGACATCAGTCTCTCCTTTTCATTCTGTATAGAGAATGACAAGGATATACTGCTGTCAAATTTAAGTTAAGGTTTAGAGAATCATGCTAGAATCGACACCAATGCCTTTTTTGGTTTCAAAATCGTAAATTGAGTAAAGTAACTTCAGGCAGATTACAAACAAATAGTTACACGATTACATACCCGTCATAGATGCTGTTCGCCCGTAAACATCATCCAAATCCCACAAAATTCGTCCAGCTTGGTAGTCTTCGAAACATCACTGGAAAACTTTAAAAATCACTTCCCGCGTGCCACTCCGATTTAATTTACTCATTTTTATACCTTTCTGCGTAGTTTCGTCTTAATTTATTACAGTTTAATCCAAACAATAAAAAATACAAAAGGAAAACTGTTTCACAACTGAAACTGGATGGCAGCAGCTGATGTACATAAGTTTGGTGTTGCCAGACTCATGAATAATGTTAGTTCCTCAAACATTCATGTCACGACTTTATAGACAAACTGTACAGTATCTCACGAAAGATGAGACAGGGAATAATAATGTAACGAAAATTATCTACCTAAAATAGACCCAATTTTCGAATGATGAAAATGATTACAGGACCTCTCAGGTGCCATCTTTCGTTAACAAGACTAGACAGTCCAGTGTTGCCAACTCTACGTCTTTTTACGTAGATCTACGTATTTTAGGCCTTTTCTGGAAACCTACTAACTTCAGTCCCAGAATCTACGTATTTTCTTATTTTTTTTCAAATTTGTAAAATAACTTAATTCACTAGAATAAAGAAGAATATTTTCCGTTACTTTACTTAAAAACTATACAAATGTTTATTTCTTATAAAGATGTATCTAAACACTCTTGTATCTTGTAGAAAAGGTTCCCGTTATTGGTTTTGTTGACTAAATTAATGCTGGACGCAGGATAGGTAAAAGCAGAAACGACAAAACTCTTTGACTTAGTAGGTACATTCATAACCTTAAAAGTTGTATTTTTAAACTTTTACTATTATCAACTATTATCACATCGAATTGATCTTTGCAAAAAGAAAAGACTTTCAGTCGATAAAGTTACAGGATTTAGCAAGTTTTAAGTATGTTCATGTGTAAGTATGTTTTTTCTCTTGGCAATTTAAACCACAACTTTTCTAGAGTCTTTTACCAAGTGTATCATGATAACTACTATATTTTTCATGTGATCTATTAGAAATCATGGTTTTATAATATTAACTTAGAAAGTTTATTTCCTACGTGCTTGCGAGTGTTTGTTTACAAATGTTTTGACGTCATAGCATAGATAAGTCTATAGACTAAAGAGCGTTTTTGTATGTCTTCTAGGTAAAAAAAAAATTTTTTTTCGTTCTGATAGAACAATTATTAACAATTTAAAACATAATTCCAAAAAGTGTTAACTAGCCCATTTAACAACAGTTTATCCTTGTCATTCTCTATACAGAATGAAAAGGAGAGACTGATGTTAAATTAAGTTTTAAATTTAGAGAACCATCCAGAATCGGCACCCTCCAGTGTCTGTGTCTGATGGTAAATGTTTACCACAGCATGGTTAACGCTTCCAATGCAGCGACTTCTCCAAGATCTCTTTGTTCTATAAACAAATTGTATAACAAAATACTCGTTTCATTCGGTTTCAAACAACTTCTTCATTTCACTCAGAAAAAAGTACGTAGATCTACTTACTTTTCATATGCAAAATTTACCAATTCTACGTAATTTTCTCATCGGGCCTACGCCTTTTTCAAAATCGGAGTTGGCAACACTGACAGTCACACACGAGTGCACTCAGATTCAGACTCAGAAAACAAGCGCGTAGTCGAAGGGTGCGGCCAGAGTGCACTCAGATTCAGAGTCAGATTCAGATTCTGAAAACAAGCGCGAGAAATAAACAGTGTAGTCGAAGGGTACGGCCAGATTGCACTCCTGATTCAAATTCAGATTCAGACTCAGAAAACAAAGCGCGAGAAAAAGCAAGCAACCTGCTTAGACTACACTGTTTATTTCTCGCGCTTGTTTTCGAAATCTGAATCTGAGTCTGAATCTGAGTGCACTCTGGCCGCACCCGAAGGGTACGGCCAGAGTACACTCCTGATTCAGATGTTATGTGATCACGGTTTTAAAATCAGTCGCGGGAAATAACCGCTGGTGCGGCCGCTTGCATTAGTTTCCATGATTCACAAAACTACGCGGGATAAAACCGCGGCGTTTTCGCCGTAGTGCGGCCTAGCACTAAGGAATTCTTTTTGTTCGGATGTAGGCTTGTTGAAAATATATCGATGTATCGATATTTTTTGTGCGATATCGATATTTTTAGCCGATATATTTTGATTCGATATATCAATACAAAATAACCAATATCGAAATTCGTATCAAAATCGATATTTTTTTAAATATTAGCGGCATAATCACGATCCAACTAAATTCGTATCTGAAAAAATCGTAACTGGATCTCAGATTAAAGATATTCGACATATCTATGATCTGTGTTGTATTTAGTACTGTCTATGGGTGCGGCCAGAGTGCACTCAGATTCAGATTCATATTCAGATTCTGAAAACAAGCGCGAGAAATAAACAGTGTAGTCTAAGCAGGTTGCCTGCTTTTTCTCGCGCTTTGTTTTCTGAGTCTGAATCTGAATCTGAATCAGGAGTGCACTCTGGTCGCGGCCAGAGTGCACTCAGATTCAGATTCAGATGCCGAAAACAAGCGCGAGAAATAAACAGTGTAGTTAAAGCAGGGTGGCCATAGTGGCAGCAGGCAACCTGCTTAAACTACACTGTATATTTCTCGCGCTTGTTTTCTGAGTCTGAATCTGAATCTGAGTGCACTCTGACCGTACCCTATGGGTACTCTGGCCGTACCGGAATATTAGTGGTATTGTTATGATCACGTGATGTTGATGGATAGTCCATTTTAAATTTTTACAAAAAAATATCTCGAAAGTCCAAAAATATGCAAAAGTATGAAAATTGAAAGCCAGCGACGAACAAGTACGACCAGTGACAGACAAGAGTGACGTCATCGGTCCGTTTTTTTCCGCGAAAATTTAAACTGTCAATTTAAAACCGCATTTTTTCCGATAAATTACAATGTTTTAATTTTTTAATATATCTGTGGTTTATTCTACATGGAATTCTTTAAAATGAAAACAAAAATAAAAATATTGCATCTTCCCTATTATGCTACCGCGGCCCTGACAGCCGTATCCAATTCTTTCTAACCTTTCTTAAGCTGCACAGTAGCGCCATCTCTTCGCATTATAAGTAAACCACAATGTCAAATGAACACCTTTACAAGTATTAAACATTTGAAAGAAGAAATAACAATTAAAGTTATAATTTTATTTTCTATTGTTTAAATCTAAAGAAAATATTACAAGAAAAAATAAAATAAAAAACTAATCTATTTTCAATTATTGTATTATAAAAAATATATAAATAATGTTTGTTTTTTTTCCACATGTGGGCCCGGTCTTTATATACTTCGATCACTCGTGTCCAAACTTTATGCTCATTATGATCTGCCGCTATCTTGATCGAAATACGTGCGCTCCGTGTGACAGCTAGCAACCGACTGATTAAGACGCTACACTCGCGGCAACGTGCAGGGCGGCACAGACAATCTAGGGACCAAGGGTGGTCTCGCGCTCCTGCCGCAGGCACGATTTAGAAAATTGACCCTGCTTGCCTACACACATCACAATTCAGGAGGCAATTAAGGGACATCCCCACTCTTACACCCTAGATTAGTAGGCCGCTGTACATTATAAGTGTTCAGGTTTCGACTCTTGGAAACTAGATGGCGTAGCCGACAATATATCGGGTATTTAAACGCAGAAAATGTGGTCAAAAAAATCTACATCTTCCCCTCTCAGGGGATGATCGCTTCAGATGAAGCTTGTAAGGCCCTTCCGGCCATAAGCATGGGTGTAGGAGTAGTCAGTAGGAGGAATAAAAAAAAATGTGGTTAAAATACTTTTTATTGGCTTCCGAGCAGTAAACATCTAACCTTCCTTAGGGTGCGGCCAGAGTGCACTCAGATTCAGATTCAGATTCTGAAAACAAGCGCGAGAAATAAACAGTGTAGTCGAAGGGTACGGCCAGAGTGCACTCCTGATTCAGATTCAGATTCAGACTCAGAAAACAAAGCGCGAGAAAAAGCAGGCAACCTGCTTAGACTACACTGTTTATTTCTCGCGCTTGTTTTCAGAATCTGAATCTGAATCTGAGTGCACTCTGGCCGCACCCTAACGCATGGTCTTTTAGTTGGGCATCCAATTTATTGCACTTGTCATTCTGTATACAAAATGAAAAGGAGAGACTGATGTTAAATTTTGTTTAAAGTTTAGAGAATCATGCTAGAATTGACCCCTTTGTTTAATTAAGTTATTGTATTTTTTCTATAAAATCTGTCGATGTATATTTGTTTTATCAATTGCTATTTGTATCGACAGTAAAGCCACGGTAAAGCACTTAGCAGGGCTACAAAGTTACTCTATGGCAGGGCTTAAGAATGGAATGAATGAAAATTCATGCTTCAAAAGAAAGATTGAATGAGTTGACGAGTTGAGTGAGTAAGTAGTTTAGTTTATCTTTCTCCTTCACTCACTGACTAGTCAGTCGCGTGTTTAAAAAACCTACATTGTGTGATTTTATTAATTAAAACCTAGTATTGTTAATTGTAATAGTTTTGTGGGTGTTAAATAATAGTGACGAAAACATAATGGCCATGCAACCACACAGTAAAAAGAGAGTGTGCTATTATTACGACAGTAAGTATTGTAAACTTTGTTACCCGCCACTTACATTTACATGAATCATAATAAATGATAGAAAATAACATGTAGATGAAACTATAAGGTCACACAATTTTAAACAAATTGTTTAGATGAAATTATTAAGCTTTTTAGCTAGAAATTATTACCATAAAATCATCTTGCCGTTTTTATCAAAATGTGATTCAAATCATTTCATAGCGTCTGTATTGTATACTACTTTGTGATTGGTCGATGTGTTTTTGAGAAGTATGCTACAGTCTTTTAAGTGTCAAGCCTGAAGACGATTTGAGTAACAATATCATATAAAGTTTATTTTGATATATAAACAATAATATTTTTTAGGTGATATTGGCAATTACTATTATGGACAAGGCCACCCTATGAAACCACACCGTATACGCATGACGCATAATTTACTGTTAAATTATGGCCTATACAGAAAAATGGAAATTTATGTAAGTACCATAAGAAAAAAAAATCTCTTACTGACCGTTATCCTACTTTGATTTAGATTCTCAATCTATTAAATAGAGAAAATTTTACAGTTTATGACAATTCAATGTGTAGTTGTGTGTAGTAAACTAGCTCCCAATATCAATCTGTCATAATATCCCATACATAATACTGTGCCTCTAGCATGACCACCGAAACGGGATATGATAAAGCAATATATCGCCATTAACTGTCAGACTACAGTGGAGTTTGACAGTAGAGACTCGATAAAAAGCTTTATCATATCCTGTTTCGGTGGTCATGCTAGAGGGGCTGGGAGGACATACTGGGAGCAGGAATTTGATTTTGTCTTATTTTTAGCAAAATTAAAGCCACACCACATTACTTTATCCTTTCACACACTTTATGAAAACAGAAGAATTGTAGGTATGCATTCTTGTCACGCAATAACTTTCATACATATAGATTTCTTCAGAAGGGTCCTAATTACAGCTGATAATTCATTGAGGGGTTTTTAACCTGAGTTTGAGCATCAAATACATATTTGACAGAGACACCGACAGTCCTGGTTGTATCGCACTAACTCTGGGCTGTTTCCAGCATTGTAAGAATTCTGGTGCTTTCTTCAGGTTTAAGCGACATGATTACAGCTTGAATAATTAAAATTGAACACTATCGACATGTTTAAATCTAAAGAAAATATTACTAGAAAAAATACCATGCGGATGGCCAGGCAGCAAATGGGACTGGAACCCGCACCCTTCGCTATACGGTTGAATGCACTGACCATTATGCTACAAAAAAAAAAAATATAACTATTGACATGGTTTAAATGAATGATGAATGACAGATTAGCAACAAAAGCAAAAACAAATGCAGTAATTTCGTAGTTCCATCTTCAAAAGTCTCCCTTTTTCAATTTTTTTTATGATGTAACTCTACAATTAGTTATTGTTTTAATATCTTCATTTAATGAGTATTTAATTTTCTATTAATTAGAATTTATTTTATTAAGCTAGCATTCTTAGTTTGCGAGTTTTTTAGGATTTTTTATGTGACCTGGTCTCAAGTGTAGGACACACACCTGTTAGGGTGACTCCCAAAAGTTAAATTTATGTTTTCAAAAATGTTCCTGGTATGTCCACAGACAGAGTTTATCAGCATTTTTTTTAACTATACATAAGACAAATGTTTAGTTTTAATTAAGATTGAAAATGTTCTTTTACATATTTTTTTTTAAATTTAACCTTAATTATAAATAGAGTATATTTATAATTAAGGTTAAATTTAAAAAAAAGAAAATAAAATTAGTCAAGGTGGAATGTGTTGCCCATATAATAATATTATGATCACAAAATCAGTGGTTATACCCATTGATCAAGGAGTACACTCCTAACACGAGTCACCAAGCAATGTCATCCAATGCCCTTGCCATTTCTAGGGTGATCTATTCAAGAGACAAGGCTTGAAAAGGTTGTCTGAAAGTGCCTATGGGGCTGGCAAATGCTAGTGACTAAATCCTCAACAACAGAGTATGATCAACAAAAATAATCCAAAAAATAAAAGAAACTGACTTTAGACCGCATTTTTTTTAACATTGTGTGTATTGCAATCATGTCTAAATGCTTTTCACTTTACTTGGCTATTCGTGTTTGCTATTTGTAAACTTGACAACAGTCTGCCCTTTAGTCCAGTCAACAAGTTCAAAAACGTGAAAAATAGAGATAAAGCTCCTAAAAATATGAGATATAGGGGGGGGAGTCAGTGTTGGCCTCGGTGGGGTCTGTTCTTACCAGGGAATATTCCTCTATAAAAAGCCGAGAAATGCCATTCGCTTACATCTAGGTGGAGCTAGACTACAGGCGCGCACTGGCCAGTCCTATTCACACTACGTCCTCGCCATTGTTAGAACGCCGCCGCATTCTAGCAATGGACTCCATCACCAGTGAGTCGTCCTCCCCGGGCAATGTCTTGGTCCAAACAGAGCTCCCTTGTATACCTCTGGACCAAGATAGCCAATGTGAAGGGCAAAAGCGAGCCTTCGGCGCTATAACCGAATATCTGGCAAGGGGATAACAATCTCCGATCTTATATCCACGATTTGTCACCAGAAGATCTAACCAAAGAGAGTCTTGGCTTAACTGCCCGGGCTCAAAGGAAGAAAACCTTTATTGAATAAAATAAAAATTACCCTAATCCTAAGGTGTGGACCGTGCCGATAGGATGGATGGCTGATAGGCAATCAGTCTCAAGCGCCAACCTCGATGTTTACGGGCAACCATCGTTGTATAAGTGCCTTCTTACAGGAATAGGCGTCACCCTGTGAGCGACTTATATTTCGTCCTATCTCGTGGGAATCCAATGAATGAAATTATAAAACCAAATCTAACCAAAACTTCACAACCTCAACAAAACAAACCGCATAAAGTGCTTGCCCAACAAGTGTTCCACAAAAGCTTCTTTGACTCAAGACCAAGATCATACTCGTGTGGCGAACTTGCTCAAGATATCCAAACGGAAATAGATGTAACCGCTGTTCAAACACCAGAAACAGACCAACTGCCTCCTTTGTGGCAACGAGTTCCTGGATCCAAAAAACGGAAGTATTGCTTCTCTCCACCTCCCACCGAAACTCAAACCCAAAATCGTTTCAGCAACCTGCCGGTAGATACACCTGAAGATAGACCATCTTTACCAAAAAATCCAAGTAGACCGCCTCCAATAATACTATATGGCATAGAGGACGTAAATGAGCTATCGAAACTAATAACTTCAGTAGTAGATAAGGATACCTTTACATACAAGATTATAAACGGAAACCTGATGCGAGTTATGATTGACTCGGTTGAAAATTATAAAAAAGTTATCGAGCTTATAAGACAAAGAGGACTAATAGGACACACTTTCACTAGAAAAGACAACAAATGCTATCGCATAGTCATTAAAAACCTTCATCATACTACTCCTCATGAAGCCATCGTAGAAGTGATAGAGAAGACGGGAAACAAAGTTGTTGGAGAAGTCATAAACTGTCGGTATGGGCCAGAGAAAAAACCTACTTCCACTTTCTTCGTCAACGTCGCACCCTGTGAGCAAAACAAAGAGTTGAAAGCAATACAGCACATTTATCACCAACAGGTTAAAATAGAGGAGCCACGAAGGTCTAAAACCATAGTCCAGTGTCAAAGATGCCAACAGTATGGACACTCAAAAAATAACTGCTTGAGGCCTTATAGATGTGTCAAGTGCGGCGAAGGGCACAAAACCAGCGATTGTCCTAAAAAGGACAGAAATACTCCAGCTAAGTGTGCACTGTGTTCTCTCGACCACCCAGCAAACTATAAAGGATGTCAGGTCTATAAAGAAATCCTCTCTAGAAAAACTGCCAACAAAATCAACACAAACCCAATTATAGAACCTAACAGAAAGACAACATTAAATAACGTTAAAAGATTCGAGGAAAACAAGACCACAACAAACACCCACAAATATACGAATGCTAGGAGGACTTACGCGGAAGTAACACATGTCAAATCAGTCAAACACCCAACTAATGATAGTGAGAGTAAGCAGCAGTACCCTACAATGGAGCAAATCATGGTCAAGCAAGGAGAAAAACTTGATCTACTCATTCAACAAATAGGAACATTAATGAACCTATTGACAACTCTCATCTCCATGCTTCAACCAAATTCCTAAATATCCGCATTGCAACCTGGAACATCAATGGGCTGTCTCCGAACATTTGCGAACTGGAAAACATGTTGTCGATTAATCAACTAGACGTGGCCCTTATATCGGAATCTCATGCAGTTAATAAAAGTAACTTCCAGATGAAAGGCTACAAAATATATTTCACGCCGCACCCCGATGGCCGAGCTCATGCTGGAACGGCGCTAGTCATTCGTTCGAACATTAAACACGTGCCATTGGAAGGATACTCAACATACCACATTCAGGCTACCTCTGTACGTGTAGAGGATCGAATGGGATCATTTATTCTATCCGCTGTATACAGTCCCCCGAAGCATAAGATTACACAAGAAATGTACCAGGCATATTTCGAAACTCTTGGCAACACATTTATTGCAGGCGGTGATTGGAACGCCAAGCATACATTCTGGGGTTCTCGCATCACTCTACCGAGAGGTCGTGAACTGAGAAAAAGTCAATGTGCTCTTCACCTAATGGCAATATCTACTGGAGAACCCAGCTACTGGCCAGCAGACAAATGTAGACTTCCAGACCTCCTCGACTTTTTCGTTACTAAAAACATAAGTCAGTTATATGCCTGCGTGGAATCTAGCTTAGATGGGAGTTCTGATCATACCCCGGTAATATTAACTTTGAGCTCATCTGTCATCATGTCCGAAAAACAGCCTGAAACCTTGACAAATCATAAGACCGACTGGGAATGCTTTCGTTATTATATAGATACCAATCTTAACTTTAGGATGCCACTTAAATCCCAAGAAGATGTGGATGCTGCTTGTGTGCATGTCACAAATGTGATTCAGACTGCTGCTTGGAAAAGTACCCCGTATGTTGAGCATGCCCCACAAAACATATTAGTTTCCTCCGAAATAAAAAAGAAAATTTTAGAAAAGCGCCGTTTGCGAAGGATATGGCACCAAACTAGAAGAGAGGTCGACAAAAAGGTGTTTAACCGTGCTGTAAAAGACCTAAAGTTAGTTCTAGAGGCAACTAGGAATGCCAATATCAAACAAAAATTGGAAAGTATGTCACCACATGGTAAAGGCGAATATTCTCTGTATAAAAACACGAGGATTGTTGGAAAACCAATGCAATGCACTCCGCCTATTAGATCTTCTTCTACTTCCTGGGCAAAAACAAATGCAGAGAAAGCTGAAGTTTTCGCTACCCATCTTGCCACAACTTTTAAGCCTAACGATGCTCTAGAGGATGAAACTGAAGTTGAAACGGTACTTGGTCAAGATCTCCAGCTATGCCTGCCTCTGACACCTGCCTCCCCAAAAGAAATTGCAAGAGAAATTAAATTACTCGATTCGAAAAAGGCGCCTGGTTTCGACCTCATTTCAACACGGGTCTTAAAAGAACTTCCTAGAAAATGCTTCACCTTCCTGGCATGCCTGTTTAACGCCATATTTAGGACGTCTTGTTTCCCAGCCATATGGAAGATCTCTGAAATCATCATGATACACAAACCAGGAAAACCTATACATGAACCTACATCCTACAGACCCATTAGCTTGACGCCTACACTTTCTAAACTGTGGGAAAAGATTTTCCTTACCCGCCTTAAATATTGCATGGATAAATGTGACCTCATCCCTACACATCAATTTGGTTTTAGAAAATCCCACTCCACCATAGAACAAATGCATCGTGTATATGACACAGTAAGAACTTGCTATGAGAGAAAAGAATACTGTTCCGCGTCTTTCCTGGATGTGCAACAGGCGTTTGACAAGGTTTGGCACAAGGGCCTATTGTACAAGGTTAAAAAGAACCTACCACACTCGGTTTACCTCATAATTGCATCGTACCTGTCACAAAGATACTTTAGGGTTAAAGTCGATGACTCACGATCTTCCTTGCAAGCTGTGGAGGCTGGAGTCCCGCAAGGATCGGTACTTGGTCCGGTTCTGTATAACATATTCACGTACGACCTTCCCACTGCTGGCGACGCTGTAATTGCTACATACGCTGATGACATTGCATACCTTGCCTGCGATAAAGACCCTGACATAGCTAGTGCAAAGCTACAGAACCTATTAGATCAAACTCACGCATGGCTGAAAAAATGGCGTATTCGAGTCAGTGGTCAAAAATCGAACCACATTACGTTTGCATTAAGGAAGGGAAACTGTTCTCCTGTTCACCTTGGGTCAGACACACTCCCACACTCAGATTGCGTCAAGTATCTTGGTTTCCACTTGGATAGGAGACTCACCTGGAAGCAGCACTTAAAGAAAAAGAGAGATGAAGTTAATATAAAATACAGAAACCTTCATTGGCTTATGAACCGTAACTCTGCCCTGTCAATCGACAACAAGCTTCTTATTTACAATACCATTATAAAACCAGTTTGGACTTATGGGATACAGTTGTGGAGCACTGCTTGCAAAAGTAACATTACTTGCCTGCAACGAGTTCAAAATAATATCCTCAGAACAATAGTAAATGCACCATGGTTCACAAAAAATGACGAAATTCATGAATACTTGAACATGCCCACTGTCGCAGAAGAGATAGACAATTGCAAATCGAGGTACACTGAGCGCCTCTCAAACCATCCAAATCCTTTAATATGCCAATTGCTTGAGCAAGCTGACCGCGTCTCGAGACTGAAGAGGAAGAATGTTCTTTAAAGGAAGTGGTGGCGCTGGCCGACCACTCCTGTCATGTTTGGTTGCGCTCAATAAATTTGCTCATAGTCCAAAGACTGATTGCAAATAATATATAAAAAAAAAAAAAAAAAAAAAAAAAAAAAAAAAAAAAAAAAATATGAGCAGTAGCTCATTGGATTCGGAACGACCTCTAGAAAAATGAGTTTTGAGGATTTTACTGCACGTAAAAAATTGCAATTGTTATTAACAAAATAAGATGAAAAAAAAGAGGTATTTACGTTTTTGTTAATAACTCATAAACAATTAATATTTACGATATTTGGAAAAAAGGTCCTTAAAGAGGAGGAAATTTCCGAAAAAAAGGTCCCAGCTTCCGGAACTCTACCTCTATTATTTATAATTTTAATTTACCGCTGAAAATAGGGCTCCGCGCAGACATTACGGCATGGGCGTACTGCCGTTAACGACAGTTTCTTACATAAAATTATTTTTTTATAGTAACAAATATGAATTTAAAAATTTAAATAAATTATGGTGTCATCCAGATACTTGAAAGAATATATTCCCGTTGGAAAAAATTTTTTAAATTAATTTTTCAAAAAGTTATGCAATTGTTAATTAACGAATTTTTTTCCTATCTCCGTTTTCATAAATGACGACATAAAAATTTAAATAATAAACCTATAAATTTTTGGCTCTGTGGAGCTCTTCTTATATATATACTTAACAAGATCCCGCGATAAAAGTTTATTAAAGTTAATTATTTTGTTTATAACAATTTTTTAAAGTTTTCAAAAAATGAAAAGTCTAAGAAATGTTATTAAAAAAAATTTTTTAAACAAATGTTATATTATTGCTGCTTTCTTATCCAACAATGGCATTAAGTAACATCGGAAAAATTTTTTTTACATCATTTGTTAAGAAATTGTTTATAAACAAATAGACAAGTTTAATATTTAAAGAAATTTTTTTTTTACCATTATGTTGTCTTGGCAAAATAATGATTTAAAAAAAAAAAATTTTTCTAAAATATTTTTTTTTTATTGTTTATAATCGTTTTTTTTATATTTCGATTGTTTAAATAATTAGTTTAGGAATGATTTTCTCTTTAAAAATCATAATTGGCATTTCTTCATAGATAAATAGAAAAAAAAATTTTTTTTATCAATAATTTCATTGTTTGTTAACTTAACAATTTGTTATAAACAAATTCTAACTACCGTTATATTTTTTTTCTAGAGCTAAAAAAAATAGCAAAAACAGCCATATATATCAAAATACTAAAAAAAAAATTTTTCTATTTTTTATAACGCTTTTAAATATTACACGATACCAAAGTTGCACCGGACACTTGATTTGTCAATTAAAAAATTAATATGACTTATAAACTATTCGAGATACGATAATGGACATTTAGGTCGTTTTTATAAAGCATTAATTAATCTTCAAAATAAGCTAAAAACCAAGTTTGTAACTATTGTTTATCAGCTAATACATGCATTTGTTTATAAAAATTTGAGATTTCTTTAACTTTTTCGTATCTCTTATGACTTACAACTTAATAAATAATTAAAATACAGCTATAAACCTTAAAACAATTTTGTTAAGTGATACATTATCTCCCAAATTATCAATTAATCGTACCTCCATCTCTAATTGTTTAAACAATATACGTGATTTAATTAATATTTATTTAACTCGTGTTCAATTTAACATAGAGTTAATAATTTGGGAGATAATGTATCGCTAAACAAAATTGTTTTAAGGTTTATAGCTGTATTTTAATTATTTATTAAGTTGTAAGTCATAAGAGATACGAAAAAGTTAAAGAAATCTCAAAATTTTATAAACAAATGCTTGTATTAGCTGATAAACAATAGTTACAAACTTGGTTTTTAGCTTATTTTGAAGATTAATTAATGCTTTATAAAAACGACCTGAATGTCCATTATCGTATCTCGAATAGTTTATAAGTTATATTAATATTTTTACTTGACAAATCAAGTGTCCGGTGCAACTTTGGTATCGTGTAATATTTAAAAGCGTTATAAAAAATAGAAAAATATTTTTTTTAGTATTTTGATATATATGGCTGTTTTTGCTATTTTTTTTAAGCTCTAGAAAAAAAATATAACGGTAGTTAGAATTTGTTTATAACAAATTGTTAAGTTAACAAACAATGAAATTATTGATAAAAAAAATTTTTTTTCTATTTACCTATGAAGAAATGCCAATTATGATTTTTAAAGAGAAAATCATTCCTTCACTAATTATTTAAACAATCGAAATATAAAAAAAACGATTATAAACAATAACAAAAATTATTTAAGAAAAATTTTTTTTTTAAATCATTATTTTGCCAAGACAACATAATGGTAAAAAAAAATTTCTTTAAATATTAAACTTGTCTATTTGTTTATAAACAATTTCTTAACAAATGATGTAAAAAAATTTTTTCTGATGTTACTTAATGCCATTGTTGGATAAGAAAGCAGCAATAATATAACATTTGTTTAAAAAATTTTTTTCAATAACATTTCTTAGACTTTTCATTTTTTGAAAACTTTAAAAAATTGTTATAAACAAAATAATTAACTTTAATAAACTTTTATCGCGGGATCTTGTTAAGTATATATATAAGAAGAGCTCCACAGAGCCAAAAATTTATAGGTTTATTATTTAAATTTTTATGTCGTCATTTATGAAAACGGAGATAGGAAAAAAATTCGTTAATTAACAATTGCATAACTTTATGAAAAATTAATTTAAAAAATTTTTTCCAACGGGAATATATTCTTTCAAGTATCTGGATGACACCATAATTTATTTAAATTTTTAAATTCATATTTGTTACTATAAAAAAATAATTTTATGTAAGAAACTGTCTTTAACGGCAGTACGCCCATGCCGTAATGTCTGCGCGGAGCCCTATTTTCAGCGTTAAATTAAAATTATAAATAATAGAGGTAGAGTTCCGGGAGCTGGGACTTTTTTTTCGGAAATTTCCTCCTCTTTAAGGACCTTTTTTCCAAATATCGTAAATATTAATAGTTTATGAGTTATTAACAAAAACTTAAATACCTCTTTTTTTTCATCTTATTTTGTTAATAACAATTGCAATTTTTTACGTGCAGTAAAATCCTCAAAACTCATTTTTCTAGAGGTCGTTCCGAATCCAATGAGCTATTGCTCATATTTTTAGGAGCTTTATCTCTATTTTTCACGTTTTTGAACTTGTTGACTGGACTACTTATCATGCTTTATAAGGAATGAAAAGGATTGAACACTGTTAAGTTTACAAATAGCCAAGTGAAGTGCCGGCATAATAAAATCGTATATCATGTTTGTCCCATCATCAGAGACCTCACAAAGCAACTGCTGATGAAATGACAAAGTTCCACTCTGATGACTACATAAGGTTTCTACGCTCCATCAGACCTGATAATATGTCTGAATACAATAAACAAATGCAGAGATGTAAGTTTTACTTTTTTATGAATTTGAGTAATTAAATAAAATTCTTGTAATACTATTTGCATTAGTAATGGGATACCTAATCAATATATTGCTAACTAGGGCTTTTATCATAATAATGACACCTTTACCTTTTTATTAATAACTTTTTTGAATGGTCATTACTAAAATTAACTAAACGGGTTTCTAATAGATTTATTTCTGTGAAGTTCTCTGTTTCTAAAAACCTTTAACATAAAATATAGCAAAGCAGATTTTCGCGTTGAATCTCAGTGCTCATTTGGGGTAGTAACCTCCACCTTACAGAAAACCATATTAAATTAACACTACCTTTAGTGGGTTAAGATTTAGACTTAGGCCGCGAAGATGAGGATGGCTGGAGTGTCCTGCTGTGTTAGATAGCTGACTGGACTCTTAAACTTAAACCTGGGGTGGGGAAGTTTGCTATGCCTCAAACTTTGGGCACTAAGGCTATGAACTCACGGAGAGGTTTTTACCAGCACTAGACGCGCGCGGCGGTGTTTTATTTCAAAATTCACGAAACCGCAGACGCTGCGAGTGCGAGAACGCTCGTAAACTTGAGACAAGATCGGCAGGCTTATTACCTATTTTCAAGTGACAGTCGCAATCGTTAAAATTGTACCATTACATATTGCTACCAAAATACAAATACGTATTATGGTGACGGGTGATGCCTGCCGGGTGCGGATGCCGTAAACAACCGCGCACGCCGTAAACAACCGCGCACGCAGCGGGCTTAAATTGCGTCATGAAATTTGCTATTGTGTTTTACCTTTAATTTCACATTCTACACGAGGTAAAAATCGCTCGCCTCGTGAGTTCTTTGCCTAATTGTGTAAAATGTAGTAACTACAACTAGGGTGACTGATCCAATTATCAGCACTTTAAGAGTTAGTCCTAACTTAAGCCCGTTTATCACAATGAAAAATGCTGTTTCACCCGTTATGACGAGTTTTCTAGTTTCAATATTCAATCAAAAAAGATGATTATTTACAAAAAAAAGTTTATCTTTATCCAATTTTTTATTAGATGGGCAAGAGTAAAAAATGACCTACTTACCTTTTACTAGCACCATCACCACCAATTAATAGCATAGAGTGAGCCAATTAACAGCACTATGATAGTGGTATTGAAATTATATGAAATAAAAAATGGTTTTTAGTACCTATAATCTCTTTTATTTACTTTTTTTTAATATAGGTGGGTAATATGTAACTAAGGATAAAAAAATAGCTATTTGTATTTATAAACTTAACAAAGTTTAATATTACATATTATCATATATCATAAATGTCTCTTGTGTTTTGTTAGCTTTTATCTCTTTTATTTTGTTTTCATTTGTCACTTGTAGCTTGTTTCCTATTGTCTCTTGTATTTTATTTTCTATTGTCCCTTGTATTGTATTTTCGTTTTTCTCTTGTATTTTATTAGCTTTTTTCTCTTGTTTTTTAGTAGCTATTGTCTCTTTCGCTTTTTGTTTATTTTATTTGTAGCGATTTCTACTTTCGCGTTATTTTTTCGTCTCGTTCAGTAATCTGTTCTTCTTACGAGTCGCCTGTTCTTCTTCTTTAAGTTGTTTAGTTTTTAATTTGGTGTTCAGTCTTTTGCCATTCAGCTGAAGTAAGAACGAAGTAGAGAGATCCTCTACAATTTTAACACATTTTCGTTCAGGCGTTTTTTCCGTAACCAATACGTACTGTAATTTTACTGGAGTTAGTAGATATTGTTTAATTTGACTGGAGTTAGTAAATATTGTTGACTATCAAGACATAAGAATTGCGCACTTCCAAGACAATCTTCAGTATTGTTAGCAGATGGTTCATTAGTGGTTGCAGAGATCATAGCTTGCATTTCATCTACAAAATCTTCTGCTATTATTACTGGAAATTGATCAATATAGAATAACTCGATAACAGCTTCTTGGGATGTGGACATTGTGGACGCATCAGTTTGATCATCGAAATAACAACAAATCTTCTTTAAAATCCTGTCCGTTTCTATTAGACTCTCAAGCGGCGTTCTTTGCAGAAATGTAAATTTTTCTTGCCCTACAATCTTTTCTAAAGTTTCACGTGTCATAACTCTATCGTTACTAGAATCTTCTTGTAATTTTTATTTGTCTTGTTTTGGTTCTTTATCATGCTTACTTCCTTTACCCAGACATTTTTTGTAGTTGATGGCTTCAGAGTTCCAGGGACATAAGCCAATAGTCCTGAATGCATTTATCACTGTTGTATCTTTGACGCCAACCTCTAACAAAAAAAAATCTTTGTGAGAGTCTCCAAAGGGTAATCTCTCCTCCATTTTACTTTCCTTCCATGCATTTTTGAGAGGTCTAAAGGCTGACATGTGTCGGCTGGCTTTAGAGAAATCAAAATAATGTCCCATCTTGCTGCACTATTCACTCACTTCAAGACTAAGATGTGTTTTGTGCCCATCGACAAATAGTATGGTGTGAAATGGATGAAATACGTTCTTGATATAATCATAGAAAAAATCACATTTCAATTAGCCAGTACAGCTTAAACCAACGCCCCATTCATTTGGGGCTGATGATTTTATTTCATTGGGAAACCTCTTGTTGGGAAACAGAATTAGTGGAGGTGTAATATCTATCTATAAGGCAGTTTCGGCTGCAGCGTGATCAACTTCATACACGTCTCTTTCTCCTCGTAATATTTGACTTTGCCACTCTTGGGATATTACTGAAAGTTAGATTCGTCCCCATTAAATACACGAGACGGGGTCTGGTAGATGTTAAAGTAGTATTTTTCCTTAGGATAAAACTCAATTTTGTGGAACCTCCTTTTGATGTCTTCTTCTGATACATTAGCACTGACTGATGTTACAGTTTCGGAAATGCGTTCGCTGAGTTCTGGATGACGGCACATAAAAAGTTCATACCATTTTCTACCAGATATGTCATCTTTACAGAGGTTATATCTTCCTGTCGTCTTTAAGAAACTTGCTACACTCAATTGTAAATCAGTCTTTTTTTGGGAATCCTTTCCGACAGCAATCTAAAACCCACTTTACTAAAACTTCCTCTTCATCGTTCGACAATATTGGATCAGGGTCTGGTAGCTTCTTGCATGGCTTTCTTAATCGCGACTGGATAGTTCGTCTAGGTACATTGAAGGTTTTCGAGGACAGTTTTTTGGACATACCCTATTCTAATGCATCTATGTCTTTTAATAGATTTTCGTAAGAGTATTTTTTTCTTTTATTTGGCTTATTTACTTCCTTTGGTTTCATGGTAGGTGGGTCTGAAAAAGGAAAAATGATGAAATGCTAGGAAAACCAAATTATCAGCATGCTTTTGATCCAATTATCAGCACTATGCTGATAAATAGCAAATGTTATTTAAGCACTATGCTAAGATTTTGATTCCGGAGGCATAAACTACTTATACGAAAAAAGTTGAATTTCATGCATCAAATAAACACGGTTTACAATTAAAAATATGGAATAAGTATTTACGTACTATTTTCCATTTATTAGCACCAGTGCTGATAATTTGGAATTCGCAAAATATTAGACCCATATATCAGCACCACATTTTTTAACAATATGTCACTATAACCTCAAATTTTTCTTTCCAAACTATCCGCATAAACTATCTAAGAAATCAGATAAATCAAAAGTATTAATATAAAATATTTAAAAGATCTATTAAAGTATTAAATGTAAATACGTGAACTTACCTTCGATCTCTAAGAACAGGCAAATATAAGACGAACTGCAGGACACAAACGTATTTTTACAATTTTTTATTGCCATTTTGAAGTCGGAAAGTATGGTATTGCCAGGGGTAGGATTCCAAAAACAACAATTTATTAATTTTTTAAAGTGGACACCCAAATCAGTTAGTGAAAACCTTATTATTTTACTATTAATTCAGAGTGCTGATTATTTGGTGCCGTGCTAGCATTTGGATCAGTCACCCTGATTTGCTTTCTTATCTGAGCTTTTGATATTTATCCATTTATTTTTTAGTCAATGTTGGAGAGGACTGTCCTGTATTTGATGGTCTATATGAATTCTGTCAATTGTCTGCTGGAGGTTCTGTTGCTGCAGCAGTTAAATTGAATAAACAAGTGAGTAAAGGTTTCCTAAAATCTATTTATATTATCCTTATACAATCTGCTACTTACCATATTAAGACCACCAACAATATTATTTTAACAGAAAGTAAAACTGTAGTATTTATGTGATAGCTTTTTTTTAAAAACAATAACAATAGTTTTTTTTTCTTTTAGGCTTCAGAAATCTGCATCAATTGGGGTGGTGGCCTTCATCATGCGAAAAAATCTGAGGCGTCAGGATTCTGTTACGTAAACGATATAGTATTGGGCATTCTGGAACTATTGAAGTACCACCAGAGAGTTCTGTACATCGATATTGATGTGCACCATGGTGATGGAGTGGAAGAAGCGTTTTATACTACAGACAGAGTGATGACTGTATCATTCCACAAGTATGGCGAATACTTCCCTGGCACAGGTAAGCATTATACCAATTATTCTATACAAATAACAAATGCTAATGCGTGTCTGCCTGTCTGTTGCTTGTTAATTAAATTGTGAATTTGGTAAAGAGATGATTAGAGTCCTGGGAAAGGACATAGAATAGTTTTCATCCTTTAAGGTATTTCTATACCTTAACCTTTAACTATGGACGTGCGGTCTCACGGACCGCTATCTTTACGGGCTGGTTTCTATTTGCATGAGTAAGTATTGTATTTTTTTGTTTTTATCCCTTAGAAGTGTTACTAAATGTAAATAAAAGATGTAATTTTAATGAAAAATGTATTTATTTTAAACTAAATTTAACGATATAACAATCAAAGGCACTTTTGAGACTTTTTAGCTTGAGATCACTTTATATGTATATTACCACAGGAAAATGATTTTTTTTAGATAGTTTAACTTCTTATACAATAAAATATAAAGAACAAAGAATATAAAAAACTTAACATAATCTTCTTAAAACTAAACATAAAAATTTCGACAAGGGCCCAACTTGGTCTCACAGACCAAAATTACTCACTTCACCTTTCAGCCGACGACGTAAAAACTTCACTCTCAATGGTCGTTTCGCCACTAAAACCGAAGCTACTGAGGCCGGCATAGGCTTGGCATACACGGGAAGAGGGGGGCACTAGAAGAGAATCACAAACTGCAAGCGGTCTGTGAGACCGCACGTCCATAGTTAAAGGTTAAAGGATTTTGAGATGATGAAAAGGGTGGAGTGGAAGTTTGTATGGGAAACCAATTTAACCACTCGGATGAAGTCATGGGCCTTACATAATAAAACAGAAGTTATTTTACTAGTAATTCCCATTTGTCGGGTGTCGGATCCGTATATCAATCGGAGGTTCCAGTGGCAGAGCATTATATATGAAGCTATTCACACTTATCGGAAACCGAATTTGTGTCGGCTCCGACAAGAAGTGTCGTGTGTTTTGCCAGCCCTCTACGCCCGGAAAAAAATCGTGTCGGATCTCGCTCGCCTATGATTAAGAATGGCGCTGTTCATATTTGTCGGGTGTAGGGGCTGACTATCTTTCCCCGCTACCCCTTGTTCCGTCCGTAATGTAACCCTTCTTCAGTACAAATGCAGTATCTAAGTCCTGTATTTTGGTAGTTTATGTTCACTAATATTTGAGTTAGTAGATCGTTGAATGTTGATATTGACATCCTAAAATAATTGAAACACTTAATTTCGTCACTTCTCAATTCTGTTATTAAATTCTGAAATGTACCCAAACTCAATCTTTCCCTCAGGATTATGTGCACCCAATATTGACTTTCCTTGGCTCTCTTTCTTTGTTTTCTTAAATAATAATAAGTACATCACAACAAGAACTTCATCGACATCCATCGTGCACAGTCGGCTCGCGTAGAGTGCTAAAAACTGTGGCCGACAACCGATTATTATCAACCGAAGTGTGAACCAAGGCGCCGACATCCGATTAATATACGGATCCGCCACCCGACAAGTGGGAACCAGCCGCAAATAACTAACTGATAATTTAATAACTAAAAAAACTTATTTTTACTATGGTAAATAGATATTTTTACAATGAAGTAAAGGACAAAATATCTTTATTCAAACTATAGGTACCTATTATAATGTCATTTTAATATCAAACATGCTTATTAAGTGTTATTTTCCAGGTGACCTGCGAGATATTGGCGCCGGGAAAGGCAAATATTACGCCGTCAATATCCCGCTCCGCGACGGCATGGATGATGAATCTTACGAGTCTATTTTTGTTCCTATCATCTCTAAAGTCATGGAGACTTTCCAACCTAGCGCAGTCGTTCTTCAATGCGGTGCTGATTCACTCACAGGTAAATGTGTAATCAAATTTCTATTAAATTTGACAACATTGTATCCTTGTTATTCTCTATACAGAATGAGACTGATCTTAAATTCACTTATTAGTCCATTATTTAAAAAGAATATAATATAAACTAATCGTTCATTTATTTTGAAGATGAAGACCAATTTGCTTTATCCCACAAATTTTTTGTAGTATTAATTTCCAATAATAAATTTTCATCTGATTATATTTTCTTGATTATTTCTTTCACAGGGGACAGATTAGGATGCTTCAATTTAACAGTCCGAGGTCATGGTCGATGTGTGGAGTTAGTAAAGAGATTTGGCTTACCTTTCCTTTTAGTGGGAGGCGGAGGGTAAGTTCAAGATTGCTAAGTTATTTTTAAAACGATCAAGTGACATAAATCACTGTTAGTTTTCAAGCTCTTCATTTACGATTACATAATATGCAATCATAAAATTAAACTTACAGTTTATATTGAAATGTAAGTATAATTTACTCTCACTGGAACTTGTATTTATAGTTATGAGTAGATGAACCTGGTCAACCTACACTGTGTTAACTATTTAAAACATACTTTGTCAGTCGAATTCATGAGGAGCTAGATGATATTGTTAAACCAATACCTGCTATGGGCAAAAAATAAAACTTTAATATATGTAATAGTTAAAAAATAAGATGGTGTCAAATGTAATAATAAAATAAAATGAAATGGATCGGCCGAAATTAATTAAATAGAATACTCGGGCGCCAGACCTACCACATTATTATACCATTTAGCCGGGAAAGCATCGAACTATTAATCGCAAAGGGGGTTTAATGCAAATCCATACTCATTTTGGGTTGTCTATATATTGAAATTTACTGCAAAATTACTTACGTCCAAAAGGGTTACTGCTAAATTTAGAAACTATTCTACACTATGACTCTACCAAGAATTAAATGAAAATTTACCTTTAATATAGGTGCTGGTACAGTCGCCATCAGATATATCTGAGCATACAAGGTGACCAAATACATCTGAACAGTTAAAATGTCATTAAGTTCTATACGCTACAAGTGACCATAAATATCTGAACATTCATTACTTCAATAATATCTGAGCAGATGCCTGTCAATAATATCTGAACATACAACTTTTCAATAATATCTGAACACGTCAATGATTATGTATCTACGCAGATCATGCACTGGGCTTACATATTTTGTTACTGTGTGATTGAAAGGATGAACTAAAAACAAAGGCTAAATATAAGGAATAAATACGATGAGAAGGGAATAAAAATCTATCAGAAAATCATTCGTGTAGGTCACCACGAGTAGTAGAAATGGAAGATGCCTAATTTTTTCTCTATTTATTTTTTATAATTAACGAGAAGTTATGTTTTTATTTTATTCTATAGATTAAATTCTCAATATCTCCTTAGAAATTTATTTAAAAATAAGACAACTGCGTTTTTTAACCGAAATAGAAATAAGTAATAATTTGGAGGAAACATTTGTCCCACTATTTCCATTGCAGTGGAAAATGGAATTCTGTACTTGTCATGCTCAAACTGGGCGCCATCCTTACAAAAATTTTATTTACTGTCTGAGTGGATGTGTTTGTTTGGTTTGGGTATGTATTATTTATAAAAGTGAAAATTAATAAAAAACAATTTTAATTCTTATAAATTTTTATTGAGTTAAATAATCAAAAATGTAAACGAATTAACTTGGTACACTACCTCAGTAGATGCTCAAGCTTAAGTATTTATTATTATAATAAAATTATAATCGAGATCGAAATAAAAAAAAGCAACTTCTGATACAATGAGTTTAAAATTAAATAGTAACAAAATGTTTTATTGTTATAATTATACATGAGATCAAATCAAAAAGTTATCAGGCAATTAGTAAGGTTCTTGAAATTAGCGTATTATTATTAGCTTAATAATTTCCCAATATTATCAATGCCCGTTTAGACGGGAATTTCTAACAGACGTAGACGGCCGTAACGTATATTGTCGAATTTTCAACAAAAACGCAGACGAATTAGTTATTTTGCTCACCATTTTTAGGGTTCCGTAGCCAAATGGCAAAAAAACGATATTCATACAAAAATAGAAAAAAAACGTATGGACTTAGATTTTTTTTTTTATCAAATCTTTACGTGTGGGGTATGGATAGGTCTATAAAATTGATAGGTCTATAAAAAATATGGGACCCATTTCCACTAAATGTTGTTAGAATTCATAATGCAATAAGGTCGAAATTTTAGTTTGATAGTGTTTTGATGACATAATGTCATAATGAATCGACCCTTGAAATGATAACCTCTTTATAAAATACTATTTCGTGTCAGTGTCAGTGAAAAAAACAGTTTAATGTGACATTTTTACAAAGTATAATTCGGAAACGGAACATAACATAACATCGGAAATGATCTTTTGCTGTCGCTTCAGATGACGTAATTGCATGGTTGCCCCTAGTAACGTAAAGTTGTCAATGGTAAACATTATGACATTGACGTTGCATTAAAATATTAGCTTTATACAGCTTGCAGCAGATTGCTACACGATATTCAAAGGTGGGGCCCAGATGAAAGCTCGTGTCTGTACATTACCATGCAAACTTCTAGCAAAAGTTGATTTGAACGAGATCAAGCAATTACCGCAATTTACATTTAATTCAATATAAAAATATTTATTTAGATAATGGTACGGAACCCTTCGTGCGCGAATCCGATTCGCACTTGACTGGTTTTTAAATATGCATACTATTCAAATATACTGCTTATAGACATGTTTTCTCCTGCTAACCAATCTACAGTACAGACACGAATTATGAAATCTTGCAGATCCATGTTATTGTAAGCTGCCTTTTTATGATTTCATTTTTGACCATCATCATTTGCATGCCCTTTTCCCAATTCTATTTGTGGTCGACGCAACATGTCTTCCGCTTCCATTCTCCTCTATCACTCGCAATATCAACACTCACTCCCTTACTGGCCATGTCCTCATTCCCACAATCTATCCATCTTTTTTTCTTCGGTTTCCTCTCCCCGGGTAACCCTCCACTCTCATTATACAGGTTGGCTTATTGAAATGGGTCAGGATGCGAAAGTCTGAAACTATAATATATATGAAGATCTGTACTTAGGAACAAGATTTTAATAAAAATAAAAACTGCATTCATACATTTAAGAAAAACCCTGTGATCAGCACGGGAATCAAATCCGGTCGTTTTGAAAAAAAAGACTTACACTATTTCCTATTTCTAGTTCCTAAGAACAGATCTTCGTATATATTATAGTTCAAACTTTCCCATACTGACCCATTTAAATGAGCCATCTTGTATACTCTCATATTAAATTTTTGACCATTATATAATTATTTGCCGAACAAGGATTGCTGCCTGATTTTTTAAATTGCTTACAAAATCTTTTTGTGCCGACCAAATTATTTAAAGGCTGACCAATTATATACTTCTCATGAAACATTAGTATTTTGTGTAACCTCCTTCTGCATTTAATACGTCTTGTAAACGTTTCCTCATGGAACCAACTACCTTCTCACAAAAACCTCGACCTCTGAACGATTCCCAAACATCATTTGCATGTCGCCTTAAGGCTTCTGTTGTTCGACATTGATTCCCATCCCACTCTTGCACCATTTTACCCCAAAGGTTTTCGATGGGATTGAGGTCTGGACTTTTTGGTGGTAGTTTGATTAAAGTTAGTTCTCTCTGTTCATTAATCCATGTCTGTACTGTACGAGCATTATGTACTGAGCTGTTGTCTTGAAGGAATGTAATTTGTTGTTCTGGATAAAAAACTTGAGCTGTAGGAAGAAAAGTATCTTCCAGAAGTTCCTTATAATTCATTGCATTCATTCGTCACCTTATTTCCACAAGCTCACCAGGACCATCTTTGCACATCCAACCCCAAAATCCAATTTTGAAATACGTCCACTCCGGCGATTAGGCAGCACATTTTGTTCTAAGTAACGTGTGTTTTCGGGTCGCCACAAACTTAATCGCCCATTATCTGATGAGCAGAAAACCTTTTCGTCCATGAAAATAACGTTTTGAAAATTTAAATTTAAATAATTAGCTGCAAATTGTAGCCGCTGCATTTTGTGCCTTGGCGTGAGAGTTGGTTTTTTTGCCGGTACTCTATTTTTTAAACCTCCTTCTTTTAATCGTCTTCTAATGGTGCTAGTGGATATTTCGAATGTGCTTGAAAATTGTGTAGTGTTTATAAATCTGTCATTTTTGGCTTTATCTATAATAGCTATGTCTTGGTTATTTGTAGTAATACGCGGGCGACCAAATGAAACATGATTATTTAATGTTTCTTCTTGCTGCCATCTTTCTAGCCATAAATATACAGTATTTCTCTGAAATAAATACAATTTTATACTTTGTGAATAAAGTTTCATGTTTTTCCCTAGCTCATCGGCGATATCTTTTACGGATGAACCATCATTTTTTAGTTGTATTATTTTATGTTTCATTTCCGCATCAATACGGTACGAACTCATATTAATTATAGTTAATTTATGGTATGAACTAATACGTAAGCAAGCTGCTTGAATTTATTTGTGCATGACACATGACAGAGGTGATAAGAATAAAAACTGGAAAGTGTTTAGCTGCCAGCGTCATCTTATTATAAATAAATAATTAAGAGGTCCTATTAAAATTGTTCAGATATTTTAGAAAACTTGTATGTTCAGATATTATTGACAGGCATCTGCTCAGATATTATTGAAGTAATGAATGATCAGATATTTATGGTCACTTGTAGTGTATAGAACTTATTGACATTTTAACTGTTCAGATGTATTTGGTCATCTTGTATGCTCAGATATATCTGATGGCGACTGTACAACAAATGACAAAAAATCAATAAAATTTTCGCGCCACCAGTGGCCAGAGATACGAATTTATAAATGACATATATATTATTTAAATTTTAACATTTTAAATAGCAGAGGCTAGTTACTTATCCCGTCCTCGTACATATTGATTTAAATACATACAATAAATTGTATACCAGTATAAGTAAGTGAGTAATGGTACCATGGTGTGACTAAAAAGTCCAGACTTTTTTCGATATGTCAGGTTTTTTAAGGACTTGAAATTTCTAAATGGTAACCCTAGCTGTAAACAAATCTCTTAATTATCCAGGTACACAATTCGCAACGTATCACGCTGTTGGACATACGAAACGTCTGTAGCGCTTGGTGTAGAAATAGCTAACGAGTTACCGTACAATGACTACTTTGAGTATTTCGGACCGGACTTCAAACTGCACATATCACCAAGTAACATGTCCAATCAGAACACACCCGAGTATTTGGAGAAGATCAAAAACAGACTGTTTGAGAATCTGAGAATGCTGCCGCACGCGCCTGGTGTACAGGTAAATAAGAGTTATGTTTTTATTTTTTAAGCATTTATCTGCTAGATGTTTAAATCTAAAGAAAAGATTACTAGAAAAAAATCCACGCGGACCAGGCAGCAGACGGGATTCAAACCATTCGTAATTTTTTCCCATTTTTTTTCTAGTAAACTTTTCTTTAGATTTAAACATCTAGCAGTTAAATGCTTAAAAAATAAAAAATAACTATAATTGCTATTTCTTCTTTTAAATGTTTAATACCTGTAAAGGTATTCAGTTGACATTGTGGGTTATCTACAATGCTAAGAGATGGCGCTGCCTTGCTGCCTAAGGCTTGAGAAAATTCGACACGGCCGTCTGGGCGCGGTAGCATAATGGTCAGTGCATTCGCCCGGATAGCGAAGGGTGCGGGTTCGAGTCCCGTCTGCTGCCTGGTCTGCGTGGTTTTTTTTTCCAGTAAACTTGTCTTTAGAATTAAATAGGAGTTTTTGAAAAGACATTACAAAAATTATACCCCACTTATCGAAAAGTAACCTGCACTGTTTTAAAGTAGCAGACACAAACAAAACCTATTTCAATTAAGATACAATTTACTGCTTTATCCTTTTACAATTTTTATTTCTGTTACCTATGGGAATGCTGAAAAAATGGGGGTTTTATACCAGCGAAGCCTTTAAGGCTCTTATTGCCAAATCCATCCCAATAAGGATGTGTTTTAGTCAGTAAGTTTTTTGACATAACCCTGCCCCTATAGTATGAGCACCGCGATATGATATATAACGTTTTTTATCATGCTCAATTATCATATTACTATGGACAATTAGACGCCATAAAAAGTCAATTTACATTATAATTGGTGGTGCTCATGCTACGGGAACTGCAGCCGACTGTCACCACAGTTTAAAATAAGATAGAATTCATCTCTGTCTGCTGTGTGGGGTATTCCTCCGTAGTAAAGTTCCCTTATCAAGTCCTTTATCTTAAACATTAAATTTGTTAAATACCATTGTAACATTTGTGGAGAGATTGGCAGACAATTTAATTTGCAATAACATGATATACAGCTACATTGATCAACATCAACCCCATACTTTAATAATGATGATGGGGATAGGGTTAATAGAATATTCCTTATGGCTGACATATAAGTAAAAGAATACGTCAGCAATTTCAATTGGGAGAAAATATAATGAAATTATTATTTGCATTATTAATTTAGGCATTTTTGTTTATTTCATGAATTTAACTGCTAGATGTGGGCCAAGTTAAATTTTCGCTAGTAAAGTTATATTTCAAAATATAATAAAATGAAATTTACAGGTACAAGCTATTCCTGAAGATGCTGTAAATGACGAATCAGAAGATGAGGACAAAGTCGATAAAGACGAGCGACTACCACAAAGCGAAAAGGTTAGTTTTATTTAGAATCATCCATAGGGTAGAAATGGTGTGGCCTCTCAAGTGGTTCTTCAAATAAAAAATAACTGGGAGAAAATTTTATGTGTTTTCTTGCCCAGCACACTCATCGAGAAAATTTTCATAATACATCCACACGCACTATGTTAAAGTTATGTACTATTGGGTAGTAATAATAATACAAGAAGTTACTTTTTAGTAAGCATTCCTTTTGTCTCGAGCTCGATGGCGCAAGTGGTTAGCGCGTTGGGCTGCGATCGTTGAAGTTAAGCAACTTTTGCAGTGGATTCTTTGGATGGGTGACCAAAAATTTACTATCTCGAGATCCTCCGTGCTTCGGAAGGCACGTTAAGCCGTTGGTCCCGGTTGCATCTGCAGTCGTAAGCATCCACCGATCCTCACTGGGCCCGCGTGGTGGGTCAGGGCCCAATCTCTGTATTCCATCCATAGGAAAGGCCTGTGCCCCAGTAAAGGGGACATTAATAGGTTGATGATGAAGCATTCGTTTATTATTCGTTTATCAAAAGGAGAAACTGATGTTAAATTTAGTTTTAATTTTAGAGAATCATGCCAAAATCGACACCACTGAATGACGGAATTTGTCAGTAGAATGTCGATAAAAAGCACACCCTAAACAAGAAGACACCTATAAACACCTGCCTCCGTAGCATGTGTACCAAACACATGCTACGGAGGCAGGTGTTTATAGGTGTTTAGTCAAAAAATTGTTTAACTATGTTACTATTTAGTGTTCGTCCTATTCTCAGGACAAGCGTATAACGGGCGAGGGTGAGCTGTCTGACTCTGAAGACGAGGGCGAGGGCGGGCGACGGGACAACCGTTCGTATCGCACGCCGCAACCGCGCAAACGACCGCGCCTCGACAAGGACGCGCCCGCGCTCAAGGACGAGCTCAAAGGTATGCGTGAGACACCACACACTGACTGACGGGACAAGCGCTCGTACCGCGCGCCGTATCCGCGCAAACGACTGCGCCTCGACAGGGCGCGTCCGCGCTCAAGGACGAGCTCAAAGGTATGCGTGAGACACCACACACTGACTGACGGGACAAGCGCTCGTACCGCGCGCCGTATCCGCGCAAACGACCGCGCCTCGACAGGGCGCGTCCGCGCTCAAGGACGAGCTCAAAGGTATGTGTGAAACACCACACACTGACTGACGGGACAAGCGCTCGTACCGCGCGCCGCATCCGCGTAAACGACCGTGCCTCGACAGGGCGCGCCCGCGCTCAAGGACGAGCTCATTATAATATTTATTTATTGATGGTGACCTCCAGCGTGGAGACGGCGTAGTGGTTCCCGCGTCTCGCGGTGATGACGCTGACGAGCTGGCCGCGCGCGAAAGGTATGTGCGAAACACCACACACTCACTGACGGGACAAGTGCTTGTACCGCGCGCCGCATCCGCGCAAACGACCGCGCCTCGACAGGACGAGCTCAAAGGTATGTGCGAGACACCACACACTCACTGACGGGACAAGCGCTCGTACCGCGTGCCGCAACTGCGCAAACGACCGCTCCTCGACAAGGACGCGCCCGCGCTCAAGGACGAGCTCAAAGGTATGTGCGAAACACCACACACTCACTGACGGGACAAGCGCTCGTACCGCGCGCCGCAACTGCGCAAACGACCGCTCCTCGACAAGGACGCGCCCGCGCTCAAGGACGAGCTCAAAGGTATGTGCGAGACACCACACACTCACTGACGGGACAAGCGCTCGTACCGCGTGCCGCAACTGCGCAAACGACCGCTCCTCGACAAGGACGCGCCCGCGCTCAAGGACGAGCTCAAAGGTATGTGCGAAACACCACACACCCACTGACGGGACAAGCGCTCGTACCGCGCGCCGCATCCGCGCGAACGACCGCACCTCGATAGGTCGCGCCCGCGCTCAAGGACGATCTCAAAGGTATGTGCGAGACACCACACACTCACTGACGGGACAAGTGCTCGTACCGCGCGCCGCATCCGCGCAAACGACCGCACCTCGACAGGGCGCGCCTGCGCTCAAGGACGATCTCAAAGGTATGTGCGAGACACCACACACTCACTGACGGGACAAGTGCTCGTACCGCGCGCCGCATCCGCGCAAACGACCGCACCTCGACAGGGCGCGCCTGCGCTCAAGGACGAGCTCAAAGGTATGTGCGAGACACCACACACTCACTGACGGGACAAGCGCTCGTACCGCGCGTTCGGCTGCGATCATTGATGTTAAACAACTTTCGCATTGATCGGTCATTGGATCCGGTCCGTGTATGTATATACGAAGAAGCTCTACAGTTGCCATACACGCAATCGGGATGGACTGCTTCAAGCTGTCCGTGTATGGCGGCGGATGGCCGATAGTAGCAACGATATTAAATACCCTAGATACAACAACCTGAACAAAATCGTGGCCGAAACGTGTCCAAAAGGTACATTGGACGATCCACGGAGTTTTGTAATTGAAACAATATATACAGTGGTGGTCACATATTTATAGACACTCCCTAATTGACCACAAAAAATTTACTTGGTACTAAAATTAGCTAAAATTGGTATTTAATCTAGTGTAATTGTTATTAAACTATACACGACCTTGTATTCTTACAATGTGGGACAAAAAAATTGTTGTGTTCGATAGTTGTTTAGACACTGCTCACTATGGGAACATAACACAAACTTTTATAACATACTTGTAGCTGGCCAGCTAATTCAAGACAGTAAAAGCTGTGTTCTGAATTTAAAAAAATAAAGAAAAAGCTGTTTAGCCGCATATTTTCATGAAACGTCGATATTACATATAGAACCTATTTTTTTAATTAAAATTAATATAAAGAAAAGTTTACTAGAAAAAAAAAAAATCCACGCGGACAAGGTAGCGGACGGGACTCGAACCCGCATCCTTCGCTATCCGGGCGAATGCACTGACCATTATGCTACCACGGCCCTATTAGCCGCGTTGAAATTTTCCTAGCCTTGAGCTGCAAGGCAACGCCAACTCTTCGCATTGTAGGTAACCCACAATGTCAAATGAATACTTTTTCAAGTATTAAACATTTGAAAGAAGAAATAGCAATTATAGTTATGATTTTATTTATTTTTTAAGCATTTAACTGCTAGATGTTTAAATCTAAAGAAAAGTTTACTAGAAAAAAATCCACGCGGACCAGGCAGCGGACGGGACTCGAACCCGCATCCGGGCGAATGCACTGACCATTATGCTACCACGGCCCTATTAGCCGCGTTCAAATTTTCCTAGCCTTAAGCTGCAAGGCAGCGCCATCTCTTCGCGTTGTTTTTTTTTCTAGTAAATTTTTCTTTAGCTTTAAACATCTAGCAATTAAATGCTTAAAAAATAAATAAAATCATAACTATAATTGCTATTTCTTCTTTCAAATGTTTAATACTTGAAAAAGTATTCATTTGACATTGTGGGTTACCTACAATGCGAAGAGATGGCGCTGCCTTGCAGCTTAAGGCTAGGAAAATTTGAACGCGGCTAATAGGGCCGTGGTAGCATAATGGTCAGTGCATTCGCCCGGATAGCGAAGGATGCGGGTTCGAGTCTCGTCCGCTGCCTGGTCCGCGTGGATTTTTTCTAGTAAACTTTTCTTTAGATTTAAACATCTAGCAGTTAAATGCTTAAAAAATAAATAAAATCATAACTAAAATTAATATGTTTTAAACCCAGCAATATGGGAAAAAACAAGAGTTGCGATTCGTCCACTAGGAAGATTATTTTCAACTTTCATAATAAAGATTGATTATACAGAAAAATAGCAAACTATTTGAACTGTTCTAAGGACATGGTTATGAATGCTATAAAACATTTCAAGAAGTTCAACACGACCGTAAACGTACCAAGAAAAACTACTCTGCGGAAAGACTCCTAAGATGGTGTTGTTGACAATAAAAGATCTGTTCAAAGAATCAGTACTGATACGTTCGAAGTTGTTAGGTGCAGGAGGGTCGAAGAGTGTGTCGGAAGGTGCCACTTTTGAAAAAGCAAAATGTTAAGGCAAGATTAGCATTTGCTAAAAAATATGTATGTACACTGGACTGAACGAGAATGGAACCATGTGCTTTTCTCTGATAAAACAAAATTTTATATGATTAATTCTGACGGAAAACAATATTTTAGACACCCCCCGAACAAAGAAATGGATCCAAAGTATACCAAGAAAGTAGTTAAACATGGGGGCGGAAATATCAAAGTTTGGGGCTGTTTTTCAGGACTTGGTGTTGCCCCTGTCAGGAAAATAGAAGGCAACATGGATAAATTTCAGTACAAGAATATTTTAGAACAAGTCATGCTGCCTTATGCTGAGCAAAATTTACCGGACATTCGGACTTTCCAACAGGATAATGATCCGGAACACACTGCAAAAGTAATAAAAGGCTTTTTAAGGAACCAGTCTGTGACAGTTTTGGATTGGACCCCTACAGTCCTGATTTAAACCCAATAGAAAATTTGAGGTACCAGGTGAAGAAGGCAGTGGCGACAAAACGGACATCAAACATCGATCAACTTTACACAGCTTTTAGAGAAGCTTGGACGCAAATTTCGGTGGAAGTTTGTAAAAAATTGATCGCTTCCATGCTCAAGAGATGTCGTGTTGTCATTTCTGCCAAATACAATTATTTTTTGTCCCACATTGTAAGAATACAATGAAACTGGATTAAATACAAATTTTAGCTAATGTTAGTACCATAACTAAGTTTTTTGTGGTTTATTAGGGGGTGTCTTTAATTATGTGACCACCACCATATAAACATTGAAAGTCAGTCACCTTTAATGCATACTGTAAAAGGTCTCAATTAAAACAAATACGTCAAAACTTATGACAGTTCTAAATGCAAAATTTAAGACTTATTGCTATATGCGGAAAAATATAGACCTTATTTCTATGACTCTACGCGCAATTCTGAATGCGCTGTTAGCAGGTACGGACCGCGAGGAAAAGAGACGGCTATATAATCGCCCATGCATTTGAATATCACAAATATTTTATAATAAATCAGTTTATAGTAAGTATTACAAAAAAATTTGCTTCAAATGCGTAAAATTAACAAACATTGATTAGACACTTGCCGAAAAAACGACACTTTAGGTATTATAAGAATATTTTTAGCATTTTTTCCATAGCTCTGCGGCATCTTGACTTTTCAACGGTTCGCGCGTGACTGTGAACCATGAAGTGCTTGAGGGGAGTTGAAGCACTTCTTGATTGCGACACATTTTGAGGGTTCGTGATGTATCTGGAGTTTTTAATATCGTTGGATAGCAGCGATAATCGAGCGACTGCGTGGACAACTGGTCACTAGCAACTACACTTCTAGAGGTTATTTCCACTGGCGACGCTAGCGATTAAACGAAGCCGATTCCTGTTTGCACACCCGTTGACGCGGGGACGATTACAGAGCACTTTCACCAAGTCGTTTTTTTGATGTTGTGACTGCAAAAGGGTTGGTTGGGGTGGTTTTTATTTGTTGTTTTGACTGCAAAAGGCTTGGTTCGGGTGGTCTGTATTGGGCATTTACTATAGCGCTGTTTCGTATCAGTATCTCGACATAATCTTCACTTGCAAGTTTGTAAACTGTATTCTCTCAGATGTGAACGATACGTGTTTCTAAATTCCGTAATCACTCCTATATCAAAACTACTGTCTACCATTGTGTGCTGTTTATATTGATTCCCTTTAGTTCTTATAATCTACCTTTCAAGTATTTTTTTTATTCATTATAAGTCTTATATCCAATACCATAAAGCTCAATTGCAGTTCAAAAAAAAATGATTTTGATTACTTGACCAGTATCGTTTGTAAGTTTTATTCCTTTACCTAGCCCAGCTATAATGATAAATTTCTTTCTTGCAGCCGAAGACTCAAAAGACGACGTGAAAAACATGAGCGTGGAGGAACCAAAGAAAGATACGGTACCTAATCCCTGATGCGGGCGTTACACTTAACTTCGTAACCGCTTGTTCCGTAAACAGTGGACGCCACATGGAAACATTGCATTAGCATCATAATTATAGCGCGAGTCCAATTTTATGCCCGTTGTGAAGTTTTAGCAGCGAACGCGACTATTCGCAGTTTTCAGTTAGTAACTCCTAATTTCGGTTGTCGCAACTTGCGCAAACTTCACAATCGCCATTGAGTTTGATTCGCACTCTACAGTCAGTGAGTGCTAAAATTCATGTACCGTAAACTGTACAAATTAATTTTATATCGTGATACATTTTAGAACACAAGTGTGTTAGTTCACGGATTTTGTACTGATGAATGAGATCTCCGAAGCCGATCAAGTTGTCACTTCTCATTAATTGGGATCAATTTGTAACGCAAACTAAACAATAAAAATAATTCCTCAATAACAAATAATCTTTATTTTGTAACCTACTAATTTTAAACTCAATTAAGTAATAAATAAATAATAATTAAAATCAAGTATTCGGTTACTTTAAGCATTTATGTTAATAATGCGTTGTATAGGGAAGTTAAATGTCTTTACTGTGTTCATTTTTTTAACTAATGTAGGAAGAGGAAAAGGGAGAGTGGAGTATCGTTAAATTTAATAACATCATAATTTAGCATATATGATGCACTCATAAGAAGTGTAACAAATGCAAAAAAAATCTAGAAAAAAGCATTCTAGAAAAGCAAGGTGGATGCAGACAATTTTACATGTATGAGTATTATATCATCATCTGAGAAGCCCACATTCGGTGACTCGTAGCGTTCGACTTATAACAGCTACAAAATTTATCCTTCTGTCTACATTTTTTTAAATGTCCCGTTACATCTTTATGTATACGTCGCGTTCGACTTATAACAGCTACAAAATTTATCCTTCTGTCTACAATTTTTTTAAAGGTCCGTTAAATCTTTATGTATACGAAACACTACATTTTCCATTGTAGCTGCTCAGAGGGTACGCAGATTTATTTACTTTTAACATGAAAAAAAATGGCCGAGCTAGTTTTTATAACGTCAGGAAAATGCTCTATCAGAGTTGCGTAACATCATTTGTTTGTTTTCGACAGAACATTTTGTCATGAATCGGCGTTTACAGTATTTGTTGTTTATATTCAGCATATGGGGCAGCATATACCAAAATTTCACATACTTGATTCGATTTAAGATAGACTCATACCAAATTTAATGGTATATTTAGAAGCCCCATAAGAAGTTTTAATATTATGGGTGATTTTAAATAGACTTCCACATATTCATTCAGATTCAGTTAAAATATAATTAACGGGTATGCTAAGTACAACTACAACTATTTTTAGGAAGTAAATTACGTAGTTGCTATATTTTTGGTCTTAGAAACATTAAACTGGAAGTAAATATGATTAAATTAATGATATAATTTGGACTGAATTGCGCTTAAGTTTATATTTAATGATTATTTTCACGCCTATGGCTAAACTCATTCGATCCAAACTAATATAGTTGTGAGTGTTTAAAATCGTCGAACTAAGTAAGATGAAATTTGATAAAGAGATAGTTGAGAAGAGACAGACAAAGATGAACATGAGATATTTTTTCATCCTAGAAATCATTCTTAAATAGGCAGATGGGGGAGGGGGGGGGGGGGGTCACAATCTAAAGATCTTATTTTTATCAAACAGGAAATGCCTATTGTACAATGTTTTTCTTAAAAAATATATTGAAATTTCTACAAATGACGCTACCACCTTCAAAATATTTTTACTGTTCGTTTTTTAGAACATTTAATAAAAATAAACTGCGTCACTATCTATTTCATATAGCTACATAAGTTATTTAAATTTATGATAATTTGTTTAGAAAATAAGCTGTGAATATATTTTTTATTGTCTGAAAATGACGTTTTATTTGTGAAATTTCAATAATTTCTTTTGTAAATCAATCAAGCACATTCAACATGGAATTCTGCTGATGTGTGTTATCTTGACCTAAATAAAGATATTCTTGGTAAATTGGAGCGGTCTCTTAATAGCTGTATTCGATTAATATTCAGTCTACTGAAATATGATCATATTATTTCATTTCACCGTAAACTCAATTGGCCACCTCTTCCAAACCGTCGTGATCTAAGAATTCTCACATCTCTTTTCTCAATTCTTTTTGACCCTTAATGCTCCGTCTTACCGAAGTCCAAATTTCACTTTTTAAGTTCCACCCACTTTCGTTCTTCTGAAATCTTTTGTCCATTCCCTCCCACTGCTCCAGCTTCGTATCAAATTAATGAGAGCGTGAGAAAAGCACCCAGTAAACCTGCTTTCAAGGGCACGTCAGAATTTCGCTAAGAAGTCATAACAATTTCTATTTTGTGAACGAACTTCTGGTCAATCTGCCTAATATTAATATTATTTGTAATAGTTTTTATTTTATTATAGTATTCTTAAGTATAGTGGTATTTATTATTGTATATATTAAGGTATTATCTTATATATAAATGTGTATTTATATATTTGTAGCTATGTATATTTCTAGATATTAGATATGTATATCATAATCTTTGTATTAAGTAACATGTACTTTTATCAATTAATTTTTATTTTCTTGCTCTTTTTAATTTTATGCTTTTATTTACTTTACCGCTTAATGTCTCTGCTTAGCCCGATGGTTGACTGGTAGAGAATGCCATGTAGCATTAAGTCCGCCATTTGTTGAAAACAATGAAGAGCAAATAAATCAATTCTGATTTTTCAAGAATGGTAAAATAAAGTTCACAAATAGTAGAAATGCCTTTCTAAGGCAAGTCAATCAGTAAATTCACTCATTGCTCTATGCACTGTCTTCGGAAGAGTTCGATGGCGCAGTGGTTTGGAAGATGGCGGAAGGTAAGCAAAAGTGCAAAAGAGCGGTATAGTAAAAAAAAACTTTTTCCGTGTTTCGGAAGGCACATTAAGCCGTTGTACCGTCATGACCTGCAGTAGTAAGCGTTCTCAAAACTAAAAACATCAGTCTCTCCTTTTCATTCTATATAGAGAATGACAAGGATACACTGTTGTTAAATTTAAGTTTATGTTTAGAAAATCATGCCAGAATCGACACCATTGTTTACCCAAATATGTTACAGGTATTAAAATAAAAAGCTATTTAGGTCTTGTATATTGCATGTAATTAAACGATTATCACAACGCTCTATACATAAATTGCACCATAAATAAAAGTACCGTAAAATCAGTCTGGTACCAAAGAGCTAGATAAAATCAACTAAACTGGAATGAATATAAAAATACTATGAAATAATTTAGCAATATACTATACATCTACTTATAATAATTAGTAAATTTACATAAGAAACGCCACTAAAAGATAGATTAATAAAGTATTCAATAGACTGTTGAATTTAGTCATTTTACAAATAGTTAATCTAATGAACACTTAAAATTTTATGGGGGCGTTCTACATATTTCATCGTCACTACCGTAAAAATTGAACCTCACATCACTGCAAGTTGGTACCTATACTAATCTAAAATTCACCTCACGTTTGAACTTCATTTCAAAAATCACACATCATTAATTATTTAAAAATACTGTTAAATACTATTATACAATTTATGAAGGAATGTAAATTCTGGAAGAAATCGGTCATGGCTCAATAATACATAAATGATCAAATTTGTGCAGCTACAAAACCCTGTCTGTAATATGAACAAAAATATAACTAAATTGTGCGTAATATTAGGCCTTTTAAAGCATGACTAGGCAAGACCAATTTATTGAAGATACCATATTTAATATAAATATATACAGTAGATTAATTTATGAAAATATACACGCCAATATTCGGTGCACGAAAACACGACAAGATTATTCAATAATTTTTATAGTTTTAACATATGATGGTAAAACATCAGCACTGAAAGATGTTCTAGAGATGTGACACAGTGACGTTTTAACGATAGGAACATCTCATACCCTTCTGGCGAATGAGCTTGACTAGTGAGATGGCTTTAAATAGTTGATCGTTTCACGTAAATAAATAATCTTTGCTTTGAGTACCCAGCTATTTAGGAGTATCACAGAAAAATATATTGCACATGGGCACTCACATAAAAAAAATATAAGTAAAACAACTTTCAGTGCTGAAAATTCTTTAAACACATAATCTTATCATTGCAAGTAATTCCAATATACAAAATGATTATATTCGTGTAACATTAAATAATAAAAATTCATGAATAATATAATTGTAATACTAACACAATCACAGTAAATAAAAGTGTCGTTATTAATTTTAGTTCTAAATAGCCTATCATAAGTTACTTGGAATTATTATGACCGTATCATCAACATTTTCGATTGAAAACTATTTTTAAAATGGCAATTCGAAGTACCATATTAGAACACTAGTCAGTAGCTATTTACCATCTAAAATGTTTAAATTCTAACTGGCACAATTGTGAGCATCCATGAATAAAATCCGCTAATGTAATATCTGGATGAACCCTGCTCAACCTATCACGTACTTATCCTTGCGCTATACGTTTTCTGTGCATGTCTAGGCCTCGGCTCCCTCTGAAAATTAAACCAAAAAAATTAATTATGTACGACGAATTTCTCCATTATTTATTTTTTGTTTCGATTTGGCATTTGAATTTTATATGTACTTGTATCTTTTTTTATTTAAGAAAGAACGAATAATCTTCAACCGCCTTATTACAAAATCGGACTAAAGTTAGTCTTGTTTTAAACGTAACTTGTGTCAGTCTTCTTTTTTAGCAAACAACAGTGCCAACATCAGCTTTAGTCCAGGTTTAACTTTAGTCTACGTTTTGTAATAAGGCGGCAATTGTGTAAATTTGAAGAACGTATTATAATATTATGAGCTGAAGTAACTGTCGTATTATAAACTAGTAAGACATTACTTCTGCTTAAGTAATGACTTAATTCCATACTCAAAGTAAGAACCTAAACTCGTGCCCATATAGAAACGAATCGAAAATGCCGCCGCAAGAGATTCTGTTGCTCTTGAACGTTACTGAGGACAGCATGTGTGAAAGGGACAGAATGTTTTATGGCGTGATTAGCCATTTGTTTTTTATAAGCGGGATTTGATAACCCGGTAATGGTCACAATTTTGTTGGAAAGTAATAGTACGAGAGCCCACGACCAAAACCATGTCTCATAGCAATACGGCAAAAACCCTATAAAATCGTTAGATTGTATGATTCTGAACCCGACTAGGTGTGTAGTAACGGTCGAAAGTGTAGCAACTGCGTGGGAGGCCATTTCTGCTGTGTCAAAAAAAAAGACAGTCGGTATTATAGGAATACGTCTGATAGTGAAAATGTACATAGATTTTATAATTGTATTACGAAAAAGTTTGTTTTCAGACATTTTGCGCGTAGCATATAGCCTGAGCGCATTTTTGAAAATGTCAACAAATTTAGCCGACCTGTATCATAGCAATACCGATAAAAAAAAAAATCCACTTTTCGTATTGCTGCCATGATTACCAAAAACCTGTTTTCAGACACTTTCAAGTGTAGCATATACTCCCAAAAACGAAAATAACGTTTCGGAGTTGCCTGGCCGACGCCTCTGTTAAATGTTTTTTTTAAATTTACAGCCTTCATAGATATTCAAGAATCTCCCTTGTCTATTATATGTACTTTGACAGATGACAGATGTCATTACTTATTTCTTTTGTAAAAGTTACTCAAGTGTGCTTTAAATAAAACCAAAACTATCAAATCAATCAGTATTTAATTTCAACAGCCTCAGCGCTTGTTACGCTCCTGCAAATATTTTGTAACTTTGAATAAACTGTTTTTTTGAAGTTATACTTCTTTAGGCGCATTATGAAAAAATGATGACAGTGAAATTTTAAGATGCGCGCGCATCACTGTAACACAAAAATTATTACTTTTGTGTTTACCGCACATTAAGAAAATCTACCAACAAAATAGAAATAGAATCTCTATTTAGTGGGTGCTAACGACTGCATTGTGAAGGCCTATCAAAAGTATTTATTAATCTGGAACAACGGAACCAAAGCGCGATTCAGGAGACTACAGCGCCATCTCTTGACCATTGGTGTAGTAGAACCTAAAACCACATCTTTATTTTTTGTAATAAAGTAACAGTTATAGGTATTCATATTTATAATATTTATCTACATGTTTCTAGTTTGTATATTCGGAATACGTTTGAGTTTCATACAAGTGCAAATCACATATGTTCTAATAAATTATATTCAGTAGCGATTTTAATTCAATATTTTGATTATTTATTTATTTTTTCAAATTAAAACTGAACTTTATTGACTGTGTCCTTTTCCAGACTTTTTATTAATTTATTGTAATTAATTATTTGCATGCAATTAAAAACTAATTTTAAACGATGCCAAAGAAGGATAACTTCTCACGCGCCTACATAAGTACACGCACCCATTTTTTTTTCAACTTCATCTCAGTTTCCTTTTGTGCGATTTATTTCAGTCCTTCAACTTCAATGTTACGGTTTCGGGTAAATTCTTTGTTAATAATCATCTAATAAATTCAGGGTCGCAACCTATTCATTGGTTTGTAACAGAAAATTCAAGATGCCTCAATACGATTTTTAAATGATATCTGAGTATCGAAAAGTTGTCTGATAGAGAAGGTGCTACACTTAATTTGTCTGATATAAATTTTTTGCACATGTGGACAACTTATTTTATCATGTCCAACAATTTTCAGACATATTGCTATGATACCGATCGGTAAAATTTGTTAACATTTTCAAAACGGTCTCAAAATTTAATGCGTTCACATTTCCGTCTGAAAACTGTTTTGTTCGCATCAAATAACCAAAATTTACTAATAAAAAAGATTTTCAGACGTATTGCTATGAGACATTTTTTTTGTCTCATTTTTAATTTTTTTAATTGATTTTACGGGTTTGCGCTACACCACTAACGTCTGAAAAATATGTTTCCGGTATCTCAGAACTATCATTCAACTACAGTCTGCAAATCAGACATATTGCTATGATGCAGTTCGGTAAAATTCTTTGACAATTTTGAAAATTCGGTCAGATCAAACGCTTCGCGGAAAATGTCTGATATTGGTATTTTCGAGTTCAAGATAATCGTATCTATCGATTTGATGCAGTTTTGGCCGTATTGCTATGAGACAAAAATTTTGGTCGTGGGCTCTCGTACTATAACCATTTCTTTGATTAAACAATTCTAGTGTCAAATAATGACTTGGTTACTTAGCAACTACGTAATAATTTGATAATGCTGAAAAGATATATTTATAAACAAGTCAAAGATTACTTGTTTATATTATGTCTTTTCAGCAAGCAAAGATGACACACCGACTTTGACTTATGTTTTGTAATAATGGATGTAAATGTTTTATCTTAACTGCCTCTAAATGTTCATGATAACATTCACATTTTGAAATACACTTCTGGACACATCTATTGGCCCACCTTGTATTTTCAGTTTCGTTTGGTCCTAGTTAAAATTTTATATTAGGTCGCAAAAAGCAAAAAGCAGTTTTGAACCTGGCACATTCACAATTTCATTCAATAGTCTTTTTTTGAATTTCGAACACAGAATTTAAAGAAACAAAAGACAATTTGGAGCCTGTTTGTTGATATCAAACAATCGAATACTAAGAAAACTTGGTTTTATTGGTTTACTTGGATTTAATTCTTGAAAAAGTGATTGATATCTTTGGTTTTGCAACAAACATTACTTATTCTTAACATTAAGGTGAGGTTCTATCAATAATCTATGGATACTTCACCTGAAGTCGCCGCCCAAGCTGTGGCACTTATTCAGGCCGGACACAGCCAAAGAAACGTGAGTGCTCAACTTAATTTAAGTCGATCTGCGGTCCGAAATGTTTATCGGAGGTACCTAGAGACTGGCGGCTTTGTTCGTCGCCAAGGAAGGCCACGATCTCGGGTCACAACTGAAAGGCAGGATCGATTCATCGTGACGACCAGCTTGAGAAATCGTCACCTTACCTATATTGAGATACAAAAACAAATTCGCGACTTCCACGGAGTATCTGTGAGCGCTCGAACTGTTCGGAGAAGGTTAAAAGAACGCGGTACCACACAAGCCAGCTAATGGGCCCAAACTAACACGAGCCCACCGAACAGCGCGCCTTCATTTCGCACGCAGTCATTTAAATTGGACACAGCAAGATTGGAGCCGTGTGCTCTTTTCTGATGAGTCTAAAATTGTGTTACATGGCAATGATGGAAGGAAGAAGGTCTACCGACGTAAGGGAGAGCGTTTCGCACAATGCTGCTTTGAAGAGAGGGTTGCTTATGGCGGTGGCTCATGGACTGTCTGGGGCGGTATATCCGCGAGCGGCAAAACTCAACTTGAGGTTGTTACAGGACCACGGCTGCCAACATTAAATGCTGAAAGGTACATTCGTGAGTGCTTAGAACCTCACGTGATACCAATACGCGGACTATGTGGGCCCAAATTTCCTTTTTATGCATGATAATCCAAGAGCCCATGCGGCCGGCATCGTCAGGGAATATCTTCGGGATGTGAACATCACAGTTATGGACTGGCCAGCCAGAAGCCCAGACATGAACCCCATTGAGCACATGTGGGACGAGCTAAAAAGACGTGTTAGGGCTCGTCAGTCCTAACACGTCTTTGCCCAGACGATGCAGGAGTTGAAAACTGCCATAGAAGAGGAATGGGAGATGATCCCTCAAAATTTCATAGAGCGGTTGATAAACTCTATGCCTAATCGTATGAGAGCTGTGGTAGATGCCCATGGAGGCAACACGCGTTATTAAATTAAACCTTTATTTGATAAAACATGTTTTTTATTCAAAAATCAATTGCCTTTAACAAGGCGCATATCCGACTTGTTAGGCGTAGCTCCATGTCGTATGGTATTCTGAATTCAAATTTAAAACAATACGATCGAAAAAGATGGTAAAATGTATCAGGTTTAAAACTGCATCAACAGATTTTGTTCAATCTAGCAATCATATTTCGGTAGGGGCCATCGAAACCTAAACTCTTAGGTGGGCCAATAGATGTGTCCAGAAGTGTAATAAAATTATATTTTTACTGCTCACCTGGAGTTAAAGGATGATCGCGGAGCATTGAGCCTGCAAAAATACGAAACCTTTGATTGAGGTTAACATGTAATATTTCGACATTCTACATTACTCAAGCATATAATATTCTAGTTACCTCTTTAAAGTAATATTTGTAAAAGTTAATACAGAGGAAAAGAAGGCATGCAGAGAAACATCAAATAGTACGTGAATTAGGTATGCAATTATGTATACATCAAACTAAAGCAGAAGATCGGCACTAGCAACAATAGTACGATAAAAACTCTTGACTTTTTTATATATTTGATATAGAGAAAAACAAACTTAAACTGTTTTATAAATACCTCATTGAAAAACGATTGCCATAACTGAAGAGACCATCGAAGTAGCGTTAAGTTACAAAGTGAAGCTAAAGAAATAGCTAAATATTAACGTTTACCGCCACAATATAAAACAAGCAATGCACATTATTATTAATGACAACTTGTAATGATTGGAACATTGGAGTAAAACTAAAAGAACATTGGTTTTAATGAGTAACTGTTTAATATATACGTATTTTAAGCGTTTAACTGCTAGGTATTTGAATCTAAAGAAAATTTACTGGAAAAGAAATACGCGAACCAGGCAGCTGACGGGTCAGTGCATTCGCCCGGATAGCGGAGGGTGCTGGTTTGAGTCGCGTGTGCTACTCCTGGACTGGTCAGGGTGGACTTTTTTCTAGTAATTTTTTTTTGAGTTACTGTATAAAATACATATATTTCAAAAAAAATCCAGCTCAATCTAGTGGAAATAGAGTGTTCTACGATGTGTTATTATAAACAATAGCATTTTATAAATGTTTACTTACAATCGAGTTGAAAGTCGAAGCTGGCCAAAATTTCACAAAAGCGCAAGAAGAGGATAACAGAACATAGAGCAACATGGCCGAAGCAGTCAGGAGGGGAGTAGGCATACACAGCTTTCCCCAATGTCCAATTGGGCATACGGGCATATGTGTGTGTACCCTAAACTACACTTATGTGCATATGCTCCCCTGCAAAAATTGGCAGACTGATTTGAATAGTACAATGTCACTATGGCTACTCCCTTCCGCGTTGATCTATGGAACAGAAGCGTTAGCACACAATAAGCGCAATACCTACACAGTTAGGTAGCCAGGGCACAGTTAGGGCACATCGTACGACTACGTCTCAGTACAGAATAGCGTCAGAAAGTTGGTTACTGGTTAGTGCGGCGCCGGGAGTGATGCCCACAATGCTGCCGCCGACGCACGCCTCCACGCCTTCTGTAGACCACCACCGCACCGTTACATACGACACTCAATAGCTGAATTTAACATTGGTGAATGCAATACTACACTACCGCTAAAGTATATGATGATTATATTGCTGACTCTTTAGAAAGGATACTAAAATACCATTACAAATACAATCGCTTTGTTTTGTAGGCAATGCACTACTATCGCGAAAAAAAATATGTTGCTTATAATAATATACTACTCTTTTACGACAATAATATATATTTTGAAATAAAATGACTTTGTTAATTAGTTATTGAGACGTGAGATGACAATAAGCTCGATTATGAATTGCACTTATAGGTATATTGTAATGACATTTAAGTAGTTTTGCTAACCACAACGGATTAAGGAACTAGTATAGCGATTGTTAACTTCACTCTAAGTAATTACACTTATTAAAAACAAAATGTCAATTTGCTTTGTATGTACAGAATGCCTTAAAAAGTGTATGAAGTTAAATGAAACTAGAAACTTAAAAATTTGCTCAATATTGCATAACTATGCTCGAAATATAATGATGTATGTATTTACTAAAGATTGAACTTATTTCATTAAAAATCATAAAATTCTTTTACTTACGGAAAATAGTTCTAATAGTTCTTAACAAATAACAGAATTGCAATTCGCCAGTGAATGTTCGTATGTAATTTTTTTTTTAATATTCATGCATATTTCCTCAATCTTATTTGATTCACCATCTTGGTGAAAAAGTTTCGATTTATTACAATAGAGAATTAAAGAAACAAATAAATCAGAACGTGCAAAAGTTGGACCTTTCTATAGCCGATTAGTGGAAAACATAATTACATTTAATCAAGTTATACTAGTTAAAACTGATCTGAAATAAAACTATTAAAAATTCATGCAACATTTTAGGTAATTTAATTGTAAAAAAAACCGCTGACAAATTTTTAATAAACAACAGATGCAAATTATTCATAGGCTTGTAATCAGATGTTCAAAGTGAACACATAACGTTTTCTTTCACCTGTAAAATTAAAATAGATCTGTATTCTTGATTCACTTAAATCAACTATGTATTACTAAAATCAAATAATACTTTATAAAACTAAATACGGTTTTTCTATAATGGTTATTTATCACTTACTACAAGAGCATGCCACGGACAAAGTATTTTTTTCGATTTTATTTTCTTTGAACAACTTGATACATAAGTTCATACTATTTCAATCTCTAAAGTTTAAACAGCTTATTTAAATGGTAAAAAATGTACTCGCTGCGCCAATAGTTTGATATGACTATACACCATAGTTTTTTTAAGGATATGGTGAAATTTGGCTGATAGTCCTGATAATATTCGTAAACCAAAGAAAAACGACAAAGTTGTGTCAAAAGTATAACGCAACTGAAAAACGTATGTTTTTATCATATAATAAAATAATAATGATGTAAGCACAAGCAGTGAAGCTATTGTCATGTGTAAAAATATGTATGCTGAATATGTGTGTAAATAATGTAATGGGTTTAAATTGAAATTAATATGCTTCGACGGTTTGGGCACTTGGAGTGAATGAATGAAAAGAATAATGTTGTTCATCGAAGGCTCGTATTCATCATAATCATTTATTCCACCGGCATTTGAATCAGGAGCTCTGACACGGCGATACCTTAAAAACCGGTGTACATACCACAACAACAACACGTTGGCAACATTGAATAGTGTATGAATGTTTGTTAGATTGCGATTCAAACTTAATGGCGGCCTCAGTTAGCGCCAGTAGCGGCGCAGTAAAGGAAATGTACGATGATATAGGAGCGCGCAGGATTTCATTGAACCATAGAGCCCCACTAGAGACCGCATACAAGGGAACCTGCTTATACCATAGCTTATGTATTAATACAGCATAAGCGTGTGACACGTCCAAATATCGCCCTTCAAGTTAGCATCTAATTTGTCATCCAACCGTGACGTCACACTGTCGTGTCCAAACCAAATTTCGCCATTTAGATTTGAAACAAAAACCAAATGGGTAAGGAAGACAAAGCTTCATATAATTGCGCGTGTGTAAATAAACCAGGGTCGGAGGCCTGTATGAAGTTTTGCCTCTGTGCCTTTTTGCACATAAGTAAGGAGCTTGGTTATAGCAAGTGGTTAGCGCATTCGGCTGCGATCGTGGAAGTTAAGCAACTTTCGCAGTGGTCGGTATTTGGATGGGTACCCAAAAAATGTACCAAATCAGATTCAAAAGTACCGTGCAGTACCAAATCAGATTGGTGACCAAATCTCGAGCGTGCTGCAGTCGTTAGCTCCCACCAATCCGCACAGGGCCCGCGTAGTGAGTCAAGACTCAATCTACTATTCCTTCCATAGGGAAGGCCCCAGCCGTGGCGACTTTATTAGGCTGATGACTATGATGACGAAACTTATGTGCGAAACGTAGTAATTCGGACTCTAGTGGGAGTGTTCAGTGCACTGAACTGATACTACGTATACTTGCGTTCACTGCTAACGTCATAGAGGTATAAGAATAGAGTAGAGAAGGCGGCTCTAAAAGTGTCCGTCTAGTAGAAAGAGAAAGAAGATTAGAGACCGCTAGCTATCTCTCTCTTGTGACGATGGCATCCAATGGCATCACATCGAAATAGTAAGATGCTTACGGTTGCCAATGCGCATGCGCGATTGGAGAGAGAAAGCTAGCGGTCTTTCATCTCCTTTCTCTTTCTATTAGAGGTAGACGTCCACTAGTAATAGAGTCTATATCTCCCCTACTCTATTCTTATAACTCTATGGCTAACATCAAAGCGGCCACAAAGTTTGTATGTTATTTACCTGTGGTGCAGACGGCAGCGCCGCTATCCGCGTTGCCGCCGGCCACGGACCATGGGCGCGCCTTGCCCGGCGTGCGCGCGCACCCGTTACCTACGCGCACACCATCACGCTCTCACACACACGCACGCAAGCGTACACGCATGTTCTATCCAACGATTCCAATTCCTGACCCACTATACTTTCTCTACTTAATAATTTATTTATAGGGAAATAACAGCATTAATTTTCACATAAAAAAATATAACATTAAGTTTAAGCAATTGCCTAGGTAATTTCCACTATTATTTATCTCACATAGTGTCTAATAAACAGAAGAGAGAAAAAAGAATCAATTTTTGACATAATAATGAACACAAATAAAATAAAAATGTTGTGCCTAAAACAAGTTACAAATTAGTTTTTTGAATTTCAAAGAATTAAGATTAAATATATCAATGTGACTATAATTAGAGTTGTATGATTTCATAGCTCGCACAATGTAGCGATTACTTGCATAATTAGTCCGACCCGCCGGAATGCAAAGCGTGCTCGCCGTAGATTTACTCTGCTATACTTTCGCTACCAAACTTTCTCGCTACCATTACAATGCAATGAGGGCTACCGTTTTTTGTCTCACCAGATCAGTGAGGTCCAGAAGTGTAGCTTTTAAAGTTTGTTAATACGCGCGTGAAATCATAGTTTACATTTAAATCAAATTTTAATACAAAAGAACCGTATCGTAAACAAAATCGGTCATGCCACAGTGTTGCACAGTTCCGTTTTGTAACGGAAAAAAAGTAGTACATAATAACTTTTCTTCGCTCCGCATTTAAATAAATGACATTCATTGACACATAACTCATATTTGCCATAATTCATCTAAGTTATTACCAAATATTCACAACATTATTTTAATTAGAAATAAACCCGCGTAGTCAACCTACAAGCAATAGGATTTGATATTTCGGAGACCTCACGCTACACAAGCGCCTCTAGTCGCGGATTCATACGCGATAGCCCTCATTGTCATTGGATAGACTTTCGCTAACACTACGTATCCTTGGAAACTTGGGTATTTCTCCACAATTCTCTTTGGACCTATCTGAAGCCCAAGCACGAATTTGGACAGCTCCGTAATCGTTTCGCATCGACTTCTACACAAAATTTGACGTTGTACGATTAAGGAGCTGTCAAAATATGTGCTTTGTTGGGCCTCTGATATGGCTGCTTAACGTGACACTATTTGGAGTTTTACCCGTAGACAAGATTTCACTAATAGCTTTTATCGAAGTTTACTTATTTTCAAAAAGCGTTTATGTTACATTTGCAAGTTCAAGTTGAATTTCAAGGATATCTGATACATATTTAAAAAAAAACTTGACATTAGAAGGTCCTACTTGTAAGTATTCTTCCTCTATGTAAGTGGGCCTGGAATCAATTTCTTCGATAGCACATGCAATACAGTGGGGGAATGAGTTCATTGTTAAAGTAAATCTATCTGACAGACGTCATCCTGTCCGATAAAAAAATATTAACACCCGACTATACACTCAGTGGTGATCGGATCTCTAAAAGCTATTATATATTTTGAGCTTCATAGAAGCATATTTTAGGTCGCAGTAGTGACTACATTCCATTGAAAACTGATTGACTGAAATAAGCTAGTGCTAATTAATGTTTCAACTGAGTTAGCTGTTAAATTACTGATTAACTTGAACTCGATCCCCCGATCAATCATAGGCAATAGCATAGTTATACAGGCTCTAAAAAAACCATAGAACCAACCGAAGCCCACGCATTCTATACATCAAAATAAGCAACTTACTTTTTGGTGTTAAAAATAAACAGACAGCGACGCGCGCGGCGTACGACGCTGAGTTTATTCGTTGAATGGCGTTTATGTATGTGTACTTACAGTCGAGTCGAGATACATCGACTGCTTACTTTCAAAAGCCAATTAAGTTACGAAATACTAAAACTTTTAATTAAGAAATAATGATTAAAATTTGTTCACATACAAAAATATAAAATTTTCTTCGACCTTCAATAATTTCATAACAATTGATTATCCAGGTATAGTCTAAAAGCTAAAAAAGGTTCTGATGATGGGTAGAATACGTGGTTAAGGTCTTTTTACACCGTGTATATATAGTCAATAGCAGAAACGATGACGTCACAGGCCAAGCTTCATATGATCTAGTCACAACCGGACGTACACAGAAGCGTGTCCGCACACTCCCAAACGCAGTGCATTGCACAAACACGTTTTACATATAGACATTTGAAGCTAAGCCAAGTGTGATGCCGGCACTTCACATGGCTATTCGTATTCGCTATTTGTCAATGTCATGGTTTGTCAAGTTTACAAATAGCAAATATAAGCAACAATGCGAAGTGCAACCACAGATTTATGAATGCAATGTGAATGAATTTTCGTGTGCTGAGAAGTTTTATTTCTGTTTTATAATTTTTTAAGTAAACTTCGAATTCATCAAATGTAGATGATTTTTAAGTAAGCTTATGATAAATTTAGTATAGACGAATGGCTGACATTGTTATTGACAATATACTCATTATAAAAAGAGTGTGAAATGATGTGATTATCATTAATTAAGTTATTGATTGAATGGTAATAATATAATGTAAAATTTTACATAATATCCGTTAGCTTGAATTACATTTCCATGCGAAATTAAATGAATAAGGATCAAGTAAATTGACTCTCTAACATAATAATATTTTACGCTTTATTCATGTTTATTGTGTTTGAACAATGAAAAGTAATTTTGATTAGAAATATAATAAAAAAAATGCAAGTATTTACCCATTGTGTTGACGTTATCCGAAGAGCGTGATGGTGGGGGTGTAGTAGGTGCCTTTGATCCTACATTATCGGAAGACTTGCATCGAGACACTTCTACAAAACATTCGAAAGAAACTGGTTACCATTTTATAAAATATACTGCGTGGTATAAATAATGGCATGATTTCTTTACTTACCACATTCTAAAAGAACAGGGGTGCTTTCTCCAGATGTTACACTGTACCTGTAATGAGATTAAACCAGCATAATATTTTTTATTCAGAAAATACAGAAACATTTCTATGGGTTACATAAGCGTATGCAGTTTAAACTACACATTTATGAAACAGCATTTAATCACCATGTCATCGTCAGCACAGACAGTTTTTTTTTGTGTAGTTCAGTAAAACTAATAAAACAGTGAACGTAACGTCAGTGATAGACAGGCAGGTACTGTATTAAAAGAGATCATATGCATGTCCCTTATGGTAGCCATACACACTACGAGAAATCGTTACGATCAGACTGTACAGTTCGAACGGAACAGTTTATCGTACGTGGCGTACGTATACTGTGCAGTTTTATAACATACACGCTACGATTTATCGGTACCGTTCGGACGGTACAGTCTAATCGTAACGATTTCTCGTAGTGTGTATGGCTACCATTAATTTACGCGCTTAAGATCCCGACGTTAGCGCTTTTATAACGTTTTCAAATTGTAACATTCAAAGCCCAAAATGGAGCGAAGACTGACAAAGTGTCCAAACACAGGAAAAGGCATAAGATCAAGTCTAAGCGTAAGAAATAACGCGAGAAACAAATGCCCGAGCCGCCTTAGAGAAAGCCTTACTTACGGCCTTGGAGCCAAGGACAAAACGGAACGCCAAGGCAGAAATGGGACGATCAAATATCCAGGGGGACGCGAGAGAGGACAGCGAGCGGGGCGCGTCACGTGTCACTACTAGTGTGAGTGCTCACATGGTGTCGTCGCGCTACAGCGTGGGCGAGTGTCGCAGCGGCGATGGGGATGCGAGAGAGGACAGCGAACGGGGCGCGTCACGTATCACTACTAGTGTGAGTGCTCACATAGTGTCGTTACGCTGCAGCGTGGGCGAGTGTCACAGCGGCGAGGGGGACATGAGAGAGGACAGCGAGACAGCGAGCGGGGCGCGTCACATGTCAATACTAGTTTGAGTGTTCACATAGCGTCGTCGCGCTGCAGCGTGGGCGAGTGTCGTAGCGGCGAGAGGGACGCGAGAGAGGACAGCGAGTGCAGCGAGCGGGGCGCGTCACATGTCAATACTAGTATGAGTGCTCACATAGTGTCGTCGCGCTGCAGCGTGGGCGAGTGTCGTAGCGGCGAGGGGGACGCGAGAGAGGACAGCGAGTGCAGCGAGCGTGATGTCAGCGGAGTACGAGTTGACAACGAGGCTTCCTCACTGCCTGGTGGAGTGCGGCACGTGCGCCAGAACTCGTCCAATCCTGTTCACAATTCACATTTAAAATTATAACATGATTAGATGTTATTAATTTTATTATATAGGGGTACTAGACATAACGATATTTTATACCCTAGATTAGATATAAGATTCACCACGTGCGCTCAAAATGACATGTCCCAATCAAGAAGTGCTTGATTACCACTCAAGCTCTGCTTGATTCACAGTCACGCGCGGACCGTTGAAAAGTCAAGATGCCACAGAGCTACGTGAAAAAATGCGTTATGCGTTAATAATTACTTATACTACGTAGAGTGTCGTTTTTTGACGGGCATCTAATCAATGTTTGTTGATTTAACGCATTTTAAGCAAATTTTGTTCTAATACTTACTTTAAAGTGATTTAATAGAAAATATTTGTGATATTCAAATGCATGGTCGGTTATATAGCCGTCTGTTTTCCTCGCGCTCCGTACCTACCATATTAATAACAGCTTAGGAATTATAAAAAAATAATCAAATAAATAAAGTCTATATATTCCACCTATAGCAACCAATTGAACAAGTTGTATAATTTTGTGATCTTGCAATAGGGAAGATGCATATATAATATTTATGAAAATTTTATGATTAAAATGTTAAAAAAATATTAAAGAAATGCCACTGCAACGTTTTTATTTTACATAATGTTGTTTCTTAACAATTATTACGAATTAAAAATACTTGAAACGGAACGTATTTTAAAACACCAATCAGCGTTTAGTGACGTCACTCCTGTTATGACAACTTCTTTGAGGTTATGGTTGTTAAAGTAAATATTATTTTATGGGAATATTTATTGCGTTTTTTTACATTTAATAAAAATGGAAGTTGCGTTTATCAAAGCAGACTCCAGGAATTTACCAAGAGTTAGCGTTGACATGGTTATAACTTTTTTGTCCAAAGTGCAGAGTTTTTAAGTGTAGAAATGAAAGGGATTAAATTACTACGGTATGTAAAAATCGTAGTTGTTAAACTTCGTATTTTATTCAGCGGCTTCTACAAATCTTACGGCGATAATGCAATCGGCTATGTCCAAATTAAAAGAGATGGAGAATTATGTACAGTAAAAGGTCGAGTTCTCCGGAGCATAAAGTACGTAAAGAAGGTTATCGTGATACAGTTATTTTAAATGAAACGCAAAGCTTGGTTCAGTCCTGCCAATGTGAAGATTGTGCCACACATTTTAAACTTTATCTAATTTTCGACGTCATTCTCCAACTGTAAAATTAAAAATATGTTATAGACAGGTTTTGTAAGTATTAGGTAGGTTACTAATGCGTTTTTACGTACAAGCAGATTAATTAAGCATATAACAAGTATATTCGCCGACTTACGTCAAAGTGATCTTCTCAGCATCGAATAAGGTCTTTGGAGAATAATTGTCATTTCTCTTCGCAGCTTGAAACCACTTTTTTCAGTTTTGGGTCAGAAGTTCCAGTAGAAAACAATTTATTTGGGAACTTTGTTGAAGTAGATTGGCACAAAACATAGTCAACACGGCTTTTTTTCGGAATATTAGTGGTATTGTTATGATTACATGATGTTGATGGATAGTCCATTTTAAATTTTTCAAAAAAATATTTCGAAAGTCGAAAAATTATGCAAATTATGAAAAGTATGAAAATTTAAAGCCAGCAACGAACAATTACGACCAGTGACAGACAGGAGTGACGTCATCGCAACCATAGGTTCGTTTTCGCGCGAAAATTTAAATTGACAATTTAAAACCGCATTTTTTCCGATAAATCACAATGTTTTAATTTTTTAATATATCTGTGGTTTATTCTACATGGAATTCTTTAAAATGAAAACAAAAATAAAAATATTGCATCTTCCCTATTGGGCTGTCATAATCCTTTGACGAATGCGTTTAAATTAAGTACTTACTTATATACTTTGCATTAAATGAAACTATGAATGTTTAAATAATATCTCATATCGTTTTCTACTACGCGATTATCTTACGGAGCTCCATGGATCGTCCAATGTATCTTTTGGACAGGTTTCGGCCACGATTTTGTTCGTGATGTTGTATCTGGGGTGTTAAAATATCGTTGACTAGACAATAACACTCTCATGTTTACCTTCGTCGATGTCCTGTGATTGGTCTGTGATAGGTCGTGTCGGTGCCCGCGTTTTCACTCTTCTAGGTCGACCTGTATTTAAAAAAAAATACATTTAACATAAGATAAGGTTATAATCATAAATGGATTTGATGATTTATTCACTTAAACCCCATTTTAGTTCAACATAATTTATAAACTAAAATACATATTTTTGGAGTCTTTTAAGTACAATTTTATTGAAGTAATATCATTGAAATCTTGAAATGTCTGAAAGTGTCAACTTTCATAAAAAAAATGTGAAAATCTCATGCAAGGACAAAGACAGCGATGGATTTTTTGAAGTTATACTTCTTTAGGCGCGTTATGAAAAAATGATGAGAGTGAAATTTTAAGATGCGCGCGCATCACTGTAACACAAAAACTTAACAGCATGAAGTTGGTCGCTTTAGCGACCTACTTCATGCTGTTACTTTTGTGTTTACCGCACATTAACCCCTGGTCTGTGTGGCCATCCACTTTGTTTATCACGACCGGAAAATCTAAAAGTTTTCCGCCCGATATTCCTCTTATTATTCGTGTTCTACTGTACATACAGGCTTAATTTATGTCTTATATCAATCCTGAATTGATTCTCTACAAACTTATCTATATATTAGATGTGTAAATTAAAAACCTTTTTTGTTTCTTAGGTTTTCACGCACATCACTCATTAAGAAAATCTACCAACAAAATAGAAATAGAATCTCTATTTAGTGGGTGCTAACGACTGCATTGTGAAGGCCTATCAAAAGTATTTATTAATCTGGAACAACGGAACCAAAGCGCGATTCAGGAGACTACAGCGCCATCTCTTGACCATTGGTGTAGTAGGACCAAAAACCACATCTTTATTTTTTGTAATAAAGTAACAGTTATAGGTATTCATATTTATAATATTTATCCACATGTTTCTAGTTTGTATATTCGGAATACGTGTTTGAGTTTCATACAAGTGCAAATCACATAATTATGTTCTAATAAATTATATTCAGTAGCGATTTTTATTGAATATTTTGATTATTTATTTATTTTTTCAAATTAAAACTGAACTTTATTGACTGTGTCCTTTTCCAGACTTTTTATTAATTTATTGTAATTAATTATTTGCATGTAATTAAAAACTAATTTTAAACGATGCCAAAGAAGGATAACTTCTCACGCGCCTACATAAGTACACGCACCCATTTTTTTATGTATTTACGTTTGTATGAATGTCATACTTATCCCATATCTGCGTGAAGCTACTTCACCCGCTTTGGTAGGAAAAGCGCTAAAAATAGCGTTCTAAATTAGGTCTGTCGTAATAAATTAGCGGGCTGCGTGTCTATACTCGCTAGAAGCTTGACTAACGATAATTTGAACGCTAAAACAAAAATAATGAAAGGATTAAATTGGTTTTGTATGTGCAGCAGAAGGAGCGCTATTAATTCAAAGTTAGAACGCAAAATTTTAGCGCAGTTAGTACTAAAGCTACCCGAAGCTTTGTCGCGCAAATGTGGGATAAGCATCAGTGTACGTACAGGAATCATATGACGCGCACCTTTGACGCCGCAGCGTGTGCGCGGGCAGTTCAGCGAGCGCGTCCACCGCTTCAGCGTGCAGCGGCGGCAGCGGCAGCATCTCGATGCTGCTGCACTTTTGTCGAATAATATGACGCGGACCTTTGACGAGGTGCCGCAGCGTGTGGGCGGGCAGTTCAGCGAGCGCGTCCGCCGCCTCAGCGTGCAGCGACGGCAGCGACAGCATCTCGTTGCTGCTGCACTGTTGCCGTATAATATGACGCGAACCTTTGACGAGGTGCCGCAGCGTGTGCGCGGGCAGTTCAGCGAGCGCGTCCGCCGCTTCAGCGTGCAGCGGCGGCAGCGACAGCATCTCGTTGCTGCTGCACTGTTGTTCGGCAACGGACTTCGGACGCACGCGTCGGCCGCATCTCTCGCGCCGTCTGCATCCCAACGGCGTCGCCTACGTCATATTTACAATCAATGAAAGATGCAAGTCAGAAAGGATTATCACTTCACTTTTTTTTTTTATAAAAGGTTTAAGTACGAATGACTACAATAACACCTGATGTTGAGCAACGATGTGGTCTAAGCTGGAGCACGCAAACTCAAGCAATGCCGTTTTAATTTTGCCTTGAAGGTATAATATATATGTAAGGAGTGTTCGATTCCCAAGCGGTACGCATGATAAAGGAGGATACGAATCATGAAGTGTGCAGGGCAGGTCAACCACGCCTCAAGACCCTATTCCATGTCTCGTCGGCCGATGGTAAAAAGGTGGAGGCGAAATTAGTTCGAATAGTTTTTGTGCACACTTCACTTAATTATTGGGACTTTGTCCAGTGATTTTGGGACTTAACCATTAACGAGAAGTTACTTTTAATTGGTACTTAACATACTAATTTGAAATCTTAAATTTATGTATAAAAAGTTAATTTTAGTATAATCAAATGTATTGTTGTGTGTACTTAAATAAGGTTTCGAGGCACTTACCAGATTCAAATAGTCCAGTTTCTGAACAGCATGAAAATTTTAATATAATTAAAGTCAAAATGCCTTCTTTGCGTTTTATTTCATATACATTTTTAAATGTAGTTCATAGTATAAGTCAAAAAAAAATCAAAAATATATTTATTCACCAATACAAAATTTTAACTTAACTTATAATTAATCAGTGGTTTTTGCACTGAGCTGAGCTTGTAACGCAAAGACCTAATATTTCAGTTTTTCTAAATGGTCGCATTACAATATGTTGGCAAAACTCGGGAGGTGATCATTGTGAGTGAGGAAGTAACGGTAATACATAAATGTAATAGGTTAAACTCTTACACCGGTTTGTTGCTTGTGATCGGTAAGCTGTCAGCGCTGTCTACACTCTCGACAGTGAAATATATTTCCTTTTAGTGATCGTGCATAGGTCTACCAACCATATAACCACAAATTCTCATCATACCTCATGTCATACCTACATCACTTAATATTTAGAAGTAAATACAAATACTTACACCAGAATGTGAGATAGGCGTCAGTAAATCGGGTATGTCTGGGTCGTTACTTGTGATGGGTTCGCTGTCAGCGCTGTCTACACTTTCGCATGCTGACAACGCTAGACTTTCGACGGCTTCGCTGTTAAATACAAGTTCACATAAGTAAGATTTTTGCTTAGTATGTGTGTACGGTGCAATGACCGTACAATCCGCGCGGTCAGCGGTTTACGCCCTCGGCGACAATTTATTATAATTGTAAAATCAGTTCACAATCAGCAATCGCCGTGTACTCATTGATCATTATATTTTAGCAATATTTTAACATAAGTTGACGTGTAACTTTACATATCAATAAACGGTTAAATATCACTTTTATCTATCATTTAATGTACGGGATCCGTACAATTTGTTTAAAAAACTTGTTGTTAATTGCATAGGTTAGCTGGGATTTTATTGATATCTAACTTTGCTTAGCTAGTCTTATCGTGTTGCCGGGGACATCGTAGTGCAGATAAGTACAATTTTATTTATTTATTTGGCATGCCAACATTTTTACACTCAACATAATTAAAAAACATACGTTATACATAAAGTTGTGCAAAAACAGCTACAGGCATACTGAACTCTTATTTCTGAAAATTAGTGATAAAAACTAAACAAGTTACCTATTCAAACAAACATAAAATTAAACCATAATCAAGTTTCACAATCAATACTCGATAGCAAAGCCCTCTTAAATGCAATCAATAACGTAGCGACTAGCGAACTAATCAACGCCTACCAATGACCCAGTACAGATTTTAGTATGTTCTTCACATATCCTATTTATAACACTGCGTACCCAGGTTGGTTTTATAAATTTTTAAATGAAATAATTTATAGTTAGCTGGTGTGAAATTTGGTCGTGGTATATTAAAACTAATTTCACTAAGAAGTTGAGGGCAATCAATGTTATCTCTCCCTACCTTAGAATTTTATACAGTAAAATCTGTTCAACAACCCAATCAATAACTTACTTCAGTAGATCCTGTAGAGTAGCAGAACAAGGTGCCATCGCATCCCGTATCGCTTGTAAAGTGACCAACTCCCCGCTGGTGCCACCACCGCCCATAGCCGCGAACACTTCTCCACACCTCTGAAAATAAATAAAACTGCCATGTACGAAAATTTGTAAGCTGAGGTGCTTACTCACAATTGGCAAACAGACGGTAAACAGCGGATAAAAACAACAAACGTGTAGGTAGCCGTTTGCCAGTCAGTGTTGTTTGCTGTTTGTGTTCGTCAGTGAGCGGCATCGGTATCGGTTTTTGCACAAATAAAAGTATATTTTTTGCCAAATATACTGGTATGCGCGCCAAGCCTGGGGATTACTGGCTGCGGCCTGTGCTGCGGTCAGGGGAGGGTGACGTTATTGTGTGGACGCACCTGCAGGTAAGGCGTTGAGCAGACGACGGGGCGGGGCGGGCATTTTGTCCGCGAAGCAATAAAGACCGCGTCTGCCCGTCGATGTCTGCGGCTGCCCGCGGCGCGTACACAAAGCACACTACGGGCAGAGGCGGTCAGTTTAGGACGTTCGTTCTAGTGAATAGTCCATCACTAATAGGCCCGTGGCGTGGACTGAGCTGACCGCCCCGCGCCGCCACTGCCCGCCGGGCACCTGCGGTGCGGTCTTTTTGCCCTCTGTGTGCGTTTGAAGTATAGGATTCACTTTGTGCTATTATTCGCGGCGAAATTGACCGGCCCGCCCCGCCCCGTCGTCTGCTAAACGCCTAAAGGTGCAGTAGATGGTGCGCGGCGGCGGCGCATTCTAAGGTGGGAGCGCGACCGTGGCCTGCGCTGCGGTCAGGGGAGGGCGGCGTTAGTGTGAGGACGCACCTGCAGGTACTGGTGCAGTAGATGGTGCGCGGCGGGGGCGGCGCGTTCTAAGGCCGCCGGTAATGGCGACGGTGGGAGTGCGGCCGCGGCCTGCGCTGCGATCAGGGGAGGGCGGCGTTAGTGTAAGGACGCACCTGCAGGTACTGGTGCAGTAAATGGTGCGCGGCGGCGGCGGCGCGTTCTAAGGCCGCCGGTAATGGCGACGGTGGGAGTGCGGCCGCGGCCTGCGCTGCGATCAGGGGAGGGCGGCGTTAGTGTAAGGACGCACCTGCAGGTACTGGTGCAGTAGATGGTGCGCGGCGGCGGCGGCGCGTTCTAAGGCCGCTGGTAATGGCGGCGGTGGGAGCGCAGCCGCAGCTTGCGCTGCCAGCGCTGCGGCTGCCTCGCCGCCCGCCCAAGCGCGTTCTAAAGCCAGCGCTCTGAGTCTGTGCGACTGCGCGCCCGTCGCGTTCCCAGCTAACCTATTTTACACAGATAATAATTATAATTCGGGCGGGGCGTGGCTTAATCGGTAGGGGGTGCAGAGCGCGCGGGGTTTTATATAATTTTATATGCTATTACGGAACCCTTCATGAGCGAGTCCGACTAGCACTTGGCCACTTTTTTATCATTTACGACACACATTATACATTGAAAAATTTCACCAATCTTACCTCTCGTGAAGTTCCCGCCACAGATTAGCGACGCGTTCGCTGGCAGCTCGACCGCCGGCGGCGGCGTCGCAGCCCGGGAACTCGACGCGCCGAACGCTAACCGACCGCCGAAGCGCCATCGCTATGTCCGTTAATCCTAGTACACAATCATAAGAAAAACTTAACAAAAATGCCTTTACAGTTAGTTACACACAAGGAAACTTTTAGAGTAAGCGCACATTGAACCATTGGCGGCCACTAAATGCAGCCACTAGCGGCTCAATCAAGACACAAGGCGCAACCATCGATCGCCGCGGCTAGTGGCGGCCACTCGAACTCTTAGTTCGCACCGATACTATACAAAATGTATGCAGAACCTCGACCGCAGCTTGTGGACGCGTTTAGTGGCCACCACTAGTGGTTCAATGTGCGCTTGATCTAAAAAACGCCTTTACAGTTAAATACAAAGGGAACTTGATGGGACGAGCAGACCGTTGTCATGTTGAGTGAGGCGGAGCGAAGTGGCGATGGGCGGAGTTGAGCTCTTTTTAGCTGTGTCGATGAGCGGAGACAAGCGCTGTGGAGAGGAGCGGAGTTTTTTGTTTAGTGACCACGCATCGTTTTGTTCAATTGTTTATTTGACTATAAATAAAATCTATTCACAGCTTCTCTTAGCTCGTCTTCACTGTGCTCAACTACGTTCATCTCTACATTACACAACTCCTCTCGGCTCAACTTCAGCCAGATACACAGCTTAGCTCTGCACGACTCATCTTCACACATCTTCTGTGGCGAAACTAACGAAACTTCGGGTGGCTTTGCTACTAAATGCGCTAAAATTAGAAATTTGAATTACATAATTCTATCGTAATGAATTAGCGGGCTGCGTGTACGTATTTGACAGACTACAAGAGGTTGTGGCAAACGATAAATTTGGTTGTGCAGCTAAAGGACCGTTTTTTATTCAAAGTTCGAATGCTAATTTTAGCGCACTGTAGTAAAAAGCCTTCCGAAGGTCCTTCACGTAGGTGCGGGATAAGCATAATGCCTAAGGAACGTGTAAGGACCGGCAATTATTCAACCCATTGTAATGTTAAATGAAGATAAAATACAGCTCAGATGTGGCATGTGTATTTAACCTGAATATTGGGAGCGTTTTTACTATTCTGACAAAGTTAATAATATTATTTAAAACCATGAAATAGAAAAACCAATTTTTATCTATAGTCACGTGACCAACAACGCCTAGGATTTGCGGAGCCTAAAATTACATCACTTGCTTTTAAACATGCTGTTCAAGTAGCAATACTTTGTTCTGTTTGGCGTTTTAATTACGTTACATGCTTCTAAGACGTCACATCGGTTAGAGAAGTGTTTCCGCGGCTGAAAACAGTTTTTTCGATTTTTTTTCTTACACAAACAACAGAATTATAAAAATCTACTTATTTTGAAGTCACTATACACTAATAAATAACCTATGAACGTTTTCAAAAACTATCAAATGCCTGCATAATGCACTGTAAAGCTTTAGCCAACCCCAACTAGCAAAGTAACCTTATAACGCCAGAGTAATAAGAATAAAATTCTTATAGATATGTTATTAAAGCATTACTTTTACCATTTTCCTTATAAACGCAAGCTATAAGTATTTTTGGATAATATGGTATATTCAACTTATTATTAAGATATATAAGTTTTTATAAAACCGATTTATATGGCTTTAAAAAAACACATAGTTATATATAAGAACTTCAAAGGATGTTTAGTCATATAATATTTTAGACATATAGTGGTTCTCGCCACATAATATTTGTTTAATTAATAAAGCTGTAATAAAACTAACAACCTTGTATTGGCAAATAAAATAACTTCTATATAGCATTTGCTTAATGATAAATTATATATTTTTATAAGGGTTCAGTATTTTAGACTGCCTTTATATGATATTTAAAAGGTTTTTATTCCTATCTTGTTGTCTAGAAATAAAAGTATAATTAATGTACATGTTGTGTACTATTTTGTTTTGAATTATATTAAAACCAAGCAAAATTTAATTAAAGTAAAATGAAAAATATGAAAAATATTCTCAATAAAACTTACATTAATTCTCACTTACTCACATTACATATCCTTATTTAATTTAAAAAATAATATTTTGCTTCATATAAGGGAACCCTAAACTCGCATTCAATATGGTGGACTAAATGCCTCCTGACTTCTTTTCAATGTTATATAGAAGTAATAGAAATGCAAATCTTACTTATAATAAGATTTTTTTTTAATTTACTATGTTAAAAATAAAAAAATGAAAGGGCCCATTAAAAAAATGATAAACTTACCTATGTTTACGATGTATAATCTTTCCCAGGTAGGTTTTTGTATAAAACTCCAAAAGACAGTAATAATTCTCGCCATTAATCACATACACTTATTTAATTGCTGAACTTGTAACTTGTGCGAAGAAGTAAACTTGTAGTATTTTTAGTTTTGTTTCTATAAATACCAAAACCTTATTGTAGAATTTCGAAACCTACTTTTAAGAGTGTTTTATTAGCAAGTTACGTGACTTAGCAAGTTCATCGCGCATAATAAGGGTAATTGGACATATAGAATGCATGTTCCTTGCTAGTATATGTCTAATTAGCATCGTGAATGCTATTTTATAGTAATTATAAGTAGGAATGACACATAATATGGCAACTTTAAAACAACTATAAGGATGTTACCCTTATAATTTGTGCCAAAACACGGTCATATAAGCCGTGATATGTCTACTACAAGGGCATTAATTTTAGCTTTATCGACCTTTAAATGACCAGTTTTTGCTAGTTGGGACAGCCTTACACTCGCATCGAAGGAACGGCAAAATTATTCAATTATTTAATTGAAGATGGAATATAGATCAGATTTGCTTCCGGTTAGCAGTTAGTTTTGTTTCTATAAATACCAAAACCTTATTGTAGAATTTCGAAACCTACTTTTAAGAGTGTTTTATTAGCAAGTTACGTGACTTAGCAAGTTCATCGCGCATAATAAGGGTAATTGGACATATAGAATGCATGTTCCTTGCTAGTATATGTCTAATTAGCATCGTGAATGCTATTTTATAGTAATTATAAGTAGGAATGACACATAATATGGCAACTTTAAAACAACTATAAGGATGTTACCCTTATAATTTGTGCCAAAACACGGTCATATAAGCCGTGATATGTCTACTACAAGGGCATTAATTTTAGCTTTATCGACCTTTAAATGACCAGTTTTTGCTAGTTGGGACAGCCTTACACTCGCATCGAAGGAACGGCAAAATTATTCAATTATTTAATTGAAGATGGAATATAGATCAGATTTGCTAACCGGAACTTCTTCACACCACCTTAGCCGGCTTTTTCATTAATAGGTGTCAGAGCTGGAATTCAACAACTGTTTTGGTCGTCCACACTCACCTTGCAAACTAAAAGCGTTTCGGTCAAGGTACAGCGTTTGTAGCGTACAATTGTACTGTAAAGCTTTAGCCAATAATTTTGCGCCCGCGTCGCCCGCTAAAGAGCGGCAAATTATTCAACCTAAATTAACCTAAGGTTTGCATGCCGTAATTGGCTACACAATTGTCTTGCGCCCGCTAGATTCTCCCGCCAGTGTCTAAAGAGCGGCAAATTATTCAACCTTAATTAAAATTAACTGAAGGTGAAAGACAGACCCGTTTTGCATGCCTTAACTTACTTCACGCACCTTTTGACAGCTTTTTCATCAAATATAGGTCACACACAGTATCATCACTGTCAGAGCTGGAATTCGACTATTGTCTGCGGTCGTTCGCACTCACCTTGCAAACTGAAAGCGTTCCGGTCAATATAAAGCGTGTGCAGCGTACAATTGCACTGCAAAGCTTTAGCCAATAGTCTTGCGCCCGCGTCGCCCGCTAGATTCCCACCAACGTCTAAAGAACGAAGCCGCCGAGCGCCGCCCAAGGCATTCAATAGCCCGTATAAATCACCCTGCAATAATTTTATATTTAATTTATTTATTTACATGTTTACTTATACCAATTTATAAATATTCCTCTTGAATCACTTTATCTATCGCTGAAATCCGAACGTGGGTTTTAATGCCTACACTACGTGGGTTTAAATCCGAATGAAGGTTTATTATACATTAATTGCATAAGTACTATTAAGCAACGCACAGGATTTTAATGCTGTTTCAGCAATAGCTAAAGCGATTCAATATTATAATATTATCACATGAGTGTTTTAATACCTAATTGTGACAGTTGCATACAAGATTTTATCTACACCCATGATATGAATCCTCTATAAAAGATTCTGAAAGAATGGGGCGTTCTTAGAACTTAAATTTAGTTTGATGAGTAAGCACTTTGCACGAAAGGAGCGAAAAAGCGAAGGAGTGTTATTATGAAAGGAGCTTCCATACATGTTTGGCCTAAAAACCAATCATCATGAAAAAATTTTTCCTAGATTCGAAATTACATATAAATTACTGTAGAAACGAATATTATTGACGGACACCCCTGAGAACTTCTAGAAACTATATACACTGATCGATTTTGAGGTTATGTTTGCAAATAGGTACACTCGCGGAAAGACCCGCTCTGTCACCCATAATGCCATAATCGCTTGCGGTAGCGGCGTAGTAAAAATTCATTCATAGACATGTAATTATCGCTGTCTTACTTTTCGTATAGCGCTGTCGCGATCACGATGCGGATGACAAATTGCAACTAAAACAAATGCAATTCAATTCATTATTCAATCAATGATATGCTCTCTGTCTTACTTTTGTGCGGCGGACCGGATTGGCGCGTCCGACGCGAAGGCGGGGCGTAGTAAAAACTACTGTAGAAAGAAAACCGTTCAAAGCATTTTGTTCGCCAAGTGACAGAGCGCAAAATTCCGCGATAGTACATAGGTATTAAAATAATAAAAAACAAATAAGTTATAAGTATAGTAAACTAGGGAAATCAAGCCAAGTACCAAAATTATGTAGATTCAGGTATATAAAGCATGTAGATTAACAGATAGTTGCCTGTTTTTAAAGTTAATGCACAAGAGTAACTTTTAAAATCAGGTATCATCTATGCATTTCCGGTTATTTTATGGAAGGTACTCTGTAACAGAAACTGTGTGATGTTTTTTTATTATTAAAATAAAATAAAATAGTGAAATAAAAAGGTTGTAAAACGGGAATTGGATGTGAGATGATTGTGAATGAGCCACAGATTAGAGAGAATTTCTAAACTCTCGTTAACCAAAGAAAGCTAAGAGATTTAGGTTATACAGCCATATCTTCAGTAGCTTTATTATTTTTGTAATGTTTACATTATAACCATATTTTAGATTTTTGGTGTATTACACCTTATAATGTGTTTATGGAGGTGTTTGGCGAAAAATGTATGGCAATAGACTTTTGATGTCGCCTACCATCTATAATAATTGTCTTAGCACATTTGCATGTAGCGAAAATGATAATATATTTGTGGATATTAATACCACAGTAATAAAAAAAAATTATTTATTTTATCGATCTTTTCAAAATAGATGTTTTTATGTTAAATAAACAACTTCGATCAGTCTGTGGCTGAATGTTAACTACTCCCATAGCCATTAAAAATGATTCGTTTGTTTTTCAAACAAGTAAAATTAAAAGTCCTTTTTAAAATGAATATATTATACAAAGGTGTCCGTTAAAATCTAATGACTGTAAAATAAAGTATAAATTACGCCAAGAATTACCGTATATGTCAATATTTATTGTGCATTTGGGCCAATTTGAGCAATCTCCTTTAGTACAACATTATAACACCCGTTTAAATGATATTGTTTTTTTTATAAGGGCATTGGATGTTTTAATTGTGGTATTAAACTAAATAGAAAAAAAAAAACACGCGGGCCAGGCAGCAGACGGGACTCGAACCCTCACCCTCCACTATCTATACAGGGCACCCCAGGGCTACCTCACACGGAGGGAAAGTATATTAAATATTGAAGATAGGATATTTTACTGAAAGAAAAGAAACAAACTCGTGAAATTTCGAAAAAAATCACGACGTATTTAATGATAACCATCGAAAGGGTTAATCATAAGGATTATTTTTTGCTACATAACATAGCATTTTAAATGAAAGGAATGTGAATTACGTGATAAAAATAATAAAGTGTTATACAAACTGTAGTACGTATGCATTTCTTTTTGAATTCAGTTAAAATGCAATTGACTGAAATTTGTAATAATAATTCCAAAATGGAACACGTAAATTTTCAAGCCTGTGTTCTTTTGTTTTTCGTGAGTTTCATTTTCGTTTATTTGCATTTTTTTGTTAATTTACTTACCATGGCGCATCAAAATAAAATAGATTTAATGTAAGCTTACTTTATGAACCACAAAGACATATCATTAGCTTAGCGGTGATACCGCAATAGATATACTGATAGAGACAAACCTTCTCGATATGTGTTCAAATAATGAAAGAAAGATAGAGATAGAGAAAGAGTTTTGATAAGCCATGGTAAGTAAATTATTAAAAAAATGCAAATAAATGAAATGAAACTCACAGAAAACAAAAGAACAGACAATTGAAAATTTATGTGTTCCATTTTCGAATTATTATTAGTGTTCGAGCCAAAATGACTTAAATCCGAGAACAATACAATACAATACAATACAAAAACTCTTTATTGTACACCACAAAAAAACCACAAAGAGAACTTAGGTGCAAAAGAATTAAAATGAAACTAAGGTGGATTTTGTTTGACCATAGATTTCTTTATTAGTTAGGTGACGTTTTGCCTATATGCTCCAAACATATTTGCAAGCGTGATGCAAAGAACTACAGCGCCAACTATTTTGACACATATGAACTACAATTTTTACATGCACAAATGGCGTATATAATTAGACTTGCAACGAATATTCGGTTACTATTCGGTATTCGGCCTATTCGGCTGCTTTTATTATATTCGGCCGAATACCAAATACTTAAATAATATATTTTTTCATAGAGAAATAATTGGTAAAATGAAAAATGAAAATCGATTCATTACGTATATATTCATATTTTCATTTCTGTTATATATAATCATTTAAGTAGTCATTGGTACATAATAAAGGTACATAATATCATCTTCTGAATTGGAAAAATGGAGGATATGCTATGTATTTGCATTATTGTGGTAATAAAAATTTAGAAGGGTAAGGTTCTCATTTCTTTTATAATCGTTTATTAAATAGTCATAGGTACATAAAACAAGTTAAGAATTTTTCTATGCATTTGAATTATTTTCATAATCTTTAGAAGGGGAAGGTTATGGTGCAGAAAGACTTACTTTTCTGCATTTTTAGGAAGTAGATTACTTCTTTTTTTCTCGTAGACCATCCCAGCTTCAGAGAAAAGGCGCTCTGAATAAACACTACTTCCTGGCACCGACAAATATTTTGCTGCAATCTTAATCAAACACGGAAATTCAAATTTCCTTGCTTGCCTACATGTATACGAGTTGACATGACGTGATACCTATATTACCAATATTTAAGAAAAGATCATAACAACAGCGGGCGCGCGGGCGCTGAGTATATTAGAACAAAACAAAGGAGCGCGAAACAATCACGTCTGTACAAGTTTTTGGCGCTAAAATCCAGCCGAATACTTTAGCCTTATATTCGGCTATTCGGTCAGGGGCCTCGACGAATATTCGGTATTCGGTATACTGCCGAATATACTATTCGTTGCAAGTCTAATTATTATTATTACAAATTACTGCCAGTCGCATTGTTACTGTGAGTTCAAAAAGAAATGCATACGTACTACAGTTTGTATAACACTTTATTATTTTTATCACGTAATTCACATTCCTTTTATTTTAAATGCTATGTTATGTAGCAAAAAATAATCCTTATGATTAACCCTTTCGATGGTTATCATAAAATATGCCGTGTTATTTTTTTTCGAAATTTTACGAGTTTGATTCCCAGATGTAACAGGCGATTTAAAAAAAATCTGTGAATGCAATTCTACTTATTATTAAAAATAAAATGATGTCTTCTTTCAGTAAAATGTTCAATATTTAATATACTTTCCCTCCGTGTGAGGTAGCCGTGGGACGCCCTGTATATTTTATCTATTAAGTTTTCTTTAGATTTAAACATCGAGCAGTTACATGCTAAAAAAAATAAAATTATAAATAAACTAACTGTTCCAGAATTTGTAATATTTTTTTTAAAGCATGAGTCTAGATAAAAGATCCTAAGCGTACAGACATTGGAAGTGAAGGTCACTTCCAATGTCTGTACGCTTAGGAATGTCTTTTATAATATATTATGATTGCTGTCATGTTTTTACACTATTTAAGATGGTGTTCCCTTAAACTTTAGGGTAATTCATTCATCACCAGTCAGTATTTATCTTACCTTTAGTTTACAATCGCTGAGATCTAAAGAAGTCAAGGCAGTGTCAGGTTCTTGAAGGACGTGCACTAATGCCTGTTAGCAAATAAAACAAATTAGTTATTTTTTTACCTATAATTTACAAATCTAAATTACATATTGTAATTAAGTACATACCTGTATTAAAGGCGGTGCGTACGATCTTTTACCAGTGAGTTTGCTCAATGATAAATGCGTAATAGAATGATTTTTCCCGATGGCTCTTACTATTCCTGACAGCTCAAATTCCATACCTACAACACACAATGAATGGAACATTATGATAGCCTACTTTCCTGTTTCTGGAATTCTCAAGGGTACTATTTTATTAAACCCAAATCATGCAATATTTCTAATGAAATTAAATTAAATTTTTCGATAAGTTAGAGACTAATCGAACACTAACTAAAAACTATCACAACAGAAGTCTGAAACCAACAAGATTTTATTGTAGTTATTTTAATGATATCGACTGATATAGGGAAAATAGGTAAGGCTCTTTTAAATAATCCATTAGGATTAAATCAGATGAAATAAACATAACAATACATTAAATAATCCGCTTTGACCTTATTATCTCGTATTGAACTACAGTAAATTAAATAATCGGCTCAGAAATAATTATTTGCCTCGAGCACATGTGCCGCTTGAGACGGAGATAGCACATTCTCTATCTAAAAGTTTTGACCATCACCAAAGGAACAAAAAGCTATAAACAATTCTGACTGTTATCGGGCAAGTCCAGCGATTGTAGACAGCGCACTCTGTGGGCTACAGTATATGAGCACGTGCGTTGCTTGCGACGAAGACAGAACTCCAGACAAGTTCAATGCACGCCAAACCTAGATGTAAACTCCTGTGGAGTAATAAAGCTTGCAAGAAAAAGCTCTAAACAAAACTGACTGTTATCGGACAAGTCCAGCGATTGTAAGCAGCGGACTCCGTGGATACAGGACTCGAGCACGTGCGCCGCTTGCGACGAAGACAGAACTCCAGACAGGTTCATTGCACGCCAAACCTAGATGTAAACTCCTGTGGAGTAAAAAAGCTTGCAAGATAAAACTCTTAACAATACAGACTGTTATCGGACAAGTCCAGCGATTGTAAGCAGTGGACTCCGTGGATACAGGACTCGAGCACGTGCGCCGCTTGCGACTAAGACAGAACTCCAGACAGGTTCATTGCAAGCCAAACCTAGATGTAAACTCCTGTGGAAAAATTAAAGATTGCAAAAAATAACTAAACTATACTGACTGTTATCGGACAAGTCCAGCGATTGTAAACAGCGGACTCCGTGAATACAGGACTCCAGCACGTGCGCCGCTTGAGACGAAGACAGAACTCCTGACAGGTTTAGTTGGACACCCGTCGCGCTTTCATTGCACGCCAACCCTAGGAGCAAACTCCTGGAAGCAAAGCATGCAAGACATTAGCTTAGCGGCAGACATATGGTCCTTCCCCTCAAATAAGTTTTAAAGTAATCATAGAACCAACCAGAACTGAACCCAGACTGGTCCAGTTGTGAAATTAAAACGCCCGTTGACCGAACGCTCACACAAAATGTTATTGAAATCGGTGCAGCCGTTTAAAAGAAAAGCCACAAAATTCTAGAAACCGACTCCAGCGCCACACCTTTATAGGTGTAGACCAAAGTAATAGGCAAATTTTATCGCCATTAATTGGGTCAAATGTATATATCACATTCCAAATAGCAATAAGCTTTTAACTTAATTAAATCTTATAATAATCATTACACTATGGCATAATTAATTCGTTTATACTTTCATCACATGCACTATTAACACAGCATAATTTGCTGGCGATGTCTTTCTGTTTAAATGTGGCGCTCAATGGCCAAAAGCAACAACTCAACAAACTGCCGTGCCAATCCAAAAGACTGTAAGTAGACTTACAGTGTTTTTGCTTAACAATGGCCAATCGATTTATTTGAGTCTATTGATTACATAAAACCAATTCTCATTTCATTTTGACCCTTATTTTGCAAGATAAAGCACTTAAAAAAACACTGTATTGCATTTAAAATAAGGTATAAACATACAGAAAAACTGTAACAAAGTATACAGTGTTTTGGCTAAACAAAGTACGCATATTGCTAGATAAATACAGTGTTTTGAGCCGTCAAGTAAAGGCGCGTTGATGCTATCCAACCAGCGTAAGTTGAGTCAACAACAATATTGTTATCTCGCTCTTTCTTGTCTAGAAAAGAAAATATAGACTGCAATTATCACAATGAGTATGAAAATTACTTTTCAGATAATTCAAAGTGAAGGAAATTTCTTATAGACTGCGATAACCACAATGAAAACGAAAATGACTTTCCTGATAATTTGGAGTCAAGGAACTTTATAAGTCCTATTGTTCCACTGAGTGAGTCTCAAGTTAATGAATGCCTTTCAGAAGAATTAGGTGAAAGAGTTAACACTCAACTGATACATGCTTTGATTTGTGACAAGACTTTATTAACTGTCTCAAATATTTCTACAGAAGATTTTTAGCAATCCAGTACCACCTTGCATCTTTATCTAGACAGTGTTCAGTCTTCTTCACAAATTGCGCACGATGCAAATGTGTCTTTGATTCAATCAAAGATCAACCAAGAATCTATTACAGATACTAGTTCTAAGCATAACTTAAATATTTTATTTTTCTAAAGATCTTGGGCTATACCAATAACGAAGCTGTACAATTGGTCTTGAAAACTAACTATTTAGAGTACAATAAAAGCCAAAGGTGAACGCAACGCCTGATCTTCGAGGACGGCGATTTGAACTACCTTATAAGTTCTACCAAGAGTATCAAAACCGTTTAGAAGAATTTGTATTAAAATACAAACCAATTTCATAACATTAACCATCCGCCCAACAGAAAATATTTGCCAGTCGGAATTTATTTCTCCACTATATATAAGAATTTTAAGCAGCATTGCCAAGACAATAATCTACCATATTGTGATTAGACTCATTTTCATACTATGATAAAAAAAATATATATTAATTGCCGAATTACCGCAAGATATTTGCACTAAGTGTAAAAATCATCAAATTACTCATTAAAAAATACCTCTTCCTTGTAATTGTGAAGATTGTATAATCATAGGACAGCACTTGGAAAATAAACGTAATTCACGAAGAGATCTAAATTTAGCAGAATATATAAGTGATAATTCCGAAGGAAAAAAAACTGTATTTACAGTCGATATGCAAAAAGCTATACCAAAAAACTGAGAACAGCATGTGAAGTTTATGATCTGGAGGGTTTCGTGACATCAAACAGTCAAGAAAAAACCTGGATGTCAACGTACTTAAAAACAAAGATATGCTTATTTTTAAAAACGATTGTAAAATAGCTTTTCCTAGAGATTAGAACATTCAAAATTTGAAATAACATTGAGTTTCGAAAAGGGCAACTTTCTCTTTTTGCCAAAAAAAGATAACAAAGGGGAGGGTAAGGAAATACATTTTTTAAAGAAAAAGATTGAAGGAGATTTAAAAAAGAAAATAAATGATGAATTATATCTTATAAATATGATAGAAACAGAGAGTAAGCCAAGAGATGTGAGTGAATTTAAGAAAACAGAATTGCCAATACTTACAAAATCTATGCCTGCCTGCTTTTTATGAAGCTCTTGAGGAATGAAATGCACCTGATCTTGATACAAATGTTGATTCAGATTTGTAATCGAGTCAAATACTTGTTTTTTTTTTACTAAATATTAGTTGAGCAAATATTGGTTTTATTATCTTTATATAGTATGCTTCGATACAGTGCTATGGAATAACGAGTTAGCTACTAATAATACTTAACACTGTATTCTGTTTTACAGTGTTTTGCCTCGTTAGGAATCAAATTAAATTATAATAATTGTTTTGACAATACAAGTTTTTGGCAATATTTTTCATCCTTACTAAAATTATGCCAAAAATACTACTTGGCCATATACTAGTAATGTATATCTTACCATTGATTGCATTAAATTATACAAAATTGACCAATAACCTTTAAAAAGGCGAATAAACAATAAAAAATATATTTTGTCAATTATCTCAAAAGTGGTTTTCAAAAGTTACAGTGTGTTGGCTTGGCAGGGCAGAACAGCAGTTATCTAAAATCAAGCACGCACTTCAAGGCATCAGGAGGCATTTTGCAGTAGGAGAAATCTAATTCGGTGAGCGCCAAACAGGCAGTGAAGAACTGGCGGAAGGAAGGCGGCGGGTCTTTGGGGCGCCGTACCGCCGACCAGGGGTTGCGGCCCACTAGCAGGGAGGAAAGACGGGCCGCGCATCCACGTAGAAGGGCACCCCACATCTGTATTAAATATAGAAAAACAAATTAAGGCGTGCCCTGCGTTAAGCAGGAACACGGAGCAGTAGTCAGCTACGCGTGTAGTTTCTTGTTATTTTATAGAGCGGCGCTGCGTGAGGCGGGTCTACCGTCGCAGTGCCGTTCTATGAAACGACCTTATAATTACAATATTTTCGTTATAGCACATAATCGTGAGCAGTATTCTATCTGTTTACTTACGGGAGCAGAGACCTTAAATTTGAAAATTTTATTATACTGTCACTTTTTTGCAATAACAACACGATTGGCAGCACTTTACTTCGCCATTTTACTTGAATGGACGTCTCTGAGTATAGCTATTATCAAGTGAAGGTAATTAATAAATGTTTCGTTTATTTCAGAGGCTATTGTAGGCACTAGGGTAATTGTTTCCAATAACTACATAGATCAGATCAATGATTAATGAGATTTTGAAATAGGTACGTGTCCTAGCTGTAATAACAAATGTAAATAGTATAAAATATGAGTCTACTGCTAGCTCTGAAATAGTACTGTCCAGACCACGTTGGAGCATATAATTTGTTATGAAGTACGAGTATATATATGATAATAATAGAATTATACAATTAATTGTTCTGGAACCGATCAGTGTGGAAATCTTTCCTATGATTAACAGTAGATTTCCTATGGCTTAATGATGACAATATAAACAGAAAAATAACTTACGTTTTCTAATGTTGTCTCGGTGTTTGTTAAATTTAAATGCGTCAGGACGTTTGGCTGCGCAAGAAAGTTGTACAGGTTCTAAAAATATTGAAAAAAATATATTAATAGATTTTTACTTTGTTAAACAGTTCATAGATACAGTTTAAATACTTATTTAACTTACATGAACGTCGTCTTTCAGATTGTTGTGTGAAAGGTCCAAATGTGATAAGGTGGACAGATGGCACGGATTATCGTTCAGCATGGTCGCTAGATGCGTGACAGTCTTCCCAGTGAGGCCGCATTGCGACAACGCAATGTACCTCAGCCCATCGGGATTGTTCGCGAGCCCAGACAGCACACTCATAGCCCCTGCAGCAGAATGCATTAGCATGTAACTAAAGAAACTGACAACACATTCATCAGCAAAAATGTTTGTTAAATAAATTATTGCATCAATGTTTTCATTTGAAAACAATACAATGACGTCATAGCAATCAAAGATGATTCAAGGCAAATGTGACAAATTATTTTTTAGTTTTTGCATGTGGCTCGTACTGGTGTGCTAGTGGTAAATCTTAATACAAGCGGCCCGTCATGGCTTCACACGGGTATTAAATACTATGGAATCATAATCAATAATTATACAATAAAACAATCTATTAGTAATATTTTTTAAAATGGGTCAAGATGAGTCAGTTATTGTATCCTTTTATTTCTTTATATACTCGTAATAGTATAGAATAGGTATATTCTGTAAACTAAATACTGCTCCATCATTATGCCTCGATGTCATTCACATGCCAAATTATGTTAAGTTTAAGCTTTAAGAGTATTTAATTAATAACAAATCAGAGCAAATCTGCTGAAAACAGGTCGAATATCTGAAAACTTCTTGGTCAGGGGCATGGCCACCAGGATTTTTCTGTTAAGCAGTTTCTTTTAGGTATATAGGTTGAATATCTTTTTATTACGGAATTCCCAAGGGAACGGGAACTTCGCGGGTAAAACCGTGGGGCGCACCTAGTAATAATATATTAGAGCAAAGGACAATGGGCAAAACGCACCCAGCTCCGCCAACAATGTAATAAGTATGAATCGATAGATCTATGAAAAACTAGCCTTTTTTATTATGACACCGAAAATTATTATCCTGGGAGTCAAAAGATATGACTCCGTAAAAATATCCTGGTAGTCAATAGATATGACACATTGGCATATTTAAGTAGCTGAATAAATTCATTTTATAGTATTTTTGTGTAAACCGGTATCTCATCGGTGGTGTTGATCCGATGTTTTATTTTATTCGTAAATGACAGCGGTTCACCCTCTATATAAAAAACATCCGCGTATACCTTCATTTTATATTATTAGTAATCATAATAATATGCCATATCGTACTGTACAATTAGATATACGGCAAAGCCTGCCGACCATTCTGCGCTTGCTCTTACTGAGACATTTCAAAATGGTTTACGGATGCTGAAGGACTTGCAGTTGCAAATAGTCGACTCGTCTTACTTCATTGTGATTGCGTGCTCCCATGCTACTTGATTGATTTTTATTAAACACGCTTTGGATATTGGAACACGATTATCGGTTTTGTCAATTAGTATGGATGAACTGGAATCATGTGTTCTCCGAAGCGTGGACAAGTTTGTGTAATCTGTGGTCGCTCCGTTTTAAATAGAAGACAATTTACTATAACGAGCAGCATTTTTAAAAAGGTAAATTTAAAAAATCAAAAAACCCGACTGCTTAATTATACTACAAATAAAAACTGAAAAGAAAAAAACAAGTTCAGTAGTCTATAATTCCGTTAATAAGGAACAAAGCTACTTTAACAGTCGGGACCCATTAGATATTTAAGAATACATAAAATTTTTCAATAATGGGTCCCGACTGTTAAAGTAGCTTTGTTCCTTATTAACAGAATTATAGACTACTGAACTTGTTTTTTTCTTTTCAGTTTTTATTTGTAGTATAATTAAGCAGTCGGGTTTTTTGATTTTTTAAATTTATCTTTTTTATTTCACACTTTTTAGTTAGATAGTATTGTAAGACGGTATATACCGTAGTCTTCTTACTTCAGTAAGGGAATTAATATCCTGGGAATTATTAGTACCTTGCGGTGGTCTAAAGATTGATTTATTAAGACATATAAAGACTTTCCCAGCGGGGTCAAGGTTACAGACGGGCCTCAATTTTTCAAAAATGTGTGAAGTTAAATCAAGTTGTTACATAAATATCTAATTGTATGTAAATTTTATAGTAAACTAGCACTTATTCAAAAAGTCATCTTTTGTTTATGTTCTTTTTAGTAGTTTAGCAGTAAATATAAAATTCATTTATTTTTATTCGTCAACTATTTAAAATTGGCAGTGGCAGCATTGTCATGTCAATGTCCGGCTCTAAGATTGTGATATACACAAATGCAGTGTCATATCCTAGTCTCATAATTTGATGTACCTACATAATTCACAGAAACCCAATATGTAGATGCCAGAAGTTAACTTCAAATGTTGTTAATCCCCCTATATACAATACCAATCAATGACGTTTATGTCGCATTTGCAAATAGTGCAATCATGGCAATTACTTTCCAAATATTTTTCTTTGTATAATAAAAATACCGAATAACGTACCGCTGTTAAGCACAAATACTAAGTAACTTTTACAAATATAATCAAATAAACCTATTACTTACTTTGTTTTTAAATCTTTTTCATCAATTAAATACTATTATCCTAACTATATATACTACTATTATAAAGAGGCAAGTTTTGTATGTTTGTAACAAATAATCTGTCAAACTACTGAACCGGTTTCAAATATTAATTCATCATATGGTAGCTACATTATTTATTATTACATTTTTCTTTATTTAAATACATTTTGTCCGAGTGACTTAAGCTATAAGTATTTTATCCCGATAAAATAAATTCCGCCCGTACAATGCCCGGGTGGATCACTAGTAAGTATAATATAATATTATAGATGCGAAAGTGAGTTTGTTTGTTGCGCTTCCGTGCCATATTAGCTAAATCGATTATAATGAATTCCCCTATAGAAGTAGATGGGAACTTGGTTCTTAGCTACAACATCGCAATATTTATAGGCGTAGGGTGATGAAAGGGGTGATTTACCTATAAAAATCTATATTATTTACTTTGAATTTGCAGAATTATCATTTACAATTACAAAACCAATATTATCGTGAGCTGATTAATAAATACTGGGATTCCAATAAGTATGTACCTACTAGCGAAAAATAGGTTATTTGTCATTATATTAAGTAAACCTTGTTTGTAAGATTAAGTAATATCGTTAAAAAAAATAAAAACAGTTAAGTGAGAGTTTTTCATTGAAATTCAATAATCATTAATACCTATTAAGATAATTTCTTTTTCATCATTTAATAAGAAGGAACTGTATCACAGTTTTATTGTAAGTACTTCATATAGGATCAGATACTGCGAGTAGCCCATTTTTTTCTTTTTCGCCTAGGTTTTATCCAGGTTTATAAACACCTACCTATATTAAATTTTATTCCTGCAGTCTACTCCTACATAGTAAACTGCGCTATCACTTTGTCATCTTTGTAACTTTTTAAAATATTTGTCGAAACGACATAGTGTAAAAGGCAAAGTTTATCGTCTTTAAACACCTAAAGCTATAAAAGTATTATCATCATCATCATCAGCCTATTAATGTCCCCACTGCTGGGGCACAGGCCTTCCCTATGGAAGGAATAGGGAGACTGGGCCATGACCCACCACGCGGGCCCAGTGCGGATTGGTGGGTGCTAACGACTGCAGATCCAGCCGGGACCAACGGCTTAACGTGCCTTCCGAAGCACGGAGTAAAAAAAAAGTATAAAAGTATTAGCCTTGATAAAAAATAATTTGTTATTACAAAATGTACATTTTGTAAATAGATATCAAATAATATTTTAGTTTTGATTCACAATTTTAGCGGTAATGGCTTACACATTAAAAATAGATATATGGTATCACGGACTTTTTTTTAGAACTATTTAAGAGATACATTTTCACTCTACATTACATTCATGTAACTTTTATTGTTTTTGCAGTGCAGGATAAAATGGCTCGCAGATGGGAAATTTTTTCCGTCTTATGTGACACTTATTGTTATATTTTGGCCAATTCACTCGATAACTACATAAATTATTACATATATGAGCTATATAACTGTTAAGTTTCATTAAAATCCATTCAGTATTTTTTAGGTGAAAGAGTAACAAAGATCCGTACAAACGTAAGATTGAAATTAAAAGCGCAAGTGGTTAATATACAACTTTAAAGCGTTGTAGATCCTAAACAATCATATAAAATGAAAAATGGTGTTAGGAACCTAAACATGATTTCCGATTATCTAGACAGTGATACCTCACTCGACATATTTTGTCAACTTATTTTTTTTACTTCGTCACAATATGGCACCTAATTTTGCCCATATTGAATTTTGATTACTATCATATCTTTAGTAGCACTCCCATGATTGAGACGAATCGATTGATGTATGAATCATCAAAATCGGTCCAGGCGTTTGGTCTCTAGTGTGCCACAAAGGTACAAACATACATATATAGACTGTTAAACACTATACCCTGTCTGCGCGTCGCGCTTCGCGCTCTTGCATTGCGCAGTCGGGTAAAAAAACCTCCATGCGGGGATTTTTGGATTAACTCTAGCGCGGCAAAATAACATAAGGGGACACCCTTGCACCTTGTGAAGTACTCCCATAATTCCTGAGCAACCTATGTAGGATCGAACTAACTAACTAAATTAATTCACTTGTTTCATTAATGTTCGTTGTAGTACTTGTACATATTTAACTTAAAATAACTAAAGACCCCCGGGATGGAATTAGATGCGTTTTGGCACAGATGATCTTGACTATAATACCTTTCAAACAAATGTAGTTTAAGCCGTGGCAGACGTGGGTGCAGCGTCCATACATTTTTGCCTAATGTCCTTTGCTGAATCTTTTTAATAAATAACTTGCTATCCTTATTTCTCGTATCTTATTTGTCGTAGAGATCGAATTTCAGCTTAGTTCATCTAAGCCTAAGTTTCAAAGCTGTAAAGCTAGCCAAACTCGTTTTCCCATACAAACTTTGAACGCCTATATCACCCAATAGGGAAGATGCAATATTTTTATTTTTGTTTTCATTTTAAAGAATTCCATGTAGAATAAACCACAGATATATTAAAAAATTAAAACATTGTGATTTATCAGAAAAAATGCGGTTTTAAATTGACAATTTAAATTTTCGCGCAAAAACGAACCTATGTTTGCGATGACGTCACTTCTGTCTGTCTGTCACTGGTCGTACTTGTTCGTTGCTGGCTTTAAATTTTCATACTTTTGCATATTTTTTCGAATTTCGAAATATTTTTTTGAAAAATTTAAAATGGACTATCCATCAACATCATGTGATCATAACAATACCACTAATATTCCGAAAAAAAGCCGTGTTGACTCATGTTTTGTGAGTTCAACAAAGTTCCCAAATAAATTGTTTTTGACTGGAACTTCTGACACAAAACTGAAAAAAAACCTGGTTTCAAGCTGCGAAGAGAAATGACAATTATTCTCCAAAGACCATTATTCGATGCTGAGAAGATCACTGAAGACACAAGAGAAGAACTCGACCTTTTACTGTACATAATTCTCCATCTCTTTTAATTTGGACATAGCCGATTGCATTATCGCCGTAAGATTTGTAGAAGCCGCTGAATAAAATACGAAGTTTAACAACTACGATTTTTACATACCGTAGTAATTTAGTCCCTTTCATTTCTACACTTAAAAACTCTGCACTTTGGACAAAAAAAAGTTATAACCATGTCAACGTTAACTCTTGGTAAATTCATGGAGTCTGCTTTGATAAACGCAACTTCCATTTTTATTAAATGTAAAAAAACGCAATAAATATTCCCATAAAATAATATTTACTTTATCAACCATAACCTCAAAGAAGTTGTCATAACAGGAGTGACGTCACTAAACGCTGATTGGTGTTTTAAAATACGTTCCGTTTCAAGTATTTTTAATTCGTAATAATTGCTAAAAAACAACATTATGTAAAATAAAAACGTTGCAGTGGTATTTCTTTTATATTTTTTTAACATTTTAATCATAAAATTTTCGTAAATATTATATATGCATCTTCCCTATTCTCGATGAAATATTAAAAAATCCTTTCTCGCTTGATGCCTACGTTCGTGTAGGCGTGCGTTGACGCACTATTAAAAACATCAACATGGTATATCTTTACTTTATGTCGGGTAGTTTTGAAAAATGAAAACACAGATAGCATTTTTATCTTGTACAGAGTAGGTGTGCCACATTTTAATCAATCCTATGCACTTTTGGATGATCGCCCTTACAAACTTTCACGAAATTTGTAATTTTTTGAGGTTTGTTGTAAAAATTTTATGTAGGCTTAGTGAGCATCTATTAAATAATGTTTATACAAAATTTGCAGTCAATAAGTCCAAAGGATAAGATTTTACGAAGAAACGTTTTTTGCAAATTTCACGCTTAAGAATTTCAAAAAATCTTATCTTATTACTTGCCTAAGCAATAAAAGGGACCCACTGTCCAAATTTCATCATTCTAGGTCCAACCGTTTCGGCTGTGCGTTGATGAGTTAGTCTGTCAGTGTATCCTTTTCTCTCTTTATATAATAGTATAAATTAGATAATTTGGTGATGTTTAGAAGGTAACTTAATATTAGTCTAAACCTCTATCCTCTAGGACTTGATGAGGAAACACTCACACTATTGGTCTATTTTATTCTAATTTTAATAATAACAACAGGAAATGTTCGATCCATTACGTTAGTTAACATACAATGTTAACAAAACGGTAAGTAGTTTTGGTCAAATAAGTTATTTTTTTTAAAACATGTAACTGCTCGATATTTAAATCAAAAGAAAATATTACTAGAAAAAATTCCACGCGGACCGGACGGGACTCCCGTCTGCTGTCTGATCCGCGCGACTAAATTCGTTCTCTCTGATTTTACATAATACAGTACAGGATGCTTCGTTAACTTTTTGTGCGTAGTAGAAAATTAAAGTAAACTTTAGAATATAAATGAAATCAAGCTTTCTGTTTGATAATTATTATTTGCGTATAAACTACTTCACATACACGTAATATTCAAGTATGAACGTCACGTCGCATAAAACACGTATCCTGAATAAAATTGGATGACGTAAGTATAAAAGATTTCCATATAATGGCATGGAATATATGTTCGGTGAAATCGAAAACGCAAATAATTTAAAAAACATGTCATACGAGTACACAATTACATAGTTTTATATAACTCAACCAAATATCCCAAGCATTTTCAAAGAATGATTTTTATCACATTTTACAAAGTTTTTGAAAGCAGACTTTTTTTTACGAAAAATGGGTTTACTTGATTGTAAAAAATTCACTTCCAAGCTTGATATTATTTCACAAACGGAATCCTAAAGCCAAAATTGTCTGCATCAAATCATTTATACGTAGCATGGTAAAGGGGTCAGTAGAATGAATGGTAGGTTCTTTATTATTGCGGGACAATGCCCGCGGATGCCAATGACGAGTTTCTAGGCCATGGGTTATATCCGATCAGTAACAAAATGAAATCGCGTTAATACTCTTTAGGTATCCTATCCTACTATCCCACTTACTACTAATATTATAAACGAGAAATCTTGTATAGATGTATGTTTGTTACTGTTTCATATTAAAACGCCTGAACAATTTTGAATGACATTTTGGCATAATATATAGCGTATGGCGTAATAAACTGTATTACCTAGATTGACGCATTGATACTCTTTACCCCGGACAATTTAATGTTCCTGTGGGATTTTGTAAGTAACAAACTTTGCTTCTTAAACACCGTTCTCGCTTGACAGTCATTCATACGTTGGATTCTTTAAGGTTGTCAATTTCCATCAACTAACCTGCTTTTGTTAATTTAGCGGAAAATGCTCAAACACAATGCTCACAGTAATATAACTAAGTGGTTACTAAAGCCAATATTCAGTTTTATGTTACATCTATATATATAAAACTGACTGACAGAGTGATCTATCAACACACAGCCCAAGCCACTGGATGGATCGGGCTGAAATTTGGCATGCAGGTAGATGTTATGACGTAGGCATCCGCTAAGAAAGGATTTTGATCAATTCTACCCCGAAGCGAAGCGAGGGCGGGCCACTAGTACTACATAATTGTGTACTGAACTGTGTTGTTTCATTTAAGATTTCAAGAAGTATGTAATTGGTAGATAGCACAGGGTTTCGACAGTAAACAGTAGATCTTGGGTCTAATCAATTCGGCCACCCCTGCCATAAATCTAATATATTTTTTTAATTCTCATAAATACCTATAAACATAGCGGCAAACGTTAGATAGCTTTGTTTTTTTCTATTAGCGACTACAGGCTTGTATTATACACGATGAATTTCTCTATATAATTTTTCTCACCTTTTAAACCTTCCCTAGACCTCCACGAACATTTCAAAACCAAGATAAGATAAATCCGTTCAGTCGTTCTCGAGTTTTAGCGAAACTAACGAACAGCAATATATATATATATATATTGCTATATATATATATATATATATATATATATATATATATATACTAGCGGACCCGACAGACGTTGTCCTGTCTACACGTCTTTGTGAATCTAAACCATTCTCAGATCCCCTTGAACACACACAAAAAATTTCATCAAAATCGGTCCAGTCGTTTAAGAGAAGTTCAGTGACATACACACTCACAGAAGAATTATATATATAAAGATATACTAGCTGACCCAGCGAACTTCGTACCGCCCTAAAAAAATAGGGGTTGTCCAGCGGACAAAATTGTGAATCTAAACCATTCTCAGATCCCCTTGAACACACACAAAAAATTTCATCAAAATCGGTCCAGTCGTGAGAAGTTCAGTGACATACACACTCACAGAAGAATTATATATATAAAGATTAGTAGTGACTGCTGCGTATATAAGGTCAGTGTTTTGTAAGAAGTCGGTGATTCGCATAGTGGACGGTCTTTTGACGTGCGCTATGGCATGACTGAGTCACGTGAATTGTGGCTGGATGCGCGGACGGTACACGTTTACGTCACGGCCGACGTTATGTAGCTATGTATGTAATTGCCTGTTACGTTAAACCTAAACTGTGATCGTGGCCACGCGCAGCGCACCACCCGGTAGACGATGTTATGCACCTTTTTATGTGATTGCCTAAGGTGTGTTGTTTCTAAGGAACAACAACCTTTGTCTTGATGTGGTTCTGCGAGAAGTCAACGGTTTGCATCGCGGTGGTCTTTTGGTCGCGTTATAGCATGACAGATTCAACCGCGCTGCTGGACGCACAGCGTTTCATACGGTACACGCTTACGTCAAGACCATAAGTGTCCGAGGCGCGCGGCATGCTCGTGGCGCAGCGTGGCAGCGCCAGCTGGCAGGCACTCGATGTCGATGCTATGTACTTATATAATAATATGCAATTACCAAAGGTGTGTTGCTTCTGTGGAGTTGTTCCTTACCTTTGTCTTCGATGTGATTTTGCGAGAAGTCAATAGTATGCATAGCCGGCGGTCGCTTTGCGCGCGCTAACGCGTGTCCGAGGCGCGCGGCATGGTCGTGGCGCAGCGTGGCGGCGCGCCAGCTGAGGCGCTGCGGCGCCGGCCACGCGCAGCGCACCACGCGGCACACGCTCTCCCACGCCTCGCCACCCGCGCGCACGCCGTCCCCGCACACGCCCGTAAACCACGTGTTATGTTGCAGCGCGAACACCAGCGGTATTAGGTCCCTGTCACGACCGCTTTCATTATATACACCCAGAGACCGTATTAACTGCACGGAAGCAACACAAAAAATTATCTACCACATATGGTAGATATCGTCAATGTTTTATAGAAAGGACGATTAAGTCATTTTTCGAAAACTTTATGATGATGAAAATTATAAATGCGAAAATGCCACATTAAGCCTTTACATGTAGCAAGCATGTGATATTCGCGATAACATTCATTGCTTTTCATGGTTACTTTCGCCAAAAAGACCAGTCCAAATAGACATATAAAACTGATTTTTATAATAAAACTATGTTGCCGGAAAATGGCTTATTCGCACTTTCTACATTGACGATATGCTCGACGCTATCTATTTATTTATTTTTTATTTACACGCACATATTGACTGTACAATCTAACATTAGGTTACGCACACATTGTGTGAAACATGCGTGAGTAGGGTCGCCAGGCCATAAAATGCAAAGGCCGGACTGCGCACTATATAAGGCCTGACATTTTGCCCTAAAAGCCGGACATATTTTTTTTATTGCCAAACATAATGTTTTTACAGCGGGGCTGCTGAAAAAAGTATTTATACGTGATGTAAAGTGAGAATGAGATCGAAGATTGAAGCGCCAACAGATTGTTCTCTTGTCCGTTCGGACGTTCGTCCGCCCATCGTCGTACGAATCGCCACTCTGATAAAAAGCCTGACAAAAGCCGGACAGGCCAAACACGTACATATTTGGCCGGACGCGACCGCAAAAAGCCAAACATGTCCGGCTAAAGCCGGACACCTGGCAAGCCTATGCGTGAGCCGTTTTCTTTGCATGATTTATATAAGTTGCTCTATCTAAGCGTATAAATAATCAAAAGTCGACCGTTTCGGAATTCGCTAACAACTTTGTTCTTAATTTTTTTTTAAAACAAGGCGCAGTAATCTTCCCACCGGAAAGTCGAGTCAAAAAGTATGCCGTTCTAGCCATTCTCAACTTGAACCTCTGAAACCTCGGCTAATGAAGCCCTAGAAACTTACTTTCCAACAACTTTTAAACGGCAAGATTAGTTTACTTTGGTTACTTTCATAGTGTTATGTCATATGGCTTTTTGTTGTGGGGCTCAGCCGCTAATATCGAAAGTATTTTCATACTGCAAAAGAGAGCTGTATACAATTTAAAGGCAAGAGAATCCCTTAGAGAAAAATTTAAAGAAATTAATATTTTAACACTGGCGTCGCAATACATTTATGAAAATTTAATATATGTAAGTAAAAACTATGATGAATTTGCAAAAAAAGTCAAACCCATAACTTTAACACGAGATTTAAGAACAAGCTTGCCGTTCCATGTTTCAGACTCCAAAAATCAAGAGGTTCATTTCTGGGTTGTAGTATTGCATTGTTTAACAAAGTTCCCCAAGATCTGATTGAGCTTCCACTGACTAAATTTAAATCTCAGATCAAAAATATTCTTATGAATAAGGGCTATTATAAAGTTGATGATTATCTAAATGATCATAATGCATGGACATAGTGTTTCTTATAATTTGATATTAAATGGGTATTAGTCATTTTTCATAACAGTAATATTGTACCTATCTAATGCCGCTTCCTATATACTACTTAAAATGTTAACTATAAAATTAATTGTAACTATATATTTATATTCTAGATGATGTAATGGAAAGTGACTTCAGACGTATTTCTGAAGTAATTTCTTGACGACACTGTATATAACAATACAGGGAGAAAAAAACAGCCCTTGCTGAGTTTCTTGCCGGTTCTTCTCAGTACAAGGTCTCCCGCCGTAGTTTTGCGAACCGATGGAGTAGCTTCTTGACCTTCACAAGTGCTTGTAACAGCCTAGACTGAATAAATGACATTTCATTTCATTTCAACAGAAAAATATCAAAATGTAATTTTGTTGTAGTAAAACCTTCTATCTATGCATTTCTATCTCAACCAATTTGAATATAAGACAACATTTAAGGCCATATTTAAAACTGTATCACTTATAAATTTAAAGGGTCCTACATCTGTAATTATGAACTCAATAAAACATATATTCTTAAAGACAGTATTGAAGTAGCTGTGTAGGCATCAATGATGTAATTATTATTTTCCTAGAATCTTACTAGATATTGCAATCCACAAAGACGTGCCCCACTATTCCTCCTAACCGTTTATAGTAAATGTGTTAGTGTACACACTAATTATCTATGATATTATTAAATAATAATATAATAATATGATAATTATCTTTTTATCACTAAATATCCTTTAACCAAAGATTGGTGGAGTGCATCTTCATGGATTGCACTATCTGTAATTTATAAATGACTTACAAATTACGCAGATAACTAACATTATCAATTATACCTTTGGTCTAAGTGGTCAAAATCTTTCAAATGAAGCATCCTTATGTCATGTGCCAAATATATTGTATCTATATCCCATGCCACCTCAGCTCTGAAAAGATGTAATTACTTTCAGCATAAGAAGTCTATCTAAAAGCCAAATCATAATGAAAAGAATCTTTCACCATATATTATTAGTTTAAAAGCAATAAGTAAAACATTTTTTACCTAAAAGGTGTTTGACAAAGATCACACATTGCAGCATATTGATTAGAAAAGTCCCCACATGTGGAATGTTTGCGTGTACCACTTACAGATGGAATTTGGAAGGGAAGGTTGACCTGTTAATAAAAATGACAGTTGAAAAGGGTAACTTGATCAAAATTGTGTAACATAGTGTTAGGAGAGGAAAAAAGAGTTATACAAATAATATAGGTATACAAAAGAAATTTAAAAATGAACAGTCATCAGCATTAATGAGCTTGATTGAGTGGATCACTAGTTAAGTGAACATAGTCCAATGTCCTTGTACCAGCTAAATTGGATAAATTAATGAAAATAAAAAAGTTCTTTAATTCTGTTTACACCAACCTTGGCTATAATATCCTCTACAGCTACATTGGGAAACAAGTCATCAAATGCTGCTACCAGAGCATGGAGTACATTGAGTACTCCATCCGAAGTGCCTTCTTCCCCTGCAACATTTCCCCTTTGATTTAGAAATTATAAGCAGTAGATAGTTTATAGTAGAACCTATAAGCAACAGCTTATTTACATACTAAAACAATTTCATGCAAGAACGCAGACAGCAATTACATAAGCAATCGTAAATAGTGTCAATGACAGTTTGAATTGCCTCGATTTGTAAACAATGTATACTACAATTGGAAATTGATTACCTATAAGAATTGACACTGGTTTGTGTTCATGGATTAGTGTTATTGACAGATGATTTGCCTTTTTACTTTCCAGTGCCTCTATTTCCATTAAGTGAAATCCATTATCCACCTAATAAAATAAATGGCATTTAAGTTACATTTAATTTAAATTTGCACATTGAAAATATAATAAATAATTAAGATATTTCAGCTCTTGTTGATTTTAATTAAACTATGCATGTTAACTATGCATAGTAATCTTACATTTCTTTGCTTACACCACATAAAAAAATGAAATATCTCACCCTTGTTGGTACTTTTGTAGTTGTGATAAATATTCGATAGGAAGTGACAATCTGAAAGTATAGCTAAGTTGAAGGATAATGTAGTTTAAAAGTTAGTAGCTACATGGTAAGTTTTTAATAAGTAAGAAACTGCATATCTAACAGCAACACATTTGATTCAATTATCTTATCTTAATTTCATATGTAGCCTTAAGTTGATTTTAAACTAAAATGATTATTATTCATGGACAACTAGTACAAAAATAACACATATTGTAGTTTAAATTTATTGGTCCATCCAATTCAAAGTAGAGGCACACCTAAATGACTCATACCATTGTTCAGTAAACCTTATCTGTTTGTGTTTTTTTTTATTGCAGGTATACAAAATATAACAAGACAAATTACTACCAATTAATTATGATAAATTAACTATTTTCAGTAATTTTAGAAACACCATCTTTAAAATTAAGGTATCATTTAATGACTGTAAGAATAGCAGTGTGATGTAATATGTACCCATTTAGAGCAATATTTGTGTTGTTTTATAAGGTAAATAATAACAATGACTGATCATTAAGAATTTTTACATTTATGTATACCAAGTTATAAAGTGGCGAGTGGCTTGTTTATAGTACTCTCTAACTACTGAGCTGATTTTGAATATTCCTACACTATTCAAAAGCTACTTTATTCTTAAATGACAAAGTCTATATATATTTGTATTCAAATAAAGTTCACCCATGTAAAGTTGGGGCAAGTTGCAAGTAGTTTTATAAAAGAATATTTGCATACAATACATTTACAAAAATTATTAGTTCAGCACAACAGTGGAATTATAGCACTTCAATACAATGGACCATCCAGTAATCTGACTCAGCATTAGTTAGCTTACTTGAGCGCAAGTGCCGAGTCTTCATGAAAGTATTTAAACATTAACTAGTGGGCAAAAACTAAAGTTTTAAATTGAAAATTGCAAGTATAATAAAGAATGAGAAATAAATGCATATGTTCTAATATTTTACACTATTTTCCTATGTTCCAATAATCTGGAACTCTAATGTGAGTTGTGATGGATTACTGAGTATTATTTTACAAGAAACATTTCAAGTACCAGGCTGGAAATTTTATATATATAATAATGTAACAATTTATTGCATATGATAAAAAATATAATCAACTTATCACCAATGTTATGTTTATCACTTACCAAAACTCTATTGTCTACTTTATCACCTCGTGACTCCATACGAATAAGGGATTTATACAGAATTCTTACATTTTTACCAAGCACATTGCTAATGCTTTCTGCAAAAAAAAAATTATAACTTTAAAAACTAACAGAACATGCTATTTTCAAAAGAAAAATAGCAGGTTTAAATAATTATTCATAATATAGATAACACACATAGACACATCCAACAGTTGTTTAATTTAAAATAAAAATAGAGGGAAATTTTATTGTAAAAACAAACCACTTAGTTCTGTAGATATTTGTGATTTTGTTGACATTTTCGCAATTTTCTTCAGTGTCATCACTCCAGCTATTATTTATCACTTTATATATAATAAACACTGACACATTTTAACACATAGTATTTATATATCGGTCTAAACAAGTAAATGTTTAGCACAGGTCAATTTAAATAGAAAATAATTATTGACCTCAAGAATTTCATGAAGATGTATGTAGGTAGGTAGCACAGACAGATGTAGGCACAGATTACTGAGATTAAGTGATGTAGTAGTCGATAGATTGTCATTTTTTTAAGATCAGAGTTGCCAGATGTGTTATTCTATATTAAAATACTACTTTTAAAAAGCTCTCAAATTTGATTTGGCAAACAAATGTACTATATTGGACCACTTTAAGCAAATTGGATAAATCTTTATTCACCTAAACCTAGCTACATCCCATAAAAAATGTCAAAACGTCAATTTCAATTTGACATTATTGTTAATATTTTCGGATTTGTAAGGTTTGGTTTTGTAAATTTTTAATTCCACACTGGTGTCGATTCTGGCATGATTCTCTAACCTTAAAACTAATTTTAACCTGAGTCTCTACTTTTCATTCTGTATAGAGAATTACAAGGCTATACTGGTGTCGATTCTGACAAGATTCTCTAAACCTAAACTTAAATTTGACAACAGTGTATCCTTGTCGTTCTCTATTCAGAATGAAAAGGAGAGACTGATGTTAATTTTAAAGAATCATGTCAGAATCGATACCACTCTTTCGATTCGATTAAATTGTATATCTAAATGCGCGTCTCTAATGACAATGAAAAACAATAATTATTTTGTTCAAAAATAGAACTAATTTCGAATTTGGGATATAAAACTTCATGGACGTACAAACGTCAAAACGGTCATCACAGCGTTCCGCTACTATAAATTTAGTTTTACTTAAATAGACTAGTTGACCCTTTTTGGAAAAAGGTTTTAAATGGTTAATAAATGTTCTATTAGACCGAAAAAAAATGTATTGTATTTTTTTGAGACCTAGAAAGCTACAAATCTTCAATTTGAAAATAGACTTTTCATGGACATACAAAAACGCTGTCGGCCATTTTAGTCTATAGATTATCTATGCTATGACGTCGACGGTAGTAAACAAAAACTCGTAAGCACGTAGAAAATAACCTATCTGAGTTTATAATAAAAAAAACATGATTTCTAATAGATACCACGAAAAATATACTAATTATCATTATTGTATTGTAAGAGAATGTAAAAAAAAAACCTTGAAGACTCCAGGAAAGTTGTGGATTAAAGTGCCGAAAGAAATTAACCTACGCAATACCTGGTTAGAACTTGCTAAAAGTGATCCTGCAACTTTATCGACTCATAGTAAAATTTATTTTTGCGAAAATCACTTTGATGTAAGTATTCATTGAATAATATTTTAAGTCTCTTCATTTATTATCAGTTTTAATAATACAAGTTTTAAAGTTATGTATGAATGACATTTAGTTGTTTACTAAAAGAGACGTCACAATCATGGCGGATGTGGTGAACAGCGTTTTTAGTGTTTCAAAAGTATAGACTAAAAATTATTTTTTCAAATTAAATTTCTACAGCAATCTTCTGCTTTTATGAAGTGAAATCGATATATTTAGGTTCCCTAGACCAAATACTTTAAGAAATAAACATTTATTTAATACAATTCGACATGAGTCAACTAGCCTATTGTGATTAGCAAAATTGCTGTTAGTGAACCCAAAAGAATATATCACATTTTAAAATAAAACTATTATTACATCACCACATTTTTTTTCGTTCATCTTTAACATGTCGCATTACATCTTTAATTGTTATTAAAAATTCGGACCTTATCAACAAGCAATGCTATATATGGTTTCTACAGCCGTGGCTCGGAGGTAGAGAGCATGCATGCAGCAATGCGGCCGACGCAACGTCGTTCGTCGTCGTCACTTTCATGCTCTATGTATGCATTTCGTTCTTTTCGGGCTTCACTTCATGTCCCAGATATCAAATTGACAGTTTTGATCCACTCGCATCTCATTTTGGAACCTTGAGAAACTAAAACAAATAGTTTATGCATATAAAACAAATTTTAATAATAAAAAACTGCTATCGACTAAAAAATAAGAGTACAGCTCTAAAATTTTCAATTTTTCTATGCAAACTTTTTATACAATTTTATTGGTATATTCATGAATATAATACAATTAAACCGTGAAAAATTGTGACGCAAACTCCTTATAATTCAATGATTGTAGGTAGTTTGTAAATAATTTAAACTAGATTCTAAGGATTTTCATAATTAAAATAAGTTTGTGTCTATCTTGGTATTAAAATAATCGATTACAAAGCAATATATATAAAACAATATCGCAAATATGTCAAATAATAAAATTATGAACTAAAATGAATTTTATAATTTTAATAAAATAAAATAATAAAACTAAAGAGGAGACTGTATGGGCATTGTTTCCCTTGCCTCTCCAGAATAGGGAAAACTTAAAAAAATATACCAAACTGACTGATTCGCGTTAAACATTCGATTCGCTAGTTTACTCATGTCGAATTGTATTAAATAAATGTTTATTTCTTAAAGTATTTAGTCTAAGGAACCTTAATATATCGATTTCACTTCATAAAAGCAGAAGACTGCTGTAGAAATTTAATTTTAAAAAATATTTTTTAGTCTATATTTTTTAAACACTAAAAACGCTGTTCGCCGCATCCGCCATGATTTTGACGTCTCTTGTGTGGTAAACAACTAAATGTCATTCGCGTGTTACTGTAGGTGGATTCTTTCGTCTGACTAAATTTATTTTAAAACACTTTTAACTTTAGGAAAGAAAAAAACAGTAAACTTAGTTTTTTTTGACAAAACTAATTATGGATGCCGGCCTAAGGCTGTTTAGACTAAAGTTCTTTGCCTATCACCAATGGATAAAATAATAAAAAAACAACATAACAATCATGTTTAATTCCACCAATGAAAACAGTTAATAAGATTTAACAGCTGGTCAGCTCATTTTCGTTTGGCCATATATTTCGATAAGCTCATCCATCAACACAAGGCGCTGACAGTGTTGCCATCTTGGTGGTTTTTCCACCAGAACTGGTGCTTTTTCACGGCTTCTAGTGGTATATTTTCATTATCTAGCGGGTATATTTTTTTAGTGGTTTTTTAACATGAAATCTAGCAACATATTTTCAAGGGGGAAATCCCCTAACTTTCCGTTTCATAATGTTCTATGGTTACTCTTATGGTTACAGGGGAATTCCTACACGCGTTTGTTAAGGGCTTCCTTCAATCGTTCATTCTGTTTCAGGAATTAGGTTCGCGTTCATTGGTATCGATTCTGACATGATTCTCTAAACTTAAAACTAAATTTAACATCAGTCTCTCTTTTTCATTCTGTATTGAGAATGACAAGGATACACTGTTGTCAAATTTACGTTTAGGTTTACAGAATCATGCCAGAATCGACACCATTGTGTTGTTAAAAAGTGTAAAAGTTTGTTTTGATAGAAACGTTTGTAACAGTGTGTGAACTCCTAAAGCTGTATGTTTAGAGTATTCAATTATATGTCATTATGAAAATTCTATTCAAGAAAAAGAAATAGATACAAAAGTATAGAAAAGAATGAGAATCACTCGACGAATTCCAAACCTGGCTTAAACCTTTAGCAGGTGTTGATGCGAAGGCGTTTTGTTCATTTTGTAAAGCAGAATTATTAGCAAGAGTAGTAAATTTGAGAAGACATGCTGAAACAAAAAAGTACAAACAGAAAATGCAAATTCTATCCGGCAATCAAAAGATATAATTAAAAAAACACAAAATACTCTTTCAAAAATCCACTACAACCACAACCAAACATCTTCAGCTTCGACATCGGCTTCATTGACAGAAGCGTCGGCGTCTGTGAACGACGATGAAGTTATAGAAGATGTAAAATTTAACAATATTAAATTTTAAATTTCACATTTTGTTTAAGATTTATTTCTTGATAATAAATAATGAATGTAAATACATATTTACCTGGTTTTGTTTCATTCTCTAGTACTACTAAGGTAACGCTCGGAAAAGTTTTAAGTTAGTAAAAACAATATTGCCAAACAAAATTTTACTAATTTAGAACGACTGCGGGATAGGGACACGATATTGAATAGAAAGTATCGATACTGTACTCATGAGTAGTATCGGAAAAAAATGTATCGTACTCGTAAAAGTATTGAAACAAAAGTATCGATACTTCAAAGTATCGAGTACATTTCATAGGACCTTATAAGCAATGTAGATACTCTTAAAAACGTGTAATGTTAATATAATCAACTGCGAAACTAAATGTGAATTACTCAAGTACGTAAGTCTCAGGACACACTAGATTGCTTCTGCTTCCAATTATATCCACTAGATGGCGTTGCCATCAATATAAGGCGCTTATCCAAATTTTTAAAGGTATCGTACTTTTTTTAGGTTAGGTATTTAGTTGAAATATCGAAAACCAAGTATCGAGTACAAAAGTATCGGTATCGAAAGGAAAAGTACTCGATACCACAAGGTATCGATACTTTTTTCGTGTCCCTACTGCGGGATACAGTTATCTCTGTAGCATCTCATACACATTCACTGGTTTTTTTATTTAAATTAGGGTTTTTTGTTATCAGAGATGTAATTGTAATTTAGCGGATTTTGGTGTATTTTATTAAATCTAAATTTTTGAAATCTGGCGATATTTTACCTTTGACTTGGCGCCTTAAAAAAATCCAAGGTGGCAACACTGGGCGCTGAATGCCAAAGGATGAGCAATCAAAGAACACATGAGACAAAGACTGTTCTGATGCAGAGTCACAATAATTACAATGTGAACTCTAGAGATGGTTCCGCGCTCAATTCAGGATCTTCTTTTAAATAGCTGTACATATTTATCTTTATTTAAATTTATTATTAGCACTGTAAGGCAAACTTAAAATTGTAGGTTATGTCATATGTTACTCATTATTTTGTTTTGTCTTTGTAAATATTTATTGAAGTGTTCAAATATTTTGCTACAGTCTTTATAACTTTGAAATGATTTTTTTTATCTGGGTATTGTTGTCTTCTGTCATTATGACGGTCTTTTAGTTACGTTCTTTAATATATATATATAATTATTCTTCAATATAAAATAAACATACTAAAAACGAGGCTGTATGGGCTTTAGTTCCCTTTGCCTTCCCTAAAAAGGGAGAATATTTAAAAAAATCATTTTTGTTTGATTTCCCTTTCGGAAACTGTATTTTTTCAATAAAATAATTTACTGT